TTTTGAAAAACTTTTTGATACCCTTTAAAGTAGGGCTGCACGATATCTGAAAAATCTGATATTGCCATATTTACATTTTCTGTGATAAACATTGCAATATGCATACAGTTTCAACAGATAGTTTGAATAGCTCAATTTGATAGTTTTTTGGGGGAGTCTAACAGTATTCAGGTACAGAAATTTAATCAAAAAATGCTTTTCTTACTTTGTCCTGTTTCTAGTCCAAGAGCAAGTAAATATATTTAGTTTTTACTATCAGAAAAAATGTGAAATTTAAGTTTTTCCCTAAAAAAATTAAAACTATACCAGTGGAGTAAGTAAAATAATCTTGTTTTCACTTTGAAATGTAGATAAATGGACTAGAACCAGACAAAAATTCTAAGTAAGAAAAAAATCATAGAAATTTGCTTATATATACAGTGCTTAGATACAATTCTGAAGCTCATGGTCAGATTCAACATTGCATATCTTTGCGATGGGACTATTACAGATGCACTCATCGCGGTGTTGAGGCTGAAACGACATACTGTGCAGCCCTACTTCAAATGTTGACACTATATATGCAAGCATGTATGCATGTATATATTGCTGCTAAAGTGGAGATGAGGGTCTGAAACTGTTCAGTTACCTTATACACGTCTCCATATGTTCCACTGCCAACTCTCTGGATCAGCTCAAAGTCATGCTGTGGGTTTCTGCGCTGAATCTCCCCTCCGGACCGGGCCAGCGGATCCATGCTGTCGGACTGGAGGATTTACTACTTTAATGACCCAGATTCAGTTTTACAACAGACCTGTAGTCCACATTGTCCTGAAAAGAAAAAAAAAAACAGAACATCATGTGATTAATAACAGCACACTTTATTAAGTCAGACCAGACAGACTGAAGATCTGATAGACAGACAAGGCGTTTCGATTGACATTTCATCCTAGGTGTGATATTGCAGAGGCTAAACATGGACAAATCAATCAATCAATCAATTAATAAGTAAATAAAAGACTTTTAAATGAAAGTTTTTAAACTGTCTAATATATATTCGATCATTAATGCTGGTATTAATGGGTTTAGTTTTAATGTGTGCATATTTATTTCAATAGAACTTATTTTAAGTAACAGGAAAATGTTGAGATGTTTTTTATTGTCACGACAAAACTATTGACGGATGTCAAGAAGTGCCAACTGTCAGAAAAGTGTGTTATGTTAAAACAAACTTTCTCTTTTTTAGTAAAATGGACAACTTAACTTACTGAAAGTTCATTTTCTCTCTGAATCTCCGTGTGAGAGGCTAACTCAGCTAACTTCTGCTAACTAATCTCACATAATCACTTAACCTTTAAACTACATTTTACAGACAAAATATACAAGAACAAAGACGTTCAAAAAGCACAATCCATCTTTACGTTACTTTTGGTCCATTCGGTTTGCGGGTACTTTTAATTGTGATTTGCTTAAGTTCATCCGATGCTAACGCTAATGCTATAAACAGCGTCAAACTGCAACACGACATAAATCACTTACATTCAAAAACTTTGAGGTAAACTTCACCATTTGTGCGATTAATCTTTGTCTTCTGAACTCGAGAAGATATAGACGGTTTCCTAACTGCTGGAGTTCATTATGCGTCGAAATAATCATCCAAACAGGAACAGAGACAAGAGCAAACTTCAGCCAGATCAGAACCCGCACACACACACACACACGCAGACAGACAGCAAGACACACATTCGCACACACGTACAGAAAACACACACACACATGCACACTCATACGCACGTCCACTGAAAGAAATTAAACAAATCTGATGTTTAAAAGAATGTTAAAGCATTACAGAAAAATCTCTTTCGCTTTAATTCACTCTGTTTCATGGTGCATTATTTGCCTGGGATATAATAGTGATATTGTACTGATGTATTAGTTGCCTTAAGCTTACTAGACAATAGTTACTGTCAGTAGTTATAGTGCAAAACAAATAATGACAAATAAATATACCAATGTTATCTGTGCGTTTTTATTATATTTTTAATGTTTATTCATTTTATTTTAATTTAAAGTTTAAACCAGAGCATGAAAACCGCAGGTAAACCTAAACTTTTTTTTAGTAAATTAAAACACATGGCCCTTCTTTAACTTTTGCTTTATTTAACTTTTAAACATTTTCCCTATTTTTATTTGTATATTTATTTATTTATTTGTTTATTCATTTATTTTACAACATACCTGTAGCGCCATCTGCTGGATATTCTTAGAGACATACAGTTCAAGTCAGAATTTTTAGCCCCCATGAATTATTAGTCCCCGTTAATTTTTTTCTCAATTTCTGTTAGAGATTTTTTTAACACATTTTTAAAAATAATAGTTTTAATAACTCATTTCTAATAACTGATTTTTTTAATATCTTTGCCATGATGCCAGTAAATAATATTTTACTAGATATTTTTCAGGACACTTCTATACAGCTTAAAGGCTTTACTAGGTTAATTAGGTTAACTAGGCAGGTTAGGGTAATTAGGTAAGTTATTGTATAATGATGGTTTGTTCTGTAGGCTATCGAAAAAAAATACAGCTTAAAGGGGGTAATAATTTTGACCCTAAAATGATGTTCAAAAAATTAAAAACTGCTTTTATTCTAGCCGAAATAAAACTATTTAAAAAAATACTTTGTCCAGAAGAAAAAAAATATTATCAGACATACTGTGAAAATTTTCTTGCTCTGTAAAACATCATTTAGGAAATAGTAAAAATAAAACACATCTTTCTCTGCACACACTAACTTTACCAAAACACTGGAAATATGACTTGATATGAAATGATTCTGTAAAAGAATAACACTTGTTTTCACTTCACAAGGTACATGCAGTTAATCAAAGTTCACAGGGTTTCAAAACACTGGCTATTGTTGACATTACATAAACTGTAGAGACTTTTATGTTTCAGTTATGACAGTAAGTTTCTTGGCTGGGAATCATATGTGCTTGTACAATAATGTTCACAATCAAAAGCATTCAGGTAAAAAAGCAAATATTTTTTTCCTTAACTGTTTACTACAGGAGGTACACACACTCTCAGAAATAAAGGTACGTGAGCTGTCACTGGGGTGGTACCTTTTCAAAAGGTACAAACGTGTACCTAAACGGTCCATGTTCATATCTCAAAGGTACATGTGTTCCTCTTAAATTTTTTAGGTACTAATATATACTTTTGAGGTACCAATATGAACCCTTTAAGTACAATTGTGTACCTGTTGAAAATGTACCACCCCAGTGACAGCTCGAGTACCTTTATTTCAGAAAGTGTAGAAACACGGTAATAGAACAGAAAAGGTTTTACAATATTGCTTACAGTGAACTCAATATTTATGAAACACACAAGAGCATTCTGAACAAAAAACAAAACTAAAAAACAACAACAAAAAGCCCAGGTAAAAAGGGAGGGGGGATCTAAAAAAAACTTTAATCTAAAAATGACTATGTCAATCTCTGTGAACTTCAGGATTAGGCCACATGTTTTCATGAACATCACTCCTCAAGGTCCTCCTTTTACTGTATACGTGTAAACATAATAGAAAAAAAGAACCCCTGCCCCTGAGTCTAAGCCAGACTGGAATCAGCTGTGGTTGGTTTAATTTACCCAACATAAATCAGCTGTGTGTCAATTATTCAATTGTTTGTTGTTTATTATCAGCTGAGATATATTTTTGATATTATGGTTAAACTGATATCATTGCAGAAGCAGAGGTTTTTATTCTGTATCTAAGGTTTGGAATATTGTTTTTGCTATCGCGGGTTGTTGTATGTTAACATTCGTAAATACTACAAAAACAATTCATAATTTTGTTGGAAGGTAGAGCTTGTTTGTTAAGAAAATGTAAGCATTGTGGAAATGTGTTCACTGACTGCATATTGGGTGAAAACGACATGAAATGTGTGAATGGTATGGCCACAAAAGACTGTGGCTGTGCTTTTTGTGTTTAGAGTTTTGAAAATGTGACAACTTGGAAAAACACCTGTTAGCGACTGAAAAACTGTCATTTAATAATTTTTATTTTAATATAATTATCACAATAGTGAACTCATGGGAGAAGGTCATGAAGTAAAAAATTAATATCATAAATTATTTTTGTAAGTTGTAATACAAACTCTTGTATACAGTGCCAATGCAGAACAGACACAGAAATTAACGTTTTGTCCAGTTTATTTTTCCCTATTTAAAATTATACACCTTAAAAGATTTATTTATTTTTATTATAGAACAGATGTTTTCTAATTGGCCATCAAAGGAGTAATGGGGATACTTGAAGAAATATACATGTAAAATATGTTTAAAATAATCTAGAATCAATCTAATTAAAAAAAATAAAAAATTATAATTTAAATGAGTGTTTAGGGAGCGCCGGGAAATAGTGGAAAGTATAAACCATATCATAAATATAATATACTCTATACATTTATACTACACAGTATGCATTAACATAATATATAATGTAAAGAATATTATACAATATTAATTACAAATATAAATGTAATCAAGTAAGAAAATAAACCAGACATTGCATTATAATAAACAAAAAATACATTAATGAACAAAAAATACATCAAAATGTATTAAAATAATGTAGTGCTTAGAATAATAAACAATTAATGCAAAAATATAAAGTTTAACAAGATTAGAATGAATTAACAAGAAAGAATTAAAATAAATAAATAAAAACTGTAATAAACTGCATTTAGATAAATTATTCAAATAAATATGTCTATAAATGTATAAATTAATAAATACAGATAACACAATGAGTAGTAAAAAATGTAATAATGTAATTCAATATACATGTCTTTTACATTTCAAAATGAGGCTTTAACAAAAGCAGCAACAACAAAATCATTCAATCAAGTAAAGGGTTAAAATATGAGAACTGTTTGTGCTTGACCAGTAAGAGGCATTGCACTGTCTCTAAGCCCCGCCCACTACAGTTAATTTATTACATTAGAAATGTTTACCATGCAGCCTCTCACAGCGCCACCAGCGGTCTAAAAGCACGCTGCATGTTCGCTTCAGATGAGAATGAGCCTCCATCACTGGCAGCTGATTTCCAGCATCGCATTCGTCTCATGAACGCTGCTTAAATCCGACCCGACCCCGAATACTGACCAAAACAACCAGCGCGACATGGCACGGGACAAAAAGGACAGAGATAGCTGGGGTGAGTCCATATTTTAAACAATAAACCGACCGGCCGAGAGACACCCTGTGATACTGTGGGTTATTATTGTAAAATTCTGTGAAGATGCCTGTCACAACCTTTCTGTATTTTAAAGAACACACACATATAAATACACATATATTTTTTCATCATCTAAATCAGATGATTTGGTTCGGACCACAGCCCTGTTCCGCCCTGTGCGCGCGCGCGCGTTTGTGATGACAGCTATTTTAACGCTTTAATATCTATATTTAACAGCAACATGACATTTGCAGAATTGTTATGCCAGAGTTGGCTCGTTTTTTAATTCACACACTCATTTTACATGCACACCAGTCAATAATATGCTCAATTTTTGAATTATTCATCCCAGTCTTTATTTATATTGACATATAAGTTGCATTTATTAGACACTTTTCCTTCACTGCAGTGTTTCAAATAAGAAATGTGTGTGAAGTGAGTGTGTGCATGCCAGTGACCCACATAAGCAGAGCTCTGTGCATCTGCTACAGGCCTGTATGGAGATGCTGATTTATATAATATACAGTAGATGGTGGTCGTGTGAAGCTTACTGCTCCATACAGGCCTGACCAGGTGAATATGACATGATAGAGAGCAAGCGAGAGGAACGGGAGCTCTGCGAGGTCATTTGAATGTAAATAATTTACAGTGTTGGGATAGTATTGGTGTCGCTTTATTGAGGAGGACCAATGGCTGAAGTGTAAATGCAATGCTGTGAACAGCCTCGTCACATCCTTAAGATTTGCATGGGGCCCAATAATCAAAGTGATCAAATATGGTATGTGGGTTATTGACATATAGGCAGTAAAATGCTTTATGGTGTGTGTAAAACACCATTTTTGGAGAAATCTGATGTATGAGAAAATATAAGTAGCCACTAACTTTATCAGTTCTTTCACTGTGTTTTTTTAATAAATACATTTTTACTAAACTTTATTGTAAAAATGGTGCGACATAAAAAAAATTAAGAAAAAAAAAACTCTAAATGAGGCGACACGGTGGCTCAGGGGTTAGCACTGTCACCTATAAGCAGGATAGTCGCTGCTAGGCCAGTTGGCATTTGTTTGGAGTTTGCATGTTCTCTCTGTGTTGGCGTGGGTTTCCTCAGTGTGCTTTGTTGTCCCCTATGTCCAAAGACATGCACTATAGGTGAAATGGGAAGGCTAAATTGTCCGTAGTGAATGTGTGTGAATGAGTGTGCATGGATGTTTCCCAGTGACGGGTTGCAGCTGGGAGGGCATCTGCTGCATAAAACAAATGCTGGATAAGTTGGCGGTTCATTCCGCTGTAGCGACCTCAGATTAATAAAGGGACCGAAAAGAAAATGAATGAATGAACTCTTGATGAGGCGGCATGGTGGTTCAGTGGTTAGCACTGTTGCCTAAAAGCAAGAAGGTCACTGGTTTGAGTCCAAAGACATGCGCTATAAGTGAATTGGATGAACTAAATTGGCTGTATAGTGTATGTGTGTGAGTGAATGAGTGTACGGGTGTTTCCTAGTACTGGGTTGCTGCTGGAAGGGCATCCACTGCGTAAAACATATGCTGGATAAGTTGGCGGTTCATTCCGCTGTGGCGACCTCTGAAATAGAGACTAAACTGAAAGAAAATGAATGAATGAATGAACTCTTGATGGTATACAAACAGAATAAGAGCGATTCATCTTCATGGACACTTATCGTCATGTTACGTGTGTCGTTCACTCCTGCCCCTAATTATCACTTTCAGTTGATCTTGCTTGTCTTTTTTCCTCCTCAGTTTTCTATTGGTTGATTTGGTGATGTCAAGTTTTTAAAATGGACAGAAGCAGACTTCTTACTTATGCTCATTCCTCCACACCACCACAGTTTCTGATGGCTTTATTGTTGTGTTCTCCTTTACACTTTCCTTTTAATGTTTGTTTGAAGTGGTTAGTCCCAGCCTGCTTTAAGGTTAGTTTGATTGTTATTTATTATGTAGTTGGGCTCCCCACCTCTTGTCATTTTGGATTGTTTTGCTGATTACATTATGTTAATAAATAAATTAGTTGAAGCTAGGCATGGGAGGGTATAAGATTATGACGGTATGATAACCTTGGATAAAAATATCATGCTTTCATGGTATTGTGATTACTGCTCTAAAATATTTATTTTTTTAAATGTCTGGGTACAAACTTTTTTCCCCTTTTGAACACAATCTATTTTATTTTGGGAAAGATTTATAATATTTTAGAATGGTAAACATGTCAGGCTAAATAATGAAAATGAATCATTGACCTCTGCTGTCTTCATTTGTCATCAAACACACAGATTTCTTTACAATTTAAAACGGCATCTTTGGATATCTGCTGTCCTAACAAATAAAAAAAAAATGTAAATAAAAAAAATCATACACATACCTTAGAGATGGTATAGCAGAAAGATTTGTTGGTTTTAAAACCTTGACTTTTCCAAACCACGATATATCTTGAAAACGGTTATTGTCCCATGCCTAGTTGGAGCACATTGGCCGTTGTTTAATTATGTAACATTGTCTTAGGATCACGAGTCGTATCCAAGTAGAGACCGTAACATTCATACAGTCAGTGAATGACTTCTCCATGACTTGTAAGACATTTTAAATAAACAGGAGTTTTACACCAAAGACAAACAAAACACAACAATTTTATAGTGGGTACAAAAATATGTGAACATTTTGAGACAAAAACTGAGCATGTGCACATGATGGGCTTCACAGGGGGCTTCAGCCACATGATCCTGAATGAGATCCCTCAACTAATTAAAGTTTAGCATATTGTATCACACCAGAGTACATGGCTGTCAATGAAAAAATGGATCACTTTCCTATGTTTTCTGACATATATGGATGAAAAAAAGGATTGGCATTTACTAAAATAGCCACTTGTAAATTTAGGCTGGCGGTTTATTCCACTTTGGTGACCTCTGACAAATCAGGGATTAAGCTGAAGGAAAATGAATGAATGAAAATTAGGCCCAATTTTCCTTTTACTATAATTTTCTTTTTAACTTATAAGAGCTGTATTTACTTGAGAAAGTCACAGCATAGGTCAGTTTTGAGTTTTAGCTCAAATATGTAAAAAAAAAAAAATCTAACAACACAGTAGATTTTTAGACCATTTCAATGTTTTCATGTCATTGGCCCGTGAATATTTCCTGCTTGTTATCAATCTATTTAATAACTGTAACAAAAAGCAATTCCATAACGTAAAACAGCTGCCATAATATTATTGATAAATATGTGGCTCTTTTTGGATTCTCGGAAGCTATAAAAATTAAAAATGTAAACAGGAAATACGATTGGACCATTGTTATTGTTTACATCCCTCAAAATGGTCTATAAAAGGTCATTAAAAGGTCTATGGAAGACAATATTTAACCATTTAACATTTTAAAAGATGACAATACTAATTATATTCATATTTGTCATGTGTGACAGTAAAAAATGCACCATCATGTCAACAACTCCTATCCGAAATGCTCTCCATTCCATTACTGTGCATTTGCATTTAAGAAAATACTTGACCGATACATCAATTTGATTCTCCAAAGCAACCTGGTTCACATGCACATTACCGGTTGGTATTATGCTTGACCACTAGTTTTTACATTAGGAGGCCTGAGACGTATTTGAGGACCTCTAAACCAATAAAACATCTCTATGAGCCACACCACACTGGCCTTGATAACAGAGGTCAAGATCATCCATTAGGATTGTCTGCTGCATTAAGCCCTACTAAACCATGACTCAACCGTTGGTCCCAGAAGATTGTTAAATTGAGTAAGGATTGAGAGTCTTTGCTTTTAGAATGCTCTTCCGTAACATTTGTGTTAGCATAGCTTGTCTCTGATTTGAATATAGACTTATCAGACAGATGATTATCTAAAGTGCAACATGGCATTAATGCTTCATTCATTTTGAGAATACAATGTGACTTAGAGAGAGGATGAAAATGCACATATATAAGCAAAGTTATCATTAGATTAGAATAAACTAAATTTAATTAAATTGTTTGCTTATTATAAAAAGGGCAATAGTCACAGTGGGTAGCGTTGTCCCCTCTTGGCAAGTAGGTCGCTGGTTCGAGCCCTCGCTGGGTCAGTTGGTATTTCTGTGAGGAGTTTGTATGTTCTCCCCGTGTTTGCGTGGGTTTCTTCCGTGTGCTCCGGTTTCCCCCACAGTCCAAAGACATGCGCTACAGGTGAATTGGGTAAGCGTATGTTGTCCGTAGCATATGTGTGTATGTCCTGGTACTCCAGGTTGGGGGTTGAGCATTGGGCTAACAACCCACCTCATAAAAACTAGATGTTACGAAACAACAGTATGGTGCGGCTAAATATCTACTTCGATATAAAGGGCCTTAATTTTATTAATAAAAAAATTTATAAAAATTCTGTCATCATTTACTCAGCTCTCATTTGTAACAATCCTGTTTGAGTTCCTTTCTTCTGTTAATATTTTGAAAAATGTTGGAAACTGGAAACCATCGACTTCCATAGTATTTATTGTTTCTACTGTGGATGTCAGTGGCTGCCAGTTTCTAATATTCTCAAAATATCTTATTTAGTGTTCAACAGAACAAAAAGACTCTCATAAAGGTTTAGAAGCACTCAAGTGTAAGTAAATAAACAGGTTGTAATTCTCTTTTCATTTTTTTGGGTGGAATATTCCAATTAAATTAAGGCAATGATGGACAGGGGCACGTGGGCAAATTTGGCCAGGATGCCAGGGTTAAACCCGTACTCTTTTTCGAAGGACATCCTGGGATTTTTAACGAACACAGAGAGTCAGGACCTCGGTGTAATGTCTCATCCAAAAGATGGCACTCACTGAGCAGTCACGATCGCAATATATATGTCCATGCTTAATATCCAATGGCCAGAAAGTGATTCATTTTTTTATAAATTGCTAAAATTGTTGTATTTGTTATGCAGCAAGCTCAGAGATTGTTGTGTACACTATGACTTTATATAAAATTAACTTTAATGTGTGATATGAATAAAAAGTTATCATAAATGAATAATTTCTCAACTCAAATGAGTGGCGACTTGGTCCCGGAAACAGTATTACAAACGTCACCACTTAACAAGCGGATACAGTCACCATCACTATACTGGGGCGTTAGGACCCACACAGACCGCAGTTTGAGTGCCTCTGTTGGCCTCACTAACACCACTTCCAGCAGCAACCTAGCTTTCGGAATGAGATCTCCCATCCAGGTACTGACAGTTTGTAATAGTCTCAAATATTAAAAACTGTATATTCAAATATTCTGCTTAGCTTCAGTTGGCACATCATGTGAGAGTTGCAGAGAGCTAGCTGTCGGCAATTTAAAACACACAACACATACTTCAAAAATGAGAATTAAACAAAGATTTTAGAGAAAAGCTTAAGTAAAAATCTTAAATTAAACCACTTAAGTATGAGTAAATAATTGTAACTCTATTTCTTTTTTTTTTGTCTAAAATATTGCGATTAAATTTATTTAATTGAAATAATGTAACATCGAAACTTTCAATATTTAAATTTTAAATAATTTTTTTATATTAATATTTAATTAATAGTACATTTGAAAACTGTCATTAAAACACACACACACACACAACACATTCTACAAATATGGGAATAAAACAAACATTTTAGTAAAAAGCTTAAGTTGAGCCACTTAAGTGCGAGTAAATAAATAGTGTGTAGTTCTATTTCCATTTTTTGAGGTGAAATATTCTTAATAAATTAACTGAAACAAACTTACATAGAAATTAAATGTAATATTTAAACTACATTTTAATATTAACATAATAACATCGTTTTTTACGTTTTTACGTTTCGGGGCTCCCCTTGTTTCAGCCTCTTTGCAAACTCAGCAGTACGGGAGGTAGGGCATTCTCCTACTGTGCACCTAAATTGTGGAATGCTTATCCCACAAACATCAGGAACGCCAGTTCACTGGACTGTTTTAAGAAACTTATTAAACCTTACCTTTTTAGCATTGCTTATAATTTATGAGGCTTACTTTTTACATGTATTTTTTTTATATTTAATGTTTTATTGTGTTCTGAGGCTCTTGTTAGCACTTTGAGTCTGAGAAATGCTCATTATAAACAAAATTTATTTTTATTATTACATTTATTCATTCATTCTTTTTCCTTCGGCTTAGTCTCTTTATTCATCAGGGGTTGCCACAGCGGAATGAACCACCAACTTATCCAGCATATGTTTTACACAGCGGATGCCCTTCCTGCTGCAACCCAGTATTGGGAAACATCCACCTCATTCACACTCGTACACTACGGACAATTTAGTTTATTCAATTCACCTACAGCTCATGTCTTTAGACTGTGGGAGAAACCTGAGCACCTGGAGGAAACCCACGCAACCACGGGGAGAACATGCAAACTCCACACAGAAATGCCAACTGACCCAGCCGGGACTCGAACCAGCGACCTTATTGCTGTGAGCAATGCTAACCACTGAGTCACAGTGTCAATTTAAAAAACATATCACACATACTACAAATATAAGACTAAACTTCAATAGTAAATAATGGAAACTTTTCCAGTTAGGTTTCACTTGTTAACAAGAGTTAATTTTGTTACAGAAATTCTCTATCAAAGTTCATCATAATGTATGGAATCTACACGTATCAGCATCCCTTACATTATGATAGAAAGAGAGCACAGCGTTTAAAAGCAGCAGCTTTAAAAGCATTGAAAGCACATGGTGTCTCTGAGGTTTGCTTACATTGCTGGATGTTATTCCATCTATAGTTGCCTCTAAGAGAGTTGTTGTGATATTTAATGCGGTTGTTTGCAGGGTCTTTCGTGGATAAGAACGTGTATGACTGGAGCTCTGAGGAGGAGGAGGCCGACGGTCGGGCGCGTCCGGTGCAGGTGCTGGTGGTGAAAGATGACCATACGTTTGAGCTGGACGAGGCAGCGCTCAGTAAGATCCTGCTGTCCGAGGAGGTCCGAGACAGAGAGGTGGTGGCCATTTCTGTGGCAGGAGCCTTCCGGAAGGGCAAATCCTTCCTCATGGACTTCATGCTGCGCTACATGTACAGCCAGGTCAGGTTGTCTTAAAGTGCTGGTTCACCCAAAAAGGAAAATGATGTTATTGATTCCTCACCCTCATGTCATTCCAGACCCTTGAGTCCTTTGTTTATTTTCAGAATGCAAATTTAGATATCTAAGGTGAAATCAAATAGTTAAATCCTCTATAGACAGCAAGGTTCCAGACTCTAATATAGTCAAGAAGCAAAAAACAAAAAATAAATAAATAAAAAATTGCTCAAAACAGACCACATCTTTATTTTTTTAAAACTTTTGCCCCCTTTTTTTTATACTTTCCATATTTTCTATTTATTTAACGTTATACCCATGGCCTATGTTGCTAATGAAATACCTAAACAATCTGAATTTGAATTGTGTTCATTTGAACAATTGTAATTTCAAAAATCTGAATTTTTATATGCCATTGCTTTAAATTTTTAAGGCTGAATTTTTATAGACGTATTTTCAAACTTCAGATTTTTGGTGTTCTGAATTCATAGACTGCAGATATCCAGTTTGTAAAAATACAGTTTCAAATTTTCAAATTCAAATTCAATATCCTAAACTTTAAAACCAGAAATTCAGATCGTGAAATTCCGATTCAGCAGAGAGTAGGTCACAGAGCTGCATGAGTTTACTGGTGTATCTGAGGCTCAGGAGGACACAATTCTTCTGCAAACTGACTGTCGGGCTCACCTATTTTCAGTAGTTTCTGTAATAAATACATACATGCTTCAGTGAACCAAATTTATATATTCATATTCAAGTTATGAAATTAAAATTAAAATTAAGAAATTCAAAACAATTTTTACAGCATATAAAAATTCAGATTAAATTACAATTGTCAATAATTCAAATGAACACAATTCAAATTCAGATAGTTTTGCCATACTATTAGCTCTATAATAGCACCCTCTAATGGATTCATTTAGATATTTAAGGTGATTCCGATATTTAAGGTGAACTTGGAGAGCATATACAGTAAGGTTCTAGAAGCATCCTCAAAACAGACCATTCATCTTCATTTGTTTAAAATGTATGACCCTTCTTTACGTTTGGCTACTTTCTTTTTAATATTGGCCCTTCTTTTAATTATTTATACTTTTATTTTACTCTATACCCATAGCGCCATCTGATGGATTAATTTAGATATTTAAGGTGAAATCGGAGAGCTCCCTCATCCTCCATAGACAGCAAATTTCCAGACCCATTCAGAAAATTCAGGTCCTCATTCAGGTCTGTTTTGTGGATGTTTTTTGCTATTATTCTGGACTTTCTGATTCAAGTCGAGTCGGGACCGTTGCTTTGTATGTAGCGCCACAGCTCTGCATAGTTTAGTTCCAACCCTAATTAAACACACCTGATCAAACTAATTGAGTCCTTCAGGCTTGTTTGAAACGTACAGGTAAGTGTGTTTAAGCAGGGTTGGAACTAAACTGTGGAGGGCCCTCCAAGACCTGGCTTTGATACCGGTGTCTTATGATGAACAAAGGTTTCAGGGGTCTGGAACAACATTAGGGTTGGTAATTAACATCTTTTTCATTTAAGGATTTATTTATTTTAATTACCAATAAAACTGCCAGTGGATTAATTTTATCCATGTACATGATTATAGTTTTGATATGGCTGAATCATATTGTCACAGTTTTCTTTATAAAGTAATGTCTCAGCAATGATGCTGAGCCGACCAAGGACACGAGAAATCTCAACAACATCAGATCATCTCTAGTCTCCATCACTCACTCAAAAAAAATATTCTTGCTTCTTGTTCAAGCTACTTATTTAAAATGAGCAGAATCAACACAATACTTGATCTTTATTTGGGACAACCTAATTTTTTAATGTTCAATTAACTTAATTTGTGTTGGGACAACATGAAGAATTTGTTTGGAACCCAGCATTTATTACACTGTGTTTAGTGTCTCTAATACTTGTTTGACATTCATATACCTTTTCATCTATTGTAACTAAAAGTAAATACCAGTATCTTAGCGGGTGAAAGGAGTTGCTTAGCAAATATGTCTGTGCAAAAATAAAGACATATAATACAGGTGAATTTGACCTGCTGGTGTGTATTGGTATAAATACCCCATTTTGTATGCTTCTGAAAAAATACAATTGTAAAATTTTAGTAAAAGCCAGTGACTGGAATACTTACTGTTAGTCTTACTTTCTGTGAATCTGTAATTTGTGCCTGTGTGTTTAGGCCAGTGAAAAGTGGTTGGGGGATGCTGAAGAGCCGCTGACAGGATTCTCATGGAGAGGAGGATCAGAGCGGGAGACCACCGGAATCCAGATCTGGAGTGAAGTCTTCCTGGTGGACAAACCAGACGGTAGCAAGGTGAGAGCCCATCTAACCTACTTGGACACTACAGTTAATCACACTACCTGTACTGTTTAAATGTTTGGGGGTCAATTATCTTTGTAAATGTTTTTAAGTATCTAGCATTTATTCTGAATTTATTTAATTAAAGATACAATAAAAACAGTAATGTTATGAAATACTGTATTTTTACTATTTAAAATGTTCACGTAATGGAAAACCCAAATTATTAGCATCATTGCTTTATTTATCAGTGTCACGTGAGAAACCGTTTAAAAATATTGTTTTGGTGCTCATGAAATGCTTTAAGAATAAGAAAAATCTGAGGAGTTTATTATAAATATCATCATTAACAACTCTTACTGTATTTATCAGTTAATATAATGTACAAAAGAATAGCATTTATTTAAAGAAGAAATCTTAACAAGCAGAATTACTTTTTTCATTATAAATGTCAGCTTATGATCAACTAATTGTTGAATAGAAGCAGTCATTCCTTACTGACCCCAATGGTACATGTGGTCATAAACATTTCATGCTTGTTATCAAACTATTTCATAACTGTAACAAGAGGCAATTCAATCATAATGTTAACATAACTATCATAACATTATTTATCATTATATGGCTTTTTGTATTCTCAGAAGCTATAGAAAATTAAAAATGTAAAAAAGGAAATACGCTGGGACCATTGCTTTTGTCGCTCAAAATGGTCTAGTTTCAAGACTTTAACAGCTTTATAACATATCTACTGTATGTAAGCTGAGTCTTTACCGTATTCTTGTATGTTAAATGAAGTAAAACTCCCTGAGAGGTTTGTGTCATGGTTTGAAAGGCAGTCGTGTATTATATCTTTTCGCCTTTAGGTGGCAGTGCTGCTAATGGACACACAAGGAACCTTCGACAGCCAGTCCACTCTCCGTGACTCAGCTACTGTATTCGCCCTCAGTACCATGATCAGCTCTATGCAGGTTTTACATTCACAACACTGCACAAATATCACCCCCAAAATAAGTGAAGTAATAACTCTTCGTTCTCAGTGAAAAGTTAACATTGACGCCATTTCGGTTCCTTCTAGGTGTACAACATATCCCAGAATGTTCAGGAAGACGATCTTCAGCATTTGCAGGTATATAAAGACTCATACAGGAATCCACAATGATAGTAAATGTAGTGAGACAGTTAGGCTTTAAAGATTGAGAACTACAGTGGGTGTTTGCAAGAAATTAAAGTTTCTTGACAGCATTATTATTACCTTATCACATTAGTCCTGCTTGGAATGCAATAATCTGGGAAAGCTGTAGTTTTGTGTGTGAAACAGAACTGAAAATAATCTTACATTTATAATGTGAAACAATATACAACAATAAATATTTTTATAAGTAATAAGTATGTGTTTTTCTGTGACCTGTATAGCTCTTCACCGAATATGGCAGACTGGCTATGGAAGAAACATTTCTCAAACCGTTTCAGGTATTATTTTAACGCTTCGGCTGTCAGCTTCTAACAGTGATACAATTCTGAAAGCAGCATCTGTTTTCAGTATGTTTTGTTCCAAAGTTTCATGTAATGATACTCGTATAAAAAATGTCCCTAACCACCTGCTATGTGTCATTTCACAAGTCACTGATCTTTCTGGTGCGGGACTGGAGCTTTCCATACGAGTTTCCTTATGGACAGGAAGGAGGAATGAAATTTCTGGAGAAAAGATTAAAAGTAAGTCTATGGAATCATGGAAATGTCAGGAGGATTTACACCAGGATTTTGCATTTTTGTGGCCTAAAATGGCAGCATTTCTCAAAACATGCAGCAATATTTGTGGAATTCCTCGTGTTGTTTTGCTGTAAAAAAATATAAAAAGAGAACAATCTACATTTTTTTACCTCAAGAATCAATGAGCTTCATAATTGATATAAATAAAACGCTAAGAGAGAATCGATGGATCCTCAGTGTAGCCCTATTGTATCGTATTTTTGCCAAACACAATTAAAATCACTGAGCTTTATCATAAAAGTAAGCATGTAAACATCATTTTACTATCAGGGCAATAAATTATATATAAAGGCATTTTATGTAAGTATTCTGCTTTGATGTTGTTAAAATATAATTGATTTGAAATAAATAGCTTTTTTTTGCCCAGTTTGAGCCACTAAGTAAAACTGAGCAGTTTTTCTTCCCCCTTTGTATCCTCACTATATACTATACGAGACATTTAAAACCTGATGTATCAATGTAATTATATATTAAACTTTATTTTAAGGTGTCTTTGTTACAGTTTACATTTAAAATTTTTGAGTTATGGTTATTAATTACACCACGTGCTTACCATATGGTATGGGTTAGAATGCAGGATAGATTTAGTGTTAGTTCTTAAGGAAACACATAGAATATGTAACAAAGACACCTTAAAATAAAGTGTTAACCATAACCATAACTGACATAGAAAATATAATAATATAGGGTTACACTTTATTTTAAGGTGTCCTTGTTATAGTGTTTATGAGTAGTTCTAATTTATTACTTGACCTTACTATATTAGGGTTAGATTGCAGCTTAGTTGTATGTAATTATGCATTATTAATTGTAATTAGTATAGTAGTAAATACATGGAAGACATAACAAGGCCACCTTAAAATAAAGTGTTAACCTAACCCTAACTGACAGAATGATATGTAAAGATATAGGGTTACACTTTATTTTAAAGTATCCTTATTATAGTGTTCATTTAATGTAATGAGTAATGGGGATTATTATTTACAAGCAATTAACATGTCGTTAGGGTTGGAATGCAGGTTAGATTTAGGATTAGTTGCATGTAATTATGTATTACTAATTGTAATTACTATAGTAGTAAATACATGGAAGACGTAACAAGGTCATATTTAAGTAAAGTGCTTAACCTAACCCTAACTAATATACAATGATATGTAATAATATAGGGTTACACTTTCTTTTAAGGTGTCGTTGTTATACTGTTTATTTAACTGCTGAGTATTCATTCATTCATTTTCTTGTCGGTTAGTCCCTTTATTAATGCGGGGTCGCCACAAAAACCACCAACTTATCCAGCACATTTTTACACAGCGGATGCCCTTCCAGCCGCAACCCATCTCTGGGAAACATCCACACACACACACACATACACAACCACTCATACACTATGGACAATTTAGCCTACCCAATTCACCTGTACCGCATGTCTTTGGACTGTGGGGGAAACCAGAGCACCCGGAAGAAACCCACGCAAACGCAGGGAGAACATGCAAACTCCTCACAGAAACGCCAACTGAGCCGAGGTTCGAACCAGCGACCTTCTTGCTGTGAGGCAACAGCACTACCTACTGCGCCACTGCTTTGCCCCTAACTGCTGAGTAATGGTTATTAATTACATGTGCTTCCTATATGCTTAGGGTTAGAATTCAGCTTAGAGTTAGGGTTAGTTGCATGTGACTTGACTTAAGTCGCAAAATTTAGGGCTTGAAACTTGCTTGACAAATATCCAAAAAAGACTCGACTTGACTTGGACTTGACTGTCATGACTTGAGACTTGACTTGGACTTGAGTTAAATGACTCCAAATAATTTGTTTAATAAATAACTGTTTGTTATATAATATGCATTACATACAAAGCCAAAAGTTATATATGTAAATATAAATCGCAAAAGAAATTGCAAATATATATATATATATATTTTTTTAAAATCAACAAAAACTTAATTGACTTGAAAGTGACTTGCTAGACCAAGCTATGACTTGACTTGAGATAAGCAGTGACTCGACTTGACTTGAGTCTGGCAAAAATGGACTTGACTTACTTGAGACTTGAAGGTTGTGACTCGAGACTTGCTTGTGACTTGTAAATGTGTGACCTTCTCCCATCTCTGGTAATTACTATAATAGTAAATACTTAGAATATGTAACAAGAGCACCTTATAATAAAGTGTTTAACCTAACCCTAATCCCAACTGACAGAATCAGAAAACTCTTCTTTCTTTTAACACGTTTTAGTTCAGATTAAATTGTTTACTTGAAGGTTAGGATATCGCCAAATCCTACAAGACCTGCTAAACATACTGAAATCATTGAAACTGAACCACCGCTAACATCAATGTTTTCAAAAATATTATTAAAATCTAATGTTCAGTAATATCATGTTTTTTCACAGATCTCAGAGAATCAACACGAGGAGCTGCAGAACGTGAGGAAACACATCCATTCGTGCTTCACCAACATCTCCTGCTTTCTCATGCCCCATCCAGGACTCAAAGTGGCCACAAACCCCCATTTTGACGGCAGATTGAGGGGTATATATCTAACAATACATGCTAATCAGTAGATCTTAGTTTCGCTGTGAAGTATTTTAAAAACAATGTTCATTTATTTTCGATCTTGTGTTTTCAGAGATCGATCAAGAGTTCATCAATAATCTGCAAGTGCTTGTTCCGTGTTTACTACGCCCCAAAAACCTGGACGTAAAAGAGATCAATGGAAGCAAAATCACCTGCCGTGGACTCGTGGAGTATTTTAAGGTAACAGTTTTGTTGGTAGTGTTGTTGCTACTGTTAGGAATAAGACTATTAATACTCAAAAAAATTACTATACTTGCGAGAGTTACGATATGATAGAGGATTTAAAGCATGAAAAATTGATATTCAACAATGTCGTTTATTTTAATCTGCAGGTATCAATATATCTTTTATTTCTAATTTGTCTGCTGTTAATAAATGTTCACTTTACATTTGGAAATCTTGGAGTAAACTGAATATCTGTTTGTGATTTTAGGCGTATATCAAGATTTACCAGGGAGAGGAGCTGCCACATCCAAAATCCATGTTACAGGTGCGAGAGCTTAACCTTCAGCACACACATTCCACAGAATATAAGGTGCGATTTCGAATATAGCCATAGTAAGTTATGTTATGTTGTGTTTGTGTTCACAGGCCACAGCAGAGGCCAATAATCTGGCAGCAGTGGCTGGAGCTAAAGATCTGTACAACAGGAAGATGGAGGTGGTGAGTGTGACATTAACAGGGATGCATGATATATTGGCTGCCATATTGATTAGCAGGTAAATGCTTATCTTAATAATGAGCTGATAATAAAGTTATTAGTCAGTTTTCACATTTCGAAAAAGTTAAGTTCAAGATTTATATTTATCAGCTTATATATTTCCGATCATCTTCATTGCCATATTGTCAGGACAGCATGAATCTTATTTATATCCAACTAGTCAACAAATAACAAAATGACCCTGCCATATTTGAACTTTAACTATCCCAACATAAGATATATGAAATAAACAAAATAAAAAATAATAATAATAAATAAATAATAATAATAAAAAATTACACTCTGGGTGTCTTAAGAGTTTATACAAGGTTGAAGTCAAAATCATTAGCCCTCCTGTGAATATTTTCCTTTTTTCAAATATTTCCTTAATGTTCAACAGAGCAAGGAAATTTTTACAGTATTTCCTTGATATTTTTTTCTGGAGAAAGTCTTGTTTTTTTTTTTTGGAAAAAGTTTTTAGTTGTTCAAAACCATTTTAAGGTCAAAATTATTAGCTGCATTAAGCAAATTTCCCCCTAGCTTGTCTGTTAACCTAATTAACCTAGTTAAGCATTTAAATGTCACTTTAGGCTGAATACTAGTATCTTGAAACATATCTAGTAATATTTAATGTACTGTCATCATGGCAAAGACAAAAAAAATCAGTTACTAGCTATTAATACTATTATGTTTTGTATATAATGTGTTGGGCAAAAAAGACAGAAATAAAAAAAATAATAATAATTTAACAGGAGGGCTAAGAATTATATATGTATCTGTAATCAGCTTCCAAATATTAAGAATTATCAGTTTTGCCAAAAAATCTTTATCGGTTTATCCCTAATTAGCATGAGTTGGACCGGTAAATTTTTTGGCAATTACTGAAGTGTCGATTTTTCTTTTATTGCACAAATCATTAGATATTAAAGAAAGATAATGTCCAATTTTGTACATTTTTACTGTAAATAAATCAAAACTAAATTTTTGATTAATAACGTGCATTGCTAAACCCTAACCCTAACCTTAATGTGATTTTCTCCATGTTTTTGAACCCTCAGATTTCAGACTTTCAAATAGAACAAATCTCAGTCAAATATTATCCTATACTAACAAAGTATCCATACATGTAAAGCCTATCTATTCAGATTTTGGATGTACATCTACATTTTTAAAAAGCTGATACTTATTCCTGTCTTTGTGGTCCACAGGCACATTCAGCTAAAGTCAGAATTATGTGCCATCCTCAATTATAAGCCCCTCTGTATATTTTCCCCCCACTTTTAGTAAAGCTGAAAGAATATTTTGTTTCCCAACACATTTTTAAACATAATAGTTTTAATAAATCATTTCTAATAACTGATTTCTAAAATATTTTACATGATATTATTCAAGATACTAGTATTCAGCTTAAAGTGACATTTAAAGGCTTAATCAGGTTCATTTGGTTTTGGTAATTGGGCAAGTTATTGTATAAGGATGGTTTGTTCTGAAGACTAACGGGGCTAATAATATTAACCCTAAAATGGTTTTAAAAAATTGAAAACTGCTTTTAGTCTAGCCAAAATAAAACAAATAAGACTTTCTTCAGAAGAAAAAATATTATAGAAATACTGTAAAAAAATGCCTCAGGTAAACATCATTTGGAAAATATATGAAAAAGAAAAACTAAATAAATCAGAGAAGGGCTTACAGTTTTGACTTCAACTGCATGTTTTATCTCTCCAGGTGAGTGGAGGAGATCGTCCTTTCCTCGCCCCGAGTGAACTTCAGGCACGTCACCTGGAGATCCGCGAGGAGGCGTTAGCATTATTCCGCAGTGTGAAGAAGATGGGTGGCGAGGAGTTCAGCCGGCGTTACCTGCTGCAGCTGGAGACCGAGATCGATGAGCTGTTCGTTCAGTACATCAAACACAACGACTCCAAGAACATCTTTCACGCGGCTCGGACACCCGCCACGCTCTTTGTGGTGATCTTCGTGATGTACGTGGCCGCAGGAATCACAGGCTTCGTGGGAGTGGATGTCATCGCCAGCGTCTGCAACATGGTGCTGGGGTTTGCGCTCATCACTCTGTGCACCTGGGCTTATATTCGCTACTCAGGAGAATACAGAGAACTGGGCGCGGTCATCGACCAGGTGGCAGGAGCTCTGTGGGATCAGGTACAACAACACTCAACACAAGAGGAAATGAGCAGAACATGTACTTTAACAGACTTTGCATTTAGATATAGCTTTTTAAAATAAATGTTGTTTTTGTATAGATAGATAGATATATATATTTAGATTGTTTAAATATTTCTATATATATATATATATATATATATATATATATATATATATATATATATACATATATATATATACATATATACACACACACACACACACACACAAACAAGGTGCATACGGAAAGTATTCATTGCACTTCACTTTTTTTTTCTTTTTTTTTTACATTTTTTTGTTATAGCCTTATTCCAAAATTGTGGATTAAACTATTCCCCCAAAATTCTGCACACAATACACCATAATGACAATGTGAAAAAAAATCTATGTGAAAAAAAAACCTGAAAAATCACATGTACATAAGTATTCAGAGCATTTGCTCAATACTTTGTTGATGCACCTTTGGCAGGAATTACAGCCTGAAGTATTTTTGAATACGATGCCACAAGCTTGGCACACCTGTCTTTGGGAATTTTTGCCCATTCCTCTTTGCAGTACCTCTCAAGCTCTATCAGGTTTGATGGGAAGCGACGGTGTATAGCCATGTTCAGATCTGTCCAGAGATGTTCAATAGGAATTAGGTATGGTCATTGGCTGGGCCACTCAAGGACATTCGCAGAGTTGTCGTGAAGCCACTCCATTGATATTTTCACAGTCTGCTTTGGGTCATTGTCCTGCTGAAAGATGAACCGTCGCCCCAGTCTGAGGTCAAGAGCACTCTAAAGCAGGTTTTCATTTAGGATGTCTCTGTACATTGCTGCATTCATTTTTCCCTCTATCCTGACTAGTCTTTCAGTAACTGCTGCTAAAAAAACATCCCCACAGCATGATGCTGTCACCACCATGCTTCACAGTAGGGATGATATTAGCCTGGTAATGAGTGGTACCTGGTTTTCTCCAAATGTAACGCCTGGCATTCACTTCAAAGAGTTCTAGTCAGATCAAAGAATTTGGTTTCTTATGGTCTGAGAGTCCTTCAGATGCCTTTTGGCAAATTCCAGGCAGGGAGTGGCTTCCGTCTGGCCACTCTACCATACAGGCCTGATTGGTGGATGGTTGTCCTTCTGTAAGGTTCTCCTCTCTCCACAGAAGAACGCTGGACCTCAGACAGAGTAACCATCGGGTTATGGATCACCTCTCTGACTAAGGCCCATCTCTCCCAATCACTCAGCTTAGATGGCCGGCCAGCTCTAAGAAGAGTCCTGGTGGTTCCAAACATCATCCACTTACGAATGATGGAGGTCACTGTGCTCATTGAAACTTTTTCAGAGTAGCAGACGTTTTTCTGTGCCCTTCCCCTGCATTCTGCCTCGAGACAATTGTGCTTTGACATGCACTGCCAACCCTGGGACTTTATATAGACAGGTGTATGCCTTTTCAAATCATGTTCAATCAACTGAATTTACCACAGGTGAACTCCAATTAAGCTGCTGAAACATCTCAAGAATGATCAGTGGAAACAGAATGATCCGGAGCTCAATTTAGAGCTTCTGTTACTGATTCTTAATACTGATGTACATGTGATTTTTCAGGTTTATTTTTTAACAAATTTGCCACAATTTCAAAATCTTTTTTTACATTGTCATTATGGGGTATTGTGTGTAGATATTTATATATTAATTTAATCCATTCTGGAATAAGGCTGTAATGTAAAAAAAGTGAAGAGCAATGATTGCTTTCCGGATGCACTGTACATTAAAATATAAATGACATATTTAACATAACATAATCTTACTAGTCTTTTCCTTGTTATGCAAAGCCACATTTAATAGTATTATTTCACAATATTATTACAGTTTAAATATAAACAATAATATAATATAATAAATAAACAAATACATATATAAATATAGAAACATTTTAATACATGTCCCACTTCTAAAGGAATATATTAAAATAAAAAATTAAAATGTGTTTATGGAAACCATACTTCTCACTGTAATTTAACAAAAATATTGCTGATAAATAAATATTAGCTGTCTATCTTGATCAAAATGATTGGATACCCGATAAAATATATGACATATTTATTACATTCTGTTTACATATTAAACTATTATATGTATGTGCGTATATACACACACACGTATATATGTATGTCTATATGTATATATATGTATGTGTGTGTGTGTGTGTGTGTGTGTGTGTGTGTGTGTGTGTGTGTGTGTGTGTATATATATATATATATATATATATATAAAATGATCAAAAGTGTGTATGATTATCTATGACAAATAGATCTGCTTTACGACATAAATTTACCATTTCCTTATCTCTTTGTTTTAGGGAAACACAAATGAGGTGAGAAGGCTTTACTGTACCTGCACACACTCACCTTTCAGCTTACATACTATCCCATAACACTTTACAATCTCTGTCATGTCTCCCTCAGGCTCTGTATAAGCTGTACAGCGTAGCGGCAAACCACAGGCAGCTGTATAATCATGCCTTCCCTGGACACCAGAGCGACCAACAGCCCGAGCAGGACAAGAAACGAAACTGACCGAACACAGCTTGTGGACAGAGACAGTAGAGCGTACGTACAGTCAAAGAGAGAAAGAGACGCGGGACAGTTCTCCATCTGGTCACATTCACACAACACAGAAACATCATCCTGCACCTACAGCTCAGGCCCAGAGTCACATGATGAGGAAAATCAGACCCCGAAGAGAGTCTGCAAACATCCAGGCTGACCTGCAGTAAAACAACGAGTCACAGTATTAGTTCTGCCGCTCATCTTCTCACTGTAAATACGGTTTCTCTCTTTGACACTCACATGAAAGCAGTCTGTTCTTCTTTTGTAATGGATGTTGTTCGTTGAGTTCAGTGCTATTTATAAGGGAATAAAATACTACATGTTTAAAACACAAGCTGTCGTCGAGATCATTCTGAATGATAATCAAATAACTATTATTCAACAACAGGCACTCTCAGGATGAGTGCTCTAGAAAGAGGACAAAGTGTTTCCTCTGAAGTTATTCTGAAATGATAAGTGGGATTATAGGGCTGCACAATACATCGGGTCCAGCATATCGCAATGTGCGCATTCACAATAGTCACCGCAGGATATGTATTTTTTAAAGGAACACTCCACTTTTTCGGAAATAGCCTCATTTTACTAGTCCCCAGATGTAAACAGTTGAGTTTTACCATTTTTGAATCCATTCAGCTGATCTTCAGGTCTGGCGAAAGCACATTTAGCTTAGCTCAGCATAAATCATTGAATCGCATTAGACCATTAGCATCTTGTTCAAAAATACAGATGATTTAGATAACTTTACTATTTAAAGCTCGACTCTTCTATAGTTACATTGCATCCTAAGACGGACACAGCTCATGATTATAGTTGTCCATGAGCTGCAGTAGAGAAGACATGAGATTTGTGTAGTTACTGCAGAGTTTAACGGAGTGAACGTTTATCATCAGCATGTGTTTTAAGGCCTAAGTGAGTTGAAATCATTCAGATATTTTACCATTTTTGTTAAATTATTTATACAGTAAAGAATCTGCAGTGTAAATTTAACATTTGATTATTACATTCCTGTATCTAAAAACTATTTGACTACCCTGAAATCCGTAAATCACTGTTTATTTCACTTTCATCTTTTCTATAAAGTATTTGTCTGTGCTTGTAATTTGTTTATTATATTTTAAGCATGATTCACAGCCCTACAAAATCAACCCAATTAATCAAACCTAATAAATTCTGTCCAAAATGAGATATTCACTTCATCTGGTGAAATTGTATTTCATATATTTAACTACAAAAACAAAATGTAATATTGCAATGTCAAATTTTTCTAATATTGTGCAGCTCTAAGTACACTTACAAGTACATCAACACATGTGTACACACGCACGCACGCACACACGCACGCATTTTGGGAAATAGGCTCATTATACAAGTCCTCTAGATTTAAACAGTTGAGTTTTACCATTTTTGAATCCACTCAGCTGATCTCCAGGTCAGACGGGACCACATTTATCTTAGCTTAGCATAAATCATTGAATCGGATTAGACCATTAGCATCTCGTTAAAAAATAACAGATAATTTACATAAATTTACTATTTAAAATTTGACTCTTCTGTAGTTATATTAGCTATGCTTCTATCCAAAAATTCAAATTACTTTATGCGCAAAACTAGATTATCGTATAAAAGACGTGCAAATAAAGCAGCGTTTTCATCCAACGAGTCAAATCGAACAAAATCGTCATTTTCTGATTATCTGGTGGCAAAAATCAACAGTAAAAACAGAATTTGCTGTGACAAGAAAAGCTGAGTGAATCTTTATTTAATAAATGACTTGTGCCTAAAACCAGGCTTAGACGCGGAGCACAGACGCTCTTGATTCTGGAGGTCATTAATAATATATTAACACTTATACTGAAACGACTCAGGCATTTTAGAATGACCAAAACAACATTTCAGATGTTTTACAGTGTGCTCAGCCTGCTGGTTTGTCCATTCACACACATTTTTATCATCACATGATTTTTTATAACAATCGCATGACCCTTTTTAATTTGCATACTGGAATTTGTTCGGTAAAAGTGTATCCATCTTAGTGTACGTGCACCTTTTCCTATTGAATAAAAATGTATCCTACTCAATTGTGCATTTTCAAAGTTTCTGCACATCTTGGTGTTTCCATCAACTTTTTTTTTTTTTATGTGCATATCCAAAATAGGTGGATGGAAACAGCTATTGTGTCCCAAGACTGACAGAAATGGCTAGAAACAATACTCTCATTTGGAAAATGTATGTATTTGAATTAATTTGATTACATTTGATACATTTAAGTATTTACATTTTTTATTTAATCAGATTTAAAGCTTTATGCAAAGCTAAGCTAAAAGGGTCTCCGTCAGAACTGGCTGAATAGATTCAAAATTGAAATCTCTAAGGGAGTCATAAAATGAGCCTATTTTGGTGAAAGGAAAGAGTTTCTTAAATAAGTTCATACCTTTGCTAACATTTATAATCATAAAAAAAGGCCCATAGACCTAGTGGTTAAGTGCGCAGACATAGACCATTTTGAGAGATGTACTGTAAACAATAACAATGGTCCTGACGTATTTCCTGTTTTACATTTTAAATTTCTATTGCTTTTGAGAATCCAATAAGAGCTACATTTTGACAAATAAAGTTACGATAGCTATTATAACATCAAGTTGTGATGATTGACTCCCCTCTTGTTACAGTTAGAAATAGTTTGACAACAAGAAGGAAATGTTCATGAGGCAATGACATCACCACTTTGAAATGGTCTATAACACCATGGTGCTCACGGCAACCCGAGTTCGATTCCAAGCTCCAGGTCTTTTGCCGACCCTTCCACCTCTCTCTACTCCCAATACTTTCCTGTCTGTAACCTCCACCATCCTTTCCAATTAAAGGTCAAAAACCCCTAAAAACAACTTTAAAATAATAATAATAATAATAATAATAAAGTAAGTAAATATAAAGAATTTATTCAAAATTATTATGCAGAAAACTGAGAAATATGGAAAACATTCTCACCCACACACACACACACACACAATACAAGGTCCTGGTTTATTTAGTGATGATGCTGAAAATACTTTTTACACACATTTTTAACTGGGGAAAAAACAAGCACTAACCTCTTTAAAAACGCCTTCACTTCATTCAAAGTGACGATTCAGCCTCAAAATGTTATCCTTAAATATAAGAAGCTAATTCCTTAAAAAAAGGAATCCACACAAACAATCAAGGACGAACTTACAAAAATGTCCAGGTCATATTTTACTTCAAGAAAATAAAGCACCATGAAGATTGCTCAACATTCAGAATACTAAAGCAACTTTAATTACTATGATTAAAAAAAAAATAGTGACTTTTATTATTTATTATTTGTTAATTAAATGCTAAACAATCCAAACCAGGCTTCATTTTCTTTCCATGAACTATAAATTCGGCCTGAAATGTGACCTGGATGCATTTTTGTGTGTTCGCCCTAAAAGCGAAACTATCATTGCAAATAGGATTAAACATAAATCAGTGATAACTGATAGAAGTGATTGTCCATAAAGACAATGCCATAAAGAATGACTGAGTCCTGCCATAACCCACAGCTGCCTGCAGGCCAACATATGCACAAAGACACACACGCACACACACACTTCCAACACACAGTCAAAACTCGTAACACACTGCCGTATAATAATAGAAGAGTAATAGTGTCACGTTCTGTGTAGAGTCTCTCTTTGGGCTTTATATTTGGAGTCGGATGTGAGAGTGTAAGGCACTGATAAGTAAGCTGTCTGAGTGTGTCATAACAAACAGTCAGATGTTTGGAGGGTAGTTTTTGGCTGGTTGCTGAGCGTACCACTGCTGCCGCTGTTTGCGCGTGTCCAGTTCGGTCAGCAGCGCTTGTCGATATGCTTCATAAGATTTGACGATGCACTCCAGCTCCTTCATGAAGAGCAGCTTCAGCATCCCCTGATATGTGTCCAGATCCATCAGCTGGAAGAGCTCCCACTTCAGGATGTGGTCATATCTGGGACGGAAAAACACATACATACACACGACTAATGAATCAGGACTCTACCAGACTTATGGGTTGCAAGAAACAGTCAATGAAAAACAATGAATATTATATTTTATTACTATATTATATTTTATCATATTATATATAATATTTGATTAATAAAAAAGGTTTTAGTTTGATGGTTTTTCTTTTATTTATGATGTAATTACATAAAAAAAGTATATACTTAATTTTTCCTAGGCCAGCCGAGAGACATAGGGCGTACTCAAACTATGCCATCCAAACCATGCTCAGGCCTGTTTCCCGGATTGTTTGAGAAGTGCGAGTGCTCTGAATCGGGCTCAGGCGCAGTTCAGTTGGCCGAACCAGGCCCAGTTGGAAGAGGTGTTCGATTCACTTGGGCTCGCCTGAGCCCGAAACTGAAGACGAGACGTTTCTTTAAAGGGACAGTTGGATATGGGTTTATTAATCATTCATACTGTTCAATGAATGCAAACTGTCGTAGATTATTAAAAACGCAAACCCCTCACTGCACGACAGCTGCACCATCAGCAAACCTCCTAATTCCTGTAGCTTGAGGACATTATGATTGTTTATGAGCGTCAAAAATGGCTGATCTCTTCAGTGAAATATTTCACTGAGGGTCGCTGCATCCCAAACGACTAAAACGATATAAAGAAATGTCCACCGTGCTGAGCGAGAACGCTTCTCACAGCGCATCATCAATGACGTAAGCGTGCTTAGTCGCGAATGCAATGAGAGTGCAGGCCGTTGAGGGAGACAGGAGGATGGACAAGCGTGCTTCAGCCTGGTTCGATGCGAGTAGTGCGAGTACGCCCATAGTCCCACCAGCCTGTCTTGGGTCTTCCCTGAGGCCTCCTTGAACCTTTGAACATTAGATACGATAGCAAATCATTCCAATTTTGTAAAGGTTTCGAGCCGCTTTCTAGTTACAGTTTTCTTGTTGGACGCTAGAAGTATTTTTAATAAATACTTGTCTTATATCATTAAAGTTGGCTGCTACAGGTATATTTTCCAAGTAAATTGTTGTAAAAGAGATGTCCATTCCATCACTAAAATATTTTGTATTACCTAACTACAAGTCACACGTTTGCACTACATTGAAAATGATTGGAAGCTGCGCTAGAGATGCACTAAGACAGCATATTTTCCATAAGAATAAATTAATATTTCAATAAAATTATTTATTTACAGAAGATGCAAGAAATTGACTGTTTAGAATATTATTTACAGGATCTACAGGTGTATTTTATTTAGAAGAGATGCAGCTTATTTTTGACTTACAATATGAAAAACATCGAAAACGATTAATTTTGTTTCCAAACATTATTTATTTTCCCTTTTTATAGGAAAAAAGTGACTTGGTTTTAGACAATGTGTGTTTTCATTCAGTTGTTTATTGTTAATGTTCAATAAATAATCATAGATTGTAGATAATGTGTGTTTCCTTCAATTATTTTAAAATCAAGTAATGCACTCTTCATTTAACAATCTGTCACTTGTGATATGTGAGCTTATTTACTAAACAAAACCTCTCAGTGAATTATGTGGCAAAAAATGAAATAAAATAAAATCAAACAAAAAAATTGTTCATTAATCAGAATAGAGTTAAAATTTTAATCTAGTTTTTGATTTTAGGCCAAATCGCCCAGCCCTACTTGACATCTCCAAAATATGTGAAAATGGTTTGCTAAGTCTTCTCCACATCTCCTTCAGCACTTTCCCAGATCCTTCTTCTGAGTTTGCATTCATGCAAACTGGGGATTTATAAAGTATGTAGTCAGATTCCTCCAGCAAAAAACTCACCACATACCAGAGCTGAAAAAAGTGGCATGAACAGAGCAGATATTTAAGCAACATAATTACTAGAATTGAACTAAAATAATCGACATGTCTATTTCTTAAACACTGTTAAATATACTGTTGTCAACTAAAATTCATTTATTCATTCATAAATATATTTTCAGCTTAGTTCCTTTATTAATCTGGGGTCGCCACAGCGGAACGAACCTACAACTTATTCATCACATTTTTACGCAGTAGATGCCCTTCCAGCTGCAATCCATCACTGGGAAAGTCAACTAAAATGGACTCAAAATATTGTCATTGAATTGAAATAAACCAGACAAAAAGAAAAAGCTAATTTAACACAATCACTTCTGTAACAGTATATAAACAATATAATTGTAGTTAAATATAAACCGTGTTAAAAATATGTCTAGAAGAGTAGAGCTGTAAAAAGTAAAAGTGCTGATATACATAGTTGCCCACCTGTTACCACACGTTAGCTGAATTCCATATTAATGCAACAAGCTGCAATGTTGTTCAGCAACCATAAACAATCTACAGTTACATCATGCCTACACTGATCACATGTCACTTCCTAACTAAAACACTACAAATTAAAACTAAGGCCTTTACAATAAATGACTGGATGGTACATTATGTCAGATTAAAGTCCATCTAAAATCGAAATGAGTTTTTTGGGTGTTAGTATTAATATTTTAGTTTTAAGGTCATCTATAAGCTAGTATGCGTTTAAAACAAAGACAGCATCTTTTTTAGAAGATATAAGCATTCAAAACATGCATGTTCTCAGTTCCGAACAATTTTCCATGACAGAGCACTTTAGCTTCTCATCAGACTGTCTGACCAATCGAAATGCTCTTTAGTATCTCAAATGGCACATAGTGCTACTAAACAAGGGACGAACAATTTAAGCAATGTAAATAAGATTTCAGAGACACAAGAACATAACTGGATCATATACACTAGTCATTTAAATTATTCTTTTTTTTTTTTAGGTAAATTACCTAGACAAGACCAGCATTACTATTATAAGCTTCCATCCACATATGGAATATCGCAAAAAAAAAAAGAGTAGGATAAACTTATCCATAGATAAACTACAATGTAATCACATTTGCCAAATAAATTCCAGAATACACAGCAAAAAAAAAAGTCTTGTGATTTTGTATTAACAGATCACGAAACAAAAATAGGTATGATGGGGTAGCACTAACGGGCCAATCTATCACATTGTTAAATATTTAAACTGTTGTTTTGGTCATTCCTTATTCTCCATGGCACAGTGGTTTGATATTATTACTTGCCAAAATTTTCTTAAGCCCCTGTGCTCCCAAAGAGCAATCTCACACCACCAAAAGCCACCACACGCTAAATGAGTTTCCACAATGAGAATCATTGTGTTAGAGTTAAAATCGCATCACACGCTAAACAAAACTGCATTTCAAGGCACTTGAGGGGACCTTTAATGTTGGACAATCTGTGTGAGAGTGTGAAACTTACTTTAGTGGAGCTCTGGCGTACACCTGTAGCCAGTCTGGAATCTCAGCTGAGTGATACGGGTTTGCTGGTACCAGTACAGGCGGGTTGCGTTCTGGTGGGCGGGGCTGGTAGGTGACGGGTGGGGGAGGGGGCTGGTCATAACGAGGCACACTAAAACAAAGAGAGTTGGCATATTTTAAAAACAAAATGGCATCAAACAGTCTAGATAATCAGTAATATATTATCATAATGAACATACACATATCATATACAGTTCAAGTCAAAATTGTTTGTCCTCCTGTGATTTTTTTTTCCCCTTTTTTAAAAAATATTTCCCGAATTATGTTTAACAGAGCAAGGAAGTTTTCACAGTATTTCCTTTAACATTTTTTTCTTATTTGTTTTATTTCAGCTAGAATAAAAGCATATAAAAGTGTATATATTTTTTAAGGTCAATATTTATAGTCCCCTTTAAGCAATATATTTTTTCTATTATCCACAGAACAAACCATTATTATACAATGATTTGCCTAATTACCCTAACTAGCCTAAATAACCATTTAAATTGCACTTTAAGCTGATATCTAGTACCTTAAAAAAATCTAGTAAGATATTATTTACTGTCATCATGGCGAAGACAAAATAAATTATTAGAAATTAATTATTAAAACTATTATGTTTAGAAATGTGTGGGAAAAAAAATCTTTTCTTTAAACAGAAATTGGGGAAAAGTATACATGAGGGCTGTATATCATTATAGCGTATGTTTAAATGACACTAACCTGGGTGCACAGGGGTGTCTGTACTGGGCACGTTTGTTGATGTGGTCAACATAATAGACTCCAAACTCGGCCGACTCCACCCTCTCCCAGCCTGGCGGAAGCCCCTCCCTCTCCAGCGGATGGCTCCAATGAGTCGTGTTTGTGTTGTGATCGATGAAATACTTCCTTCCTCGTATCGTCCAATCTACAGTCCAGCCAGGAGGAAGAGCCGCCTCCTCCCCGCTCATGGTCGTCAGATTACCCACTGACTTTGCTGGCACTCGGCCAATTGCTAGAAAGAAAAAAAAACCCACACATTCAGGAAAGTATTACAAATATGTGTGGAAAATGCTTCTAGAATGAGCTATTATAAGTTTGAATGAAAAAGGAGGTGGAGTGAAATGAAAGAGAGACGAAGAGCAAACAGCAAGTCGCAGCTGCAGATATTAAGCTAAAACCCCCAGTAGACTTTCAAAAGTTCAGCACAAAGAAAAAAACACATACGCACACACACACACACACACACATCATCACAGGGTGAAGGAAAGGGCAAACAACAAATGTACATTTCTCTCAGTCTCACAGATCATGAGAAACTGCAACAGAATAACAGTGGAGAAAATGTGTGTGTAATGTATATTGTAGGACAAGAAAAAAAATGAGATTTTCTGGTCATAAAAAAAAAAAAAAATTAGCAATCATTTCAACCTACCTCTTATTTTAGACTTTAGCAAGGCTTTAAATTTTGTAAGATTGTTGAATTTTCTATTAGCCGATTTTTAACATTTCTATTAGAACATTTTTGAGTGATGCAAATAAGTTTTTTGTATTTCTACATCCCATAATTATTCATTCATTTTCTTTCCGGCTTAGTCCCTTTATTAATCTGGGGTCGCCACAGCGGAATGAACCACCAACTTATCCAGCATATGTTTTACGCAGCCGATGCCCTTCCAGCCACAACCTATTACTAGGAAACACCCATACACTCCTATTCATACACTATGGACAATTTAGCTTACCCAATTCACCTATAGCGCATGTCTTTGGACTTGTGGGGGAAACCAGAGTACCTGGAGAAAACCCACGCAAACAAAGGGAGAACAAGTCCACACAAAAATGCCACGACAATCATGCCAACCACTGCACCACTGTGACACCCTAACATAATATATGCAGGTAAATATTGTTTTTTCTTTTAATTTTGATTAAACTTTACATGATTTCAAATTATATTTATTAAAATATTTTTGATCTAATTTATTAACCAGTAAGCTTTCTCTCACAGTCTCATGTTCAAACAAAGAATAAAGATTTAATATTATTAAGTATAGAGTATGACTATTAGGTGTATATATGACCTTACACAAATTGTGAAGATTTTGTTAAAAGAAAAGCAGACATCATTGGCAGGCATGCACGCATCCTCTCATTAGTAAACAAACAGTGCGTCAGCTCATGTGCGATTTCGCAGCCACAAATTTGTCATTACAAGATGACAAATGACATTTTTGGGTGAAATATACCTTATAAATACTGTATGTGACAATTTTAACACCATTTGGAGGTGTCAATGTTGCTGAGCAATGTATATACAACAATGTGAAGACTTGTGCGACCACTTTTATACTTCTGTCCTGACCATGAAAATATGATTGGCTAAATTGTAAAAAAGCTTAATTAAGATCGGGTGTAGGGTCGAATAAAGATCTATCAATAGAGAGCTATCTTTTTTGGTTAATTGTGCAGCTCTAACTCCTATTGTATTTGTTCCCCCAATTTGTTGCTGACATTCTCTCAAATATCTTCCTTTATGTGGATTCTTGCACTGGCAAACCATTTTGGCTTTATAAGACATCAACGTATTGTCAGAAGCCACAGTTATTATTTTGTTGAACCTGTATATGGTTTGTTTGACTCCCAAAATGCTGGTAGCCACTGAATTGCATTTTATGAATTACTAAAAGCACAAATGTTTCAAAAACAAATCTTCATTAACATTTTCCTGAAGAAAAGAAGTAATCTGATCAAATGTCATCTTATTATGTTATTTAAAAAAAAACAAGAGAATGCAATATATTTAACAGAAACAATCTCTAAACTTTTACATTCAGTTGAAGTCAGAATTATTAGCCCCTCTTTGAATTTTCTTTACTTTTTAAATATTTTCCAAATTATGTTTAACAGAGCAAGGACATTTTGAAAATATGTTTGATAATATTTTTTCTTCTGGAGGAAGTCTTATTTGCTTTATTTCGGCAAGAATAAAAGCAGTTTTTAATTTTTAAAAAGCCATTTTGAGGGTCAAAATTATTAGCCCCTTGAAGCAATTTTTTTTGATAGTCTAAAGAACAAACCATTGTTATACAATAACTTGCCTAATTACTCTAACCTGCCTAATTAACCTAGTTAAGCCTTTAAATATAACTTTAAGCTGTATAGAAGTGTCCTGAAAAATATCTAGTAAAATATTATTTATAGTCATCATGGCAGAAATAAAATAAATCAATTATTAGAAATTAGTTATTAAAACTATTGTGTTTAGAAATGTGTTGAAAACATCTCTGCGTTAAACAGAAATTGGGGAAAAAAATAAACAGGGGGCTAATAATTCAGGGGGCTAATAATTCTGACTTGAACTGTATATTCATTCATTCATTCATTCATTTTCCATCATCTTAGTCCCTTATTTATCAGGGGTCACCTGAGCGGAATGAACCACCAACTTTTCTGGCATATATTTTACGCAGCGGATTTCCTTTCAACTGCAACTTGGGAAACACCCATACACACTCACATTTACACACCGATTGGACTTCGGGGGAAACTGGAGCACGTGGAGGAAACCCACGCAAACACAAGGAGAACATGCAAACTCTACACAGAAATGCCAACTGGCCCAGCTAGGATTCAAACCAGCAACCTTCTTGCTGTGAGGTGACAGTGTTTCCACTGAGCCACCAATTTTACATAAAATCCCTCTTTTTTTATATTATTCGGCTGAAAAAGAAAGTGAATCTATGTTCAGTCAGAGGAACCTGAAGAATCTCATCCAGTAAACAGCAAATGTTCTCGTAAACACAGCAAACGTCAGTGTATTTATAGTAAAGAGTGACAATCATGTTTGTTACTCCATGCAGAGTCTATTATAATGCGTGCAAGTCTGTGCATGTGATGTGTAAATGCACACCAGTTCAAAAGTAACTCACCAGGTGGAGGGCGGCTGTGTGGCTGAGGCGTCTGGGGCTGTCCTGGGTTTCGTGGGAAGTTGAGTTCATTGTGGTCATAGTATCTGTAGTTCTCATTAAAGTGGTCTGGTCTGCGTGCTCGTCTGGGTTGGTTATTGTAGTATGGTTCTGGAGGATAGTAATACGGGCCGTTGTCTCCGTTCTCTGTTACAGAACTGGCATCGCTGATGTAGGATGGTGAGGAAGGGGAGTAATCACGATGAAGATGTGGCGGGGCAGACAGACGGTGACTCTCTCTGCGTGAAACCTCTAGCGGGGTCCGTGGAGGAGCATTGCGCAGGAAACTCTTAGGGCCGCTAACATCTCCAACAGATCCAGTGGTGTACGGACCGGGACCGGGACCAGGCACACCAGCCGAAACCGGCTCCACTAATGGAGGTTCGCGTCGAAGGAACGTTGGATGGCGGATAAATGAGGGCATCAAATCTGAGAACAAACAATGGGGGGAAACCTGGAGTAAGTGGATCAATGCATACTTTAAGGGATAGTTCACTCTAAAATAAAACATCTGTCATTATTACTCATCATTTGTCCAATCCCATATGAAAATCTTTGTTTTCCTGAACACAAATCAGGCCTGTAGCCAAGGGGGGTTTGGGTGGTTCAAAAGACAAACCTGCTACTGACAAAGTCCAAAATTTGACCCCCAAATGAGCTAATTTATCCCATTTTCACTGCTATGTTATCATAAATTGTGAAAATTATACACAGAAGAAGTCTTTAAGACTTAAATAATTTTAATAAAGTATTTATTTTAATAAAGTATTTATTTGCCCACAGGCTATAGTTTTTATTTTAAAACAAGTTTTACCAGATTCCTATTTTTTTAATGATGGATGATAATAAATTTGTATGTTAAACACTAATCTCATAACACTATTTATAAAACTGGATTAACTTACAATTTATATCCAAGCTTGTAAATAAACACTTCGTAGTAAAATACTATGGTGGGCACTTTGGACAAAATTGTAGTAAATATTTTTTTGTGCATCAAAATAGTGTGGTTATGATTACCATCCATCAAGCTGATCCAGCAAAGATTAGTTCTTAAAAAGTCACTAAAACGCATAATTGAATAGAAAATGAGGAAAATAACTGCAAAAAAGGTCAAATTTTCATTAAAAAGTACCACTCGTTTCAATAGGCTGGCGACAGGTCTGCAAATGAATGTATTTGGAAGAATGTCAGTAACTAAACAGATCTCGTAGCATATTTACACCCATTATGTTTACTTTTCCAATTTTTTCCTGACATTCTTTTAAATATCTTCCTTTGTGTGGATTAAAAACATTTAAATAATGTTCAGTTTCTTGCACTAGGAGATTATTTCAGCTTCATACAGTAAGATATCAGTGTATCGTCAGAAGCCAAAGGTATTAATTTTATTTTGTCTGTATATTGTTTTTTTTATTTTTTTATTCTCAAAGTGATGGTGGACCTTTTATTAGCATTTTATGATTTTCAGCTAAAAATCTTCTTTAATGTTTTCCTGAAGAAATAAAGTCTACTTAAAGATCATCAAGTGGCCTGAGAGTAACATAAAAGCTATACCTTTAAATTTCCGATATAGGTTTATAATATTACACTAAAAATGTCTAGAATAAGATACTAAACAAACATACAAGACAATTTTTAAGCATATAGATTTTCTAAACTACAATTATTTTCCATGTCTTCTAAACATCACTTTAAACACATTTCAAGATAAAACATAAAATTGAAGATAGTCTGATTTCTACAAAACACATTTGTTAACATCTTGCTGTTTTGATTACTGACTGATGAATTAGTCTCTCTTTTGATGCCATTCAATTATGCCGTTTTGACAATTTGATCCGAAATTTGGCAACAAATACAATGACAGTATTACCATATTGAACAATTATGTTTAATAATATACTGTGTTACTGCTGTGTGAAGATTTCCGAAATTTCAGTCAGTTTAAAAATAATTATTAGCAAAATATTAAGGTGTTCTTTAAAGAATAATTTTCTTAAACTGGGTAACGTTAAAGCAACAACATTCTACTTCTGGACCTTTGTATTTAAAGTAAATAAAAAGATATGACATTTTAAACTAATGACAACATATGCTAGTGGTAAGTGAAAATGGTTTTAGATTAAAGTATTAAATATGAGCAATGCCACATTATCTTTTGATTAATTCAAAACGTATAAACAGGACTATAATAATACAGGTCTATTAGGTTGATAGTTGTGACTGTACACATTGTGCTGGCTAATTGTTAAAGAGAATTATGTTACTTATTGAAAGCCTTATGCACTTAAAATTGTGTTTTACTCTCAGGGTTCTGATTTCAAACACGGTGTAATGACTACATTATATAACAATGTAGGATATTTAGTTTGCCATTTTTATATTTTGGGGATTTGTTTGGCAGATTGACTAAAATTACTCACTTCTCAGAAGAGGGGACGTTTCTTTCTTCACATATTTGCCCTGAACTTCGGGTGGTTTGGACGCTTCGTTTTTACTCTTCTTTCTGGAGAGCATTGTTAATCCGAATCGACTCTGGACCGATTAGACTTCGGTTTCATCCTGAAATCCGGATCCAGGTTGGCACTGACACGCGAAACCGAGTCCATTTCGGAGCGTTTAGCCCGATAGCTAATTTGGAGTCATCATGGCTACAGTCTGAAAACAAGCACAAAACTGGCCATTCGTTTGCGTTTAGTGGACGTTTGGCAGTTTTCGGTGTTTAGTCGAACATTACGAACTCTTTCCGACGATTAAATAACGTTAGTCTCCCCCGAGCGCTGTCCAAACAACACCCAGAGAAAAGCGCACGAAAACTTTTACCAGCTGAATGTCCAACCCAACCCAGCCCTCCACATCTCCTGCTGATCCCTGATCAGCTCTTACTGGATCTCGCGCCGCAGCCTGATCTCAGGTCAGTTGTTTAGACCCGAGCCTCACTTCAGATCAGCATACTTTATAGTCGGATTCAGTAATGTTTATTAGTCACTCTAAAAGAGTCCACATATTTCAATAATACCAGTTTACCCGCGCCCATAAGTGTCTTTAACCGCCTGATCCTAGATCAACTCTCTCTGGATCGCTCCCTCACCTTACCCTGATCCTAGATCAGATCTGCCGCAAGCCAGATCCTCAGGGAGCAAAGCATTGTGGGAAATATTTGACTCGAACTTTTTTTCTAGCACATATTTAAGGTTTACAGGACAGATATGCGATGGTTTATTTAACATGTAAGGTTAATTTGAAGGATAAAAGTGCTGCGTTGTCAGATAAATGTACAAAATAGGACCTAAAACCCCACAAATGAATGAATTTTCTTTTTTGAACAAACATTTTTTGAGAAACCTTCAGAGAAATCAAGTGACCCCATGGCCAAGCCCAGTGTCTCTGTATTTACCATTTACGTGTTTGAGTAAAACACACTATTTGTTTATTTTGGAACCTGATTACTTTTTATTTTTAAATTTAAAATGTTATTTATAATGGGCTTCACGGTGGCTCAGTGGTTAGCTTTGTCGCCTCACAGTAAAAAGGTTGCTGGTTTGAGCTCTGGGCCAGTTGGCATTTCTGTGTGGAGTTTGTATGTTCTCCCCGTGTTGGCGTGGGTTACCTCCAGGTGCTCCGGTTTCCCTCACCGTCCAAAAACATGCGGTACAGGTGAATTGAATAATGGCTGTAGTGTATCAGTGTAAATGTGAGTGTATGGGTGTTTCCAAGAGCTGATTTGCGGCTGGAAGGGCATCCGCTGCGTAACATTTGCTGGATAAGTTGGCGGTTCATTCTGCTGTGGCAAACCTTGATAATTAAAAGGACTAAGCAGAAGTAAAGGGAATAAATATAATTTAGAGAATTTTTAAATATATATATTTTAAATATTCATTTTTAAATACCAAAGTTTTAATCTCAAAACATATTTGATAGAATAACTCTGATTTTAATTAACAGCAAATTAACACATTTGTAATACTGGCAAAGTAATTTTTAGTTGATTTACATTTTTACGTTATCAAATAGGCCTACACAAATAAATATTTATTTATTTTAACTTTGGAATAAATGTCAAATGTATCTTACAGAATAAAATATTAGCATTTTACTCAAACACAAACTAATAAATCCTAACATATATATTTTTAAAAGATCTCTATATATTTATATAGGCAGCACGGTGTTGCAGTGGGTAGCACAATCGCCTCAGCAAGAAAGTCGGTGGTTTGAATCCTGGCTAGGTCAGTTGGCTTTTCTGTGTAGAGTTTGCATGTTGTCCCTGTGTTTGCGTGGGTTTCCTCTGGGTGCTCCGGTTTCCCCCACAAGTCCAAAGACATGGTACAGGTGAATTGGGTAAGCTGTACTGTTCGTAGTGAATGGGTGTGTATGGATGTTTCCCAGTGATGGGTTGCAGCAGGAAGGGCATCCACTGCGCAAAACATATGCAGAATAAGTTGGCAGTTCATTCCGCTGTGGCGACCCCAGATTAATAAAGGGACTAAGCCGAAAAGAAAACGAATGAATGAATGAATATATATATTTATATAAACATAAAACAATGCTAGAGAAATTAGTAATTTAGTAAACACATGTTCACATAAATAAAGAAGCAACTCAGAAGTATCATGCACTTTTAGTGTTTAATTGGTGCTTTTTTCAAAAGAGTAACTTGGTAACACTTTATAATAACGGTCCATTAGTTAATATATTTACTGTAATTAGGTATGAATAATCTTGTACAGCATTTATTAAGCACATTAACTAATACATTAATAAAATCCAACGTGGTGCTTGTTAACATTAGTTAGTTAACATGAACTAACGTTATTTAATTTGTAAAACATTAATTGACCAAGATGAATAAATACAGTAATAAATGTATTGAATTGTTTGTTCATGTTAGTAAATACATTGACTAACAAATGGACCTTTATTTTAAAGTGTTACCAATGAATTCTAAAATGAAAACTCATGTACGGTGCTTACTAAAACTATTCTTTAATGAAGATAAAAACAATTATGCTTCAACATTCAAATGTCATACAATCAACACTTAAAACAATACATCATTTACATGACAAATACTGTAAAGCATATATAGTTTAAGCTTCACCAAAGGCTTTGTTACAATGCTAAAAATGTAAGGACAACATATTTCAGTGCAATTTCGACATTTTTAAATGCCTGTAATTCTTTGTACATTTTCCCCTCCAAGCATCAAAGCTGGTAAACTGCACTCGCTGAGAGACGCCTGAAATGAAACATCATAACCAGCAATTTTCCTCTCCGCACACAAATTATACAGCGGTAACCATGAGGCTGACGTCTCCGATCTCAAGGTTTCTTTTACTCCGCATAAATATTTGAATACACCCGCTATTATTCATATTCACAGTGCTCATCACACACGATTATGGTTCAAATATGAAAAATAGGAACACAAAGATCTCCTGCACTTAAAGTCATGTCATGGGATGTTTTCTGGTGCAGATTCTCAAGCGAAAAAACATTTATATTGACTAAACAAGCCCAAAGACAGAATGCACTATAACAAACAGGAATAAACAGTGAATAAACAGTGTGGCACTTGCCCTTTAATTTCCTTCTCTGAGAAGCAGGGAATCACTGACCTTGTTTGCATTACATTGAAAACTATGTGGCGATAGGCATGTGTGTGTGTGAGAGAGAGAATGCTGGGGCCTCAGCTGTTGGACAAGCCTCTCTGGGTTTAAGGAATTTCACCATCACTTAAGATGACCTTCCAACTGCAAACTGAAGTCCAGAAACAACGGAAATATTATTAAAGTTGCCATCAAATTAAAATGAACCATTCGCAACCATCCTTTTTTAATGAAACATTGCAGTATTTTTGTAATGACAACAAATTGGGAATTAAAAATTGGATTTCAGCAACAGCAAACCAACAAGCCAATCCATTTTTCTTGTTGGAAAAGCTCTTTTCATTAACATACAGACAACATTCATTCCATGCCAACTTCAAAAGTACTATAAAAGCAAACATTGTTCAGTCAGAAATAAAAAACGAATGGGAAAATCTCAGGAACACAAATTTCAATCTGTTCATTACACAAAGCTTTTATATGGCTTCAAAGACTTTGTAAATACCATATAGTGCACAGTTCATTTAAATACATGCATTTTTGGAGCTTAACAACACCCTGGTCACCGAATTCTTGTGTTTTATAAAGAGCAGATTGGACATTCTTATAAATATGTCCTTCAGATGAACATTAGGATGACCTAATCATGTGCAGTCATATTTACACATTAGTATTTCACAGGTGAAATCCACTCATTCTAATAGGAATCAAACGTTTACTATATGGGTGATATATGATTTTCTACACAGATACATGGTAGTCACGCAAAAGTCTCAAAGTCTGTTTTAACAAGTCAACATATTTGCAGCAACTCCATGTAGTTAATCCAAAAGCAAGTCAAATCTAAAACAGATCCTGAAATCTTGAAACTGCTCGCTAAACTCAAATTACAAATCAAGTTTCCAAACGAGCAACAAATTCTTCGGTCCTATCAGTTTTGTTTCTCTGATTCAATTTAAAACATGTTATTTTCAGTTAGTTCCATCAAGGTTGAAAAGTACTGCATTTCATGACAGCACTTTCCTTTATAGCTGTTTCAATAGTAACTACACAGTGCAGATCTCAGAAGACGACCCCATAAGGACGTGATATGTGATGGGATGTTCTGCGATGTCATTTCTTCAGTCAAAACCAGCAAGGCACACACTAGTCCTTAAACAACAGATATTGGTGCTCTGAACAAGCAAATGCATACAGACCATGTGGCTATAAAGAACCATGTGGCTATAAAGATCGATTATTGGCTATTCTAACGGGAAGGTGAGGCTTCCATCACAAGGGTTTCCATATCCGCTTGTAAAGTCGTGATGTATAAAATACTGTTTCCTGGTCCAAGCCCCTACTCAGTTGAATTAAGAAAATATTCGTTTACAACCTTTCATTTTTAGTCATGTCACATATTAAACTGAATTACATCTAAAGTCATGGTGTACACAACAGTCTCTGGACTTGCTGCATCACAGACATCGATATCTTAACAATTTATAAAAAATTGATCACTTTCTGGCTGTCAGATATTAGGCATATACAGTTAAATTCAGAATTATTAGCCCCCCTGTTTATTTTTCCCCAATTTCTGTTTACCGGAGAGAAGATTTTTCTCAACACATTTCTATTCACATTTCTAATCATAATAGTTAATAACGCATTTCTAATAACTGACTTGTTTTATCTTTATATTATATAGTGAATATGATGACTGGATATTTTTCAAGACACTTCTATACAGCTTAAAGTTATATTTAAAGGCTTAACTAGGTTAATAAGGTTAACTAGGCAGGTTAGGGTAATTAGGCAAGTTATTGTATAACGATGGTTTGTTCTGTAGACTATCGAAAAAAATAAAGCTTAAAGGGGCTAATAATTTTGTCCCTAAAATGATGTTTAAAAAATTAAAAACTGATTTTATTCTAGCCGAAATAAAACAAATAAGACTTTTCCTCCAAGCAAAAGTATTATCAGACACACTGTGAAAATTTCCTTGCTCTGTTACACATCATTTGGGAAATATTTAAAAAAGAAAAAATTTGAAGGGGGCTAATAATTCTGACTTCAACTGTATACTGTATAATAGGGGATCATTATAGTGATAGTTCACATAAAATGAAAACTCTGCAATCATTTTCTTACCCTACACGTCACAAAAGATATTCAGAAAAATGCTGGTAGCTGGCACCCATTGACTTTCATGAGAATGTCTTTCCTTTATGCAGGGGTGGACTTAACCAATAAGCGAGGTAAGCAGCTGCTTAGGGCCCTATATATCCCTATATAAATTTTATATTGTAATAGTAGAATAGTGGAACATTCCTTCTGTACTGCACATGAGATGTGAGCTGTTACCACCGAGAAAGAGAAGGAAAAAAAAAAAAAAAAAATGAGCAAGAGAATGTTTTGATTTTCAATGCTAGAGCCCCATACCTTGAATTGTGTAGAACCCCAAATCCCTAAGTCCACCCCTGCCAATGTGATAAATATCAGCTTCTGTATTCAACAAAAAAAAGCTTTAAAGCCACACAAGAAAGAATAAATGAGGTCATTTTCATTTTTGGGTGAACTATCCCCTTCAATAACAGCGTGCAATCAGGAGCGTGTAAAGTGGTAGGGGGCAGGGGTCAACGGTGACGGGCCGAGATCGCGAACAATCTTGTTGAGGCTAGAAATCTTCTCCTCCAGGAGGAAATTCTTCTTCTCTGCTACTTTCTGCCGTTGCTCTGTCTTCTCCAGGGCTTTCAGCAGCTGAGCGTTCTCCACATACAGGTCCTTGATCAGCACATCTGATTCACTGTTTCTGATCAACTACACAAGCAGAAAAGACGAAACAATCAATCCAAAAGCAGCGGCGCAACATGTCCGATCAATAATGCTTTCGGTGCTAAATGAGGATGGATGTTTGTGCATTTCTGTACCTGTTCCTTTAGCTGAGACACTTTCTCCTGTAGTAACAGTTTGAGGTTTCGCAGTGTGATCTCCACTTCTCTCATTCTCTCCTCCATCTGTAACAGTGCCGCCTCCCGCTCCTGCTTGGCAGTAAGGATCATGGTTAAAAATGTCACAGATTGCTAGAAACTCCTAGATTTAGTTAACGGTGTAATTTTCTCTTAGAATAATTTCCTATGGAAAGAACTTGCATACATGTTGAAAATGAACATAAGTGTGTTCAGGAAGAACTGGGAAAAGTGGTTGATATACAGAGAAAAAGACATACCCAGCTAAGTAAACTATAATCTTCACAGAAATGGTAACCTCACTCTTTGGCTTTGTTGTTTTACATGTTAAATCTAACATATAATCGTGTTAATTTTTTATTTTAATTATTTGTATAATTGTATGCACAGAGATTATTAAATACAAACATATAATATGAAGGTATAATGTTATATATATATATATATATATATATATATATATATATATATATATATATATATATATTTTAGTTTTTTTTATTATTATTTATAGAATTGCAAAAAAAATTGCAAAAAATAAATAAATAAATAAAATTGCCCAGCTTGATTTTTTATTTGCAGTTCTTTTTTTGTTTGCAAATTTAATTTTTATTTCTCAATTTCATTTTCAGTTCTTTATTTATTTATTTTTTTTGCAAAAAAAAATTTTCCCCTCAAATTTACTTTTGCTTTTGAGATTTTTTTTGGCAGATTTGCAATTTATTTATTTTTGCTTAATACTTTATTTTTTGTTTGCAAAACTTATTTTTATTTTGCAAGTATATTTGGCCCAAGATTGACACCATAGTTTTGTATCACTCATATTAGCAAGAGGCTTTGATGCATCATCCCTAAGCTGTCAATTGTCCCCACAGCAATAAAACAGGCTAACCTAGCAATTATTTAAAAACAGCGATATCTCTACATCAGAACATCGAAGGGACCTAGGTATTGGCTCTTTTGACGTCCTGTTTACTATGCATGGTAACAATAAGTGAAGTGCTAATAACGATTAGCTACATGTTATTAATGATCTAGGTGATCTTAGTGCAATAACATATGCTAGAAATGCCTACTAAATATTAGCATTTGACCAAACATGTATACGAGCGTTGCCATTTAGCAACTGCTTAGCAAAACTCCTAGCAACGACAAACACTTTAGCAACTGCCTAGCAACTACTTGGCAACCGCTGTGCTTCCTGCCAACTGCCATACCCACTCCTATCACAGTCACGTTGGCTTTCTCAAGCCAACATCAAAATTTGTCAGTGAACTTTAGGTTCCAGTTTAATTGTGACATGCATATGTACAATATCTCACTTTTTTAATGTTGTAATTTTTTTCAAATTAGCATTGTTAAAATTGTATATAAAACTAAATAAAAAGAAAACTCATTAAAAAAAATATTTTCTGTTCAAGCATTCTTTAAAATAAAAAAAATTGAAATGGAGACCACATGGGAAAGCTAGGTTGCTGCCAGAAGTGGTGTTAGTGGGAAAAGCAGGGGGCGCCCAATCTGCAATCTGTGTGGGTCCTATTGCCCCAGTATAGTGACAGGGACTCTATACTGCTCAGTGAGCGCAGTCTTTTGGATGAGACATTAAACTGAGGTCCTGACTCTCTGTGGTCGTTAAAAATCCCAGGAAGTCTTTTGAAAAAGAGTAGGGGTTTAACCCCAGCATCCTGGTCAAATCCTGGCTTCATTACTCAGTCTCCTTTCCACCAGTTAGCTAGTGTGTTGTATGCGCTCTGGTGCAATATGGCTGCTGTAGCATCATTCAGGTGGATGCTGCACACTGGTGGTGGATCAGGAGATTCCCCCAATGTGTAAAGGCCATTAACTGTCCAGGAAAGCGATAAATAAATATATGGAATTATTATTATTGAAAGTTTCCACATCGATAGTAATAATAATAAATGTTTCTTAAGCAACCCAGAATATTAGATTTAATTGTTTGCAGAGGAACCTTTTACTCATTAAAACAGAAAATAGGCATACAGAACTGTAAAAATGCTAATCAATATCATAGTTTTTTTCAGTATTTTAGACCAATTATGCCCTGTTAAAAGATGTTTTTGGAATAAGCTCATTTTACTACTCCACTAGAGTATAAAAGTTTTAAAAGAGTAAAAGAGTTTTACCATTTTATTTATTTCTATATATATATATATATATATATATATATATATATATATATATATATATATATATATATATATATATATCACCTTATTTACCATTCAAGTGATCTCTGGATCTGCCAGAAGCACTTTTAGCATAAATCATTGAGTCGGATTAGACCAGTGGTTCCCAACCTTTTTCTTTGGGGCCCCCCCCATAAACATATACAAACATTGGAGCCCCCCCACCATATAAATACGCACACACGCACGCACACACATATGTACTGTGTATGTATATATATATATATATGTGTGTGTGTGTGTGTGTGTTTGTGTAATATTAATATATAGTAATATGTATAGAAAATATTAATTAATCAGTTTTAACTTGTCTTGGCCTTCAATAAAACCAAAATTTAGGTAGGCTTTGTCATACTGTCTAATCTTTTTCTTCGCCTCTGAAGAATCACTGCATTTACGTTTGTCTGCCATTTTTGTTTTGATTTTGCCTTTACGATACGTTGACAAGCAGATTGCGCGAGTGAGCAAAATTTAAATAATTATTTAAAGTTATTTATTTTAATTATTTTCACTATTATGTTGGAATTTTAAGCATGTGTTTAGATTATTTTTTATTTTTTGGGCTGCTCGATTTTGGGAAAAATCATAATTCCGATTATTTTGGTCATAATTGTAATCACAATTATTCAAAACCATTGCCAGTTAAGGTCAAAATTATTAGCGCTCCTGAGATTTTTTTTTTATAAATATTTCCCAAATTATGTTTAACAGAGCAAGGAACTTTAACAGTATTTCCTATAATATTTTTTCTTCTATTTGTTTTATTTTAGCTAGAATAAAGATAGGTTTAAATATTTTGAAACCAATTTAAGGTCAATATTATTAGCCCCCTTAAGCAATATTTATTTTTGATTGTCTGCAGAATAAACTACCGTTATAATGACTTGCCTTATTACTCTAATTAAGCCTTTGAACTGCACTTTAATCTGAATGCTTGTATTTTGAAAAATATCTAGTAAAATATTATGTGCTGTCATTATAGCAAAGACAAAAAGAAATCAGTTATTAGAAATGAGATATCAAAACTATTATGTTCAGAAATAAGTTAATAAAATATTCTTTCCATGAAACAGAAATTGGGCAGGAAAAGATTTGCTTATATTCAAGAGGGCTAATATTTCTGACTTCAACTGTATACATACAGTTATTTTCCACCCTGCAAAGGAAAGAGAAATAAATACAATAGAATAAAAATATAAAACAAACTGTGTTTTAAGCATCTTCACTGTAAGAAAAACACTTTAGCTACAGCAGTCCTTCAGTCAAGAGCAGCGAGGGCTTTCTCGTTGTGTTTGTTTAATAATGATAAAAACAGGCGGCAGAAAGATTATAGCGCGCTGTATCTTTAATGGTTTCTCTTTCACGTCTTTTGATCCTCAGCTCGTTTGTTTATTATACAAATGAGGGTTAATGTAAATAATCACTAAACACCGCGTTTTGACACCTATTTGACCATTAAAGCGCTCACGTTAAGATGACTTTAGATGTCTGCGCTCCTCTGCTCATCTCATTCCGCACGCCATAGTCTGTGTGTGTGAATGAGAGTGAATGCTGACCGGCTGCGTGCTTCTGACTGCGTGATCGTGCTGCACACACACATAAGCGCTTTTAAGAGCAACACGTGTACAACTGTGGCGAAATATGATGCAATAATCATTTATCTCGATTAATGCTTTTTATAATCGTTTGAAACCGATATCTAAATCGGATTTTCGATTAATTGCAAAGCCCTTTATAATAGTGGACCATTTTTGTGCCTTTTTCTACCTCAATACTTATCCTCTCCCGCGCCCCCCCTGTGAACTCTGGCGCCCCCCTTAGGGGGGCGCGGACCCCAGGTTGGGAACCACTGGATTAGACCATTAGCATTTCACTCAAAAAAAAAAAAAAAAAAAAAAAAAAAAAGAAAAGAAAAGAAAGAAAAAAAGTAATTTTTAAAAAATCATTTTTCTATTTAAAGCTAAACTCTTCTTTAGGTAAATAATGTACTAAGATGAAAACAAAAAGTTGCAATTTTTTTTAGATCGATAATGCTAAGAACTACTCTCATTGTGGCGTAATAGGAACTTTGCTTCCCTACCATGGCTCCAGCAGGTGCAGTGATGTACAAATACAGTGAAAAGTTTATTTATTTATTTTTTCTGTAATCAGGCTTTAAAATCAAGGTTAAATTTATTAGCCCATTTATTGGATTTTGGCTTCCAAAGAATCATTATTCAAAGACTTCCTAAACAGTCATCATTTATCATATCAGCCAAAATATCCATGTCGCTTCATCCATATGGAAGTATGGAAACAAAACGATGTCTTATCAAACACAATGAAGACTAAAGCATTTTTAAAACTAAATGAAACAATAAATTAAATACACTACTGCAAAATATTTTGCTTATTTTATTTGGTCTCGTGGTAAAAAAAAAAAAAAACACACATTCACATTAAAAAGGGACATTACACATTTAAACCAGGTAAAACACACCAAAACAAAAGTCACCCTGATAAGTAAGAAAATGTATTAACTCAAATAAATAAACATAACTCAATTTTATAATAAATTAGTGATGCCAAAATGTTAAGTGAAAACATGTAGAGGTAGACAAAGTAATGGACCGGATCATGATTAAAAATAAATAAATAAATAAAAAAAACGATAGAAAAATAAAACTGATCTCAGTCAGAACATTAAATACAGTTGAAGTGCAATATCATGTTAAAACAGTGACAGTGCAAACTTAAAATAATACTAATAATACTGCTTATTTAAATGCCCAAAATTAAAAAAGTTAATTCATAATCAGAGATTGTACCGTCCTTAATGCCATTAAAATTCACAATCTTAGCTTGTTTTAGTCCATGTGTGGCAGCATCTAGACAACACAGGAGACAACTCTTAGCTCCTTATGACGCCACCTTATGGCACATTCAGCTCACTATCAGCAGCAAGGCTACATGCTAACATCAACCATTTGAACCAGAGCAATAGAGTCAATCGGGAAGGGTTTGGTGATTGGAGCACAGAGTAAAGGTCAGAGGTCAAATAGGAGGTGAAGATCAGGTTGCCACACTTCTATGCCTGCAAGTGATGTCTACACCTGCAGAGAAACACACACACACTCTCAGCACTATACAAAACACAGACTCTCAGCACTAAACACACGTGTCCCATATTCACACACAGAGCGGTGACAGTATACTCACAAGCAATAAGGAGACACACAAGAGTGTCATTAGTGATGCACCAATCCTGATTGTTTGATGGACGATTTTTTTTTTTACATGCGAATAACCTGATTTGAGTACATAAGCGAGGATTTAAAATGTTATAATGTATAACTGCAGGTGTGTATGTGTATATATATATATATATATATATATATATATATATATATATATATATATGTATATATATATATATGTATATATATATATATATATATGTATATATATATATATATATATATATATATATATATATATATATGTGTGTATACACACACACACACACACACACACACACACACACACACACACACACACACACACACACACACACACACACACATATATATATAAAATGTCTTCTCTATACACAGCTCCTTATATATTTTGCATTTAAAAATCATTGTAGCCTCACAGCAAGAAGGCCGCTGGTTTGATTCTCGGCTTGGTCAGTTGGCATTTCTGTGTGGAGTTTGCTGTTGGAGTTGTTCTCCCCATGTTCACGTGGGTTTCCTTCAGGTGCTCCGGTTTCAAAGACATGTGGTATAGGTGAATTTACTAAACTAAATTGGCCATAGTGCGAGTATGAGTGTGAATGAGAGTGTATGGATGTTTCCCAGTACTGGGTTGCAGCAGGAAGGGCATCCGCCATGTAAAACATATGCTGGATAAGATGGCAGTTCATTCCGCTGTGGCGACCCCAGATTAATAAAGGGACTACGCTGAAGGTAAATAAATGTATATAAATCTAAAAAAAGACCCAAAATGTGTCAGTGCTCTTTGGATAAGGAATTCACAAAGATAAACAAGAATCATAAGTTCGAGGCAATCGAAAAAGTAAGTGAAAAAGTAAAGTAAATGCTTTTATTAGCATGCCTATTTTTTTAAACACCTGTAAAAACACATATACTGTTATTAAATAATAGCCATGCTAATAAAGGGTTTTGAATTTTTTCACCTACTCTTCACCCTTCGAGTGCCTTGGACTTATGATGTCTGTGTTTATATTTTTGTATAATTCAAAAAAGAAAATAAACAATGATCTGATGTAAAATTATGTTTTATAAAAATAATATCAATAATACAAAAAAAAGTATTAAAAAAAAGTAAACGGGTTAAATAAAATGGTGCTTCTAGAACAGTAGGAATAACAGCATTTTCATAAATGCACTGGTATTTATTATGCATTACACAGAATAGATTTAAAGAGCACATATGATGAAAATTCCTTTTTGTAAGCTGTTTGGACAAAACGGTGTAGGTATAGTGTGTCCACAGTCATATGGGGGGTCATAAACACAATAAGTCTCTTTTTTTAATTTCCTGACGTTAAAATAGGATCCAAATCCCTCCCATTTTGAGGCCCACCGCAACTTGACATAGAAGCGCGGTTTCCCCGCCCACCTAATTGATTAACTGCCACATTTTAACATGCGTCCATAGTAACAAGTATAATCATATCAACAAGACAGGACGTGCGCGAAGCAACTGGAATTAAAAGATCTGTTCGGCTCGCTGTGATCATCAATCATCATCAAATGTGATCAAGATTAAAATGTTTTTAAAACAGTACATGTTTGTAATAAAAACTGCAACGTAATTAAATCACCACAGCTGCATAGCATCAATACAATTATGAAAGAAGACGCTTTAATCTCGGTTTGTGGAGGTTAAATCAGGGTTATTTTGTACATTACCATAACATATCCATACATCAGTGAATAATATTTATGTGTACCCTATAACATTTGCTTTGCAAAAACAGTACAAAGCTAACTTGTGTTTGTGTGTGTGCGTGTGTACTCGAGTGAACTTTATAACGTCATTGCGTGTGACTCGTCGCTTCAGAAAGGCGAGAAAATTAACTCCACAACAAATACATCAAATAAATGTAGTGAATTTTTTACTGTGGTAGAGGAGATCTGCTTCATTCTTGTCTGTCACTGAGCTGTTTGTCTAAGTGAAGGCTATAGCTGTGACAAGCGAGTGGGAACGGTGGGTGGAGAGAACCAGCTCATTAGCATTAAAGGCACAGGCAACAAAAACAGCAACAATGTTAAAATAGCTATCATTTTCCAGATTTAAAGTTACAATAAATAATCTGATTGGTGTTTTGAGCTGAAACTTAACAGACTTCAACATTCTGGAGACACCAAAGGATTTATATTAAATCTCGAAAAACGGTTAAAATTGGTGCCCTTTAAAAATACCTTTAATCTAAACTTTCCTAAAGACAGTGGTTTCCCAATAGTTCTGGCCAATTAATCGAATGGAGATTTCATGTACCTCCTGTCAGTAAAGCTAATTCTAGTATTTTCTCACAAGGTCGTAGTTCACTGGTTAGCTACGCAAAACAACATTCAAAATTGAAATATGAGGATAAACATTCTGTGATAATAACAGCTGTTTGTATTACTTCGCAATGGCTCAGTTTAATAAATGCTGCACATGAAAATACGACATATATTTTAAGTCCAAATTGACATCTGTGAAATGATTCTGTAGTGGTGTTTTTTTTAGTTATGCTGAATCAATGAAAGCAGTTTTTCAGTTTGGAATTTCATGGGTTTCTTCTTTGTAACATATTTGGAGTTTCTGCGAGAGCGCCCTCTAGCCTTCAGCAGAGATTTACTACTGAACACAAAGCCATGCTTTCCTGACAAGAGGTGCATGACAGTCGCAGCTTTGCCCAATTTGCAAATAGCAATTTCATTTTGATTAATCGGCTAACCGCTCTATTTCTAGTTATAGAACTTCCAAATCACACGTTTAGAGCAAAAGAATCATCGTTATAAGCAATTAACCAAACTTAGTGTTAGATTGGTGCATCACTCTACATCATCCAACACCATTCACATCAACACCACAGGCAGCTCTCTAAAACTGCTGCTACACCGCAAACAGACCCAGTGCTGCCCACATGCTTTCCAGAAGTGTTTTAATGAACCAAGCGAACAAACAGACACCAGACGAGGCCAGTTCACCAAAGAAATAACTAGATGCACACTAAATAAGTATTTAGTATTTACAAGTATTTATTTACACACACACACACCATGACCCGTCGTGAGGAATGTGGTGCTGGTGAGCTAAGAGTGTGTGTTACCTGTATGTTGAAGTCTGGGCCATCGCTGTTATGTGATCCTCTCTGTTCTCCCGCCAAATGTAGAGGAGATGAGGGCAAGATGGCAGCCAGCTGAGCCTGAGACAACAAAGCATCAGTGTATCAGAGTAGCACTTATTTTAGGGGACAAGTGTTTGTGCATGTTATAGGGATGCTAGATGTCTCAGCGCACAAAGTAACTGTGTTGTGATACTATGATGCACTGATGACAAGAAAAAAAGAAAATGTCTGGCAGAAACTAGTTTGAGATTCCGTCTACTGTTGAAGATATTATGAAAACTGTTGGAAACCTGTGACCACTGACTTGATATAATACTTGTTTTCCCCTTAATATGACTGTGTGTGCGTGTATGTGAATGTTTCCAAGAGATGGGTTGCGGCTGGAAGGGCATCCGCTGCGTAAAAACTTGCTGGATAAGTTGGTGGTTCATTACGCTGTGGCGACCCCGGATTAATAAAGGGACTAAGCCGACAAGAAAATGAATGAATGGATGACTGTGTTTGTGTTAAATGTGTGTGTGTTAGGGCTGCTCGATTATGGGAAAAATTATAATCACGATTATTTTGGTCATAATTGTAATTACGATTATTCAAAACGATTATCAGTTGAAGTCAAAATTATTCGCCCTTCTATGAATTTATTTTTATATACAAATATTTCCCAAATTATGTTTAACAGAGCAATTTTTTAGGGTATTTCCAATAATATTTTTTCTTCTGGAGAAAGGCTTATTTGTTCATTAATTTCAGCTAGAAAAAAATCTGGTTTGAATATTTTGAATCCTATTTTAATAGCTCCATATTATTAGCCCCCTTAAGCAATATATATTTTTGATTGTCTGCAGAAGAAACTACTGTTACATAATGACTTGCCTATTTACTATAATTAAGCCTTTAAATGTCACTTTAAGCTGAATACTAGTATCTTGATAAATATCTAATAAAATATTATGTGCTGTCATCAAAGCAAAGATAAAAGAAATCAGTTATTAGAAATGAGTTATTAAATCTGTTTAAACTGTGTTTTAAGCATCTTCACTGTAAGAAAAAAAGTCCTTCAGTCAAGAGCAGCGAGTGGATTTTGTTCTTTTGTCGTTTGATTAATAATAAAAACAGCAGCAGGAATATCGCACGCTGTCACTTTAAGAATAGTGCGGCTCCGATATGGTTTCTCTTTCACGTGTCTTTGATTCTCAACTTGTTTGTTTATTAGACAAATGAGGATTAATATGAATAATCACTAAACACCGTGCATGTATTTGATCATTAAAGCGCTTGCATTAGGATGGCGTTAGATGTGTGTGTGCTCTGCTGTCTGAGGCTAAGCGCGGACCGGGCGCACACAGAGACACACACAATACCTGTCCGAGGCTAAGCGCAGCGCGCACACACACAACAATACGTGCTCTTTCGCACTTAAAAATATGAATGATGCGCATCCCATGCTGCAGAAGTTACATTAAAGCACATCTTACAGTCACTTTCACGTGGAACTGGAAAGGAGGCGGTATATGATGGAATAATCGTTTATCTCGATTAATGGGTTTTCATAATCGTTATGAGCCGTAATTGAAACCGGGTTTTCGATTTATTGCCCAGCCCTAGTGTGTGTAAAACATTTATGCTGTGTAACCTTGTTTCGAGTTGACAGCAGCTGTGAGTGCAGAGCCTCCATTTCACGCTTCAGGGCAGATTTTTCTTGATCTGCATTTTTCACAATTCCCCTCTGTTTTGCACTCAGTGCCTCCAGATGGCGGATCTGAAAAAGGAACATCAACATCATTACTAAATGCTTGCACACATCCTGTCTCTGAGAAGAGTTCAGTAATCCCCTTCTAACCTGCTCCTTCGACGTCTGCAGCTCTGAGCTCAATTCATTCATCTGTCGTTTGAGTTGCTGGTTCTCTTCTTTTAGCGAGTGATGCTCCGCCTCCATCAGCCCTGATAGCTCCGCCCATACACGCCTTCCCTGCTGATGACCAGCAGACACAACAGAGACCTCCAGCAGCTGATTTGGAAAAACAGGAAGAGAAAAAAAAAGTTGCAGTGTCTCCACCTACAGGCAATGACAGAAACTCCTGCCCTCGATACTTACCTTTTCATTAGCAGACTGCAATTGTTTGTGCAAGGACATCACTTCCTGTTTGAGGGCATCTCTTTCTTGTTGTGTGATGCGCAGGTCAGATTTGAGACGAGCGTTTTGCTGAGTGACCGTCTGTAGAGAGGAGTCCAGTGACATGATCTGAAAGAGAACAGGATATTTGTTGAGTCACCTGTACAAAATAACGAATGGTCCACACCAGATCATTGTTTTATGTATGTGCTGTTTGTACCTTTTCTATGCACCGATTGAGCTCTGATCTAAGCAGTTCCTTTTCTGTCCTGGAAGAAATCTCCTCCCGATCACACAACTGCATTAGAGCATTTACAGAAAATATTAATTTTATGTTTCTGCCCCAAACTCTGGGGATAGTTCTACGACCTTTACACATTTGCAATCATACCCCATTCTTCCCATTGGCTGAGCCGTCATGCTGTCGAATCACTTCCTGGAGTGCATGTCGAAGCACATGATCTGAATTCTGCTGTAGAATAAAACTCTCTTCCTCCAGCTGCTGTCCCAGACGGCGAGGCTCTGAGAGCTGAGAGGAAAAAAGTAATTAAGTGTGGACATAATTAAGAGTGGGGCGACCCCGTGGCTCAATGGTTAGCACAGGTGCCTCACAGCAAGAAGGCCGTAGTTTATGTGTGTGAATGAGTGTGTATGGATGTTTCCCAGAACTAAGTTGCAACTTAGTGTTAAACATATGCTGGATAAGTTGGCGGTTCATTCTGCTGTGGCGACCCCTGATGAAAAAAGGGACTAAGCTGAAGGAAAAATGAATGAATAATTAAGTGTGGATATATAATTGACCATGGCTGGTCCCGCAGTAGCGATTGCATAATGTCCAATCAGATGAATCTAGCCTTACCGTAACTATCCACGTCTTGTTTCTTCCACAAACACACGTTTTAGATGCCATTTATCAAACTCAAGTTAATGAACTGATTCTTTTACTATGTTAGACTTATCATGATACTAAATTTCGGTACTAAAGTGTTAAAAACCCCCCGTCAATTTCCCAGTAACATTTAAGCACTGTTGAGTGTGGTCTTAAACGTCGCTGATTTACCAGTGCTCAACAGAAATGACTGTGATTGGCCGTGAAGGTCATCAGTTCACTGAACTTCACTGATGTTTACAGAGTACTAGCTAAGACCGTCTTCAACTAGAAATCAACTGGGGTCCGTTCTTCATACCTCGCTTAAATGATCTAAGATGATTTGGCAGATCCTGGATCGTTTAATCTTGATAACCGATCTCTCGCTAATTTGGTTCTTCAAACAAGTTCGCAAATCAGATTAGAATGTCTGGATAAACTGATGTAAGATCGCTGCGTGTGTTGTGAAGGACAGATCTACCGATCCTTGAAATCATGATCAGCAATGCAACGATTGGCTGACGGCACATCAGCGTAATGACATCATCTGATTAATATTCAATTATCCATGTGAGCAAAATTACATCAAATTAGCAGTAAACAGCTTGTTAAATATGACACGCAATAACCTTTACACTTTCATGTGTCAAAAGTATTTATCATGTATTTCAATGCAAATCAATGTATTTAGTTCTACATTTAGAAAAGATTTTCTTTATTATAGTAGCCGTTTTTTAATCGGTGTAAAGGATAACAGGTTGTTTACAAAAGCATTTTCACATTGGTAAAGGCATCTGCAACTTTTGTGAAGCATCAAATCACTGGCATATTAACTATCAAAACATGTTTATGACTGCTGAAATGTATTATTGCTTTAAAAAAAAAGTCACATATTGTGCATTTCTATTATATACAATTTGTACTAAAGCGATCTAAAAAATTCATATCAATAAGTTCTCTTTGCACCACCAGGTGGCAGTCTTTGTACTTTCGAGGGTGCAGATTGCATAAGTTTTATTAATGTGTATAACTTTATTTATTTTATTAATAACTATAATTTTATATATATATATATTTATAAAATATGTATCATTTTCCCAAGTGTATATAACTACTACTGTAAGAAAATATCAGAATTCAGAACATACTTTCTGTATTATCTTTGCTTGAACCGACTAGTTCCTAGCAGAACTGTTGCTATGACAACAACTCTCGGATCAGCTTTGAAGAACGAAACGATCCTGGATCGTGTCAAATCGTCAATATCCAAATCCTGCTAATTGAGTAATCCACGTACGAAGAACGGACCCCAGATCTTTGCGGATTTAAAACGATCCAGTGTCGTTGTATTTGGGTTTGCGCTTGAGCAGTGAAGATCGGTGAACTGCTGACCTTAGCAGCCAATCACGGTCATTTCTGTTCAGCACTGGTGGCAAATCAGCTGTGTTTAAGAACGCGATCAGTGACGCTTAGATGTTAGGGGGAATGGAGGTTTTTAAAATTTCAGTACCGGGACAACACTATTTCAGACAACACGATAGTGTTCTACAGATGACTGCATTGTTTTATTGCTTACCGGGTTACATAAGACTGAAGCAGGGAAGCATCCCCACGGTGTTTATCTGGTGCCATGAACTAAAGCCTTGAGGCAACTTAAGCGTATTACTCTTAAAGACATTGTGATGTTGTTTGATGCCTAATATGCTTTTAATTGTTTGAATTAAACTTAACTGAATGACATTAAAGTGACGTTTACACCATATCTGCAATAGCTAGAGGTTTGTAGTCCACAGCATGTTGCTGTTGTAATGTTTACAGTGCTGATCCTATACTTCCGGGGTTCTTCCCACCGCAGCATCACATTTGCTTCTTAAAATGGCCGCCGCAATAAATAAGAGTATTTAAGACTGTTTTAATTTGTGAGTAATTAAATAAACTCACCTGTCTACGGAGTGCTTGAACTGATCTCTTTCCTTGTTTGATGTGCTGTAATCTGAAGAAAGATGTAGGTCACATCATTCAACAGTTCAAAATTTAAAATGTTAAGGATGCTCAGGTAAAACAACAACATTCCCATCTTACCGTGCATCATCCTGGTTCTCTCTCAGGTCCTGTTCTCTCACTGTTGAGATCTTGTGCCTTAGAATGAAGTTTTCTTTAGCCAGACGACAAACTTCACTCCTAAACAAAAAGTACATTGTAAAATATATTCTGTGACAACAAACTATGAGAAAAGGATTAAAGAATGGATCAATTCCTTTATTTTTGGATGTAAAGTGGTCCCTCATTTATTTCGGGAGTTAAGTTCTAAAAATAACCCACGATAGGCGAAATCCAAGCAGTCACCTTTTATTTTTTACAATTATTATAGATGTTTTCAGGCTGTAAAACCTCACTACATCCTTTATACACTTTTCTTAGACTGGCATTAACATTTTTACACTTCTCTCATTTAAATCATTTTTCTCTCAAATGTCAAACCTTCATAGAAAAATAAGTCCAGTATTATAGAATGAAACCAAAGATCTACCGCAGGTGCCTTTGACGGTGCAGAACGTTTCGTAGACATTGTGGCGAGAAAACTTTTAAACATACAGCACAGCAATTCATTTACACTGCTAGCAAATCAAAGATTTCTGTTAATTTGGAAAGCTGAACACATTCTGTACTGTACAGGGGAGACACAGCACGAGGAGATTGATTGACAATGGTCTACAGCCAGTCAGGACACAGAACACTGTAGGAAAATGCACTGTAGGAAAAAAAGCATGTCAAATTGCCCGAAACTGCAAAGCCGTGAAAAGTGAACCGCGTTAAAGCGAGGGACCACTGTATTTAAAAATCATTATAGCTCACATTGAGGAATCAAATAATTTTTTTTTGCGATTGATCAACTTATATAGACAAAAGATATCGTCCGGTACACATTTGATGCATTTCAATTCACAAACATCTTTCCCATGGAAAAAAAAAACACAATTTCAAAAAGTTTGGTTGCGTCAGAATTGGTGTAAACTTTTAGTCTGTGAAATTACATTTTCCACATACATTTGCAATTATTTAAATGAGGAGTTTAGGCAAGGGTTAGGTCAGATATACAAAAGCTAGCCAAATCTCTTTTCTCAAAACTGGGGTAAAACTCATTCACCAGAAGGTTGTGGGTAGGCAAGAGGGGTTTATGGTGGTGGGCATGGCACTCTGCAAAGAGGCAGGGTCTACACAGGGACTTAAACAGTGGTGGCTGAGCAAGAGGGAGCAGACCGATTAAGTAAATCAGGGGACTTTTCTAATGAAGCAGGACACAAAAGATATCACATGGTACCTCCGCTCTTGCATTTGTGTGTGGATCCTGAATGATTTGCTCTGCAGATCAGCAAGTGCTCGGCGTAAATGCAAGTTCTGTTTCTCAAACTCTATGCAGAAGAATTCAAGCTCTGCCACTGCAGCAATCTTCTCCTTCATTTCAGAGTTGTGCAATGATTTTTTAAACATATTTGAAGAGTCAGAGTCCCACTGAAGAGCCTTACCCTGTTTGACAAATTCCTGAAGTAGCACCTTCAGTTTGGAATTCTCTACTTGTAGTAGTGTGGTTTCTTCCAGAGCAGATGACTGTTGCATGTGAAAGTCCTGGACTATGTGCATCTTGTCCTCCAGACTCTTGACTCTCTGCTCTAGTTTCATGTTGTGCTCCATGAGCTGTAGGTTTTCTTGGATACTTTGCTCAAAGCAGACCTTTAGGTTAGCAAGCTGCACATCTTTAAATGTGGCCACCACTTCCTTAAGGTGTTTTGGTATTTGATTTATGATATTCTCTTCTTCCAAATCCTGAAGTTTAGGGCTTGGCAGGAGGGAGGTGGTGGTCTCTGAAGTTTTACTGTACTGTATCACGGTATCTTGAAGATCAAGGATCTCCTGCAAGCACACATCTCTCAAATCAGCTACTCTGTCCTCTTCGTTAGCAGTAGTTAGGGTACAAATCTCATTTGCAAAAGTCACAATTTCACTCTCAATGTTTGCAATGCTGATATTGTTCTCTAAATGGTTTTCTTTTTCAGGTTTGTCATCTGTGCTTGGAGATTCATGGTGACCCAGGCTCTCCTGGATGTAGTAAGGTGCAAACTCTTCACAGATTCGAGCTTCTATTTCTGTGCCTCCCTCTGCCATCTCCAAAGATTCATTCTTTTGAGTCTCTCTGCTATTGGTCTTTAAATTCTTCAACTCACTCGATTTTGCATCTTCAGAACCATCCACTACTACATCGAGATTATTTGTAGTTTCTTTCTCTTCTTCAAGATCAAGAGTTTCTGATCTACTATTGTTAGGTTCTACAGCAGCCATGACTAATTTAACATCACAACAAGAGTTTGAATCGATTCTATCATTTGTAACTCCAAGTTCTGGGTGTTTGTGAAGCTCTGGATCACTAACATCAGTTACTACATCCACTACGCCGGCTTCCTCTTCATCATCTTGGTTTACAAGCAGTGATATGATGTGCACTGGAATAGCTTTGTCAATTGACTCTGGGCAGGTATCTTGGTTGAGTTGTGCACTAGATTCTCTGCCTTCTATACTGGATTCCGCAGTACAAGATTCTACCAGAGGTTCTGCACAAGGTTCTCCAGTGCTTCCTGTCAACTGTAGGACAATTTCCTCCAACTGCACCACTCTCAATGCCAGTGCATCCCTCTCTGAAAGCAAAGCCTGTCTCTCATGCTTTAATTCCTGGTGAAGGATCTCCTCATCTTCCTGGATCGTTCCCATAATCTCCATGCTCTGGAAAGAAAGCACTTCTCGCCTGCTCTCCAAAGCAGACAGACTCTTTTGCAGCTCTTCTCGCTCCTGAATAAAATCATCCACGGCCTGTTTCAGCATCTTTTCCAGCTCTGTGACTTTGTTCTCTGTTTGTGCCAGCAGTAGGTCTTTGGCCTCCATCCTTTCTTGCACTTGTTTGTGCAGCTCATTGAGTTGGCGGCTCAGCTCAATCTCTTTGGTTTGAGCAGCACTGGCAAGAACCTCCAGCTCAGTCTGAAGCTGCACATTCTTGTCTGTCAGAGCTTTAATATCTTGTGTGTGTGCAAGTTTAAGAGACTGGCGCTCTAATCTGAACTCCTCCTTCTCTAGGTCCAGTGCCTCCTTTAACAGTTTCCACTGTTGCTCCGTCTCTTTGCTGGTTATCTCCGATTCCTCCTCCCAAAGGGCACGATTGGCAGCATGCTGTTGGGCAAGTCCTGTAATCTGACTTTGGTAGTGTTGCTCAAGTTTTTGCAAATCAGCCTGAAAACGTTCAGACACTGCCTCCTGGTCACTATTAAAACGAGCCTCCACCTCTTCAAGTCGCTGAGAGAATTGTTTCTCCAGCTCTTTCCTGCACATGGTCAATCAACATCAAAAGCTTATAACAATACAATAATTGAGAAAAGAGTATTTATTTTAGGTAGAGCAGAGTCTAGGATTTGTAGATTGTAAATCTTAAGGGGCACCTATGATGAAAATATTTTTAAAAAAACTGTTTGGACAGAACTGCATGTAGGTATAGTTTGTACATATAGTGTTTAGGTATAGTGTCCAGCTGTATGAAAAAATTATTTTTGTGTAACACCTCTTAGAATATAAAAGGTAGTATTCGTTAATATTATTTGTAAATTAAAACTAGTTAATATAGTTCTTTAGTGCTATTGAATTGCAGCGTGCTTTTGTTGGAAGCCGTGATACTTCTTAGAGATAATTCACCCAAAAATGGACGATTTTAAGATATAACCCTCCACTTGTTCCAAATCTGAGTTACTTTCTTCTGTTGAACACAAAGACAGATATACTGAAGAAAGTTAGGGAAAAAACACAGCAAGATTCATAATAGTTTTTATTCTTAGTATGGATGCCAATGGCTACTTTTCCCTAAATTTTTTTTCAGAATTTCTTGTTTTTACCTTATACTCCATGAATAACTGGCTGTTAGTAAAAGGTAATATACCATTTATCCAATTCCAAAATGGTGGCTTTAATGGTACAGTACCCTTTAAACATTTTATTTCAAAGCAAATTTTCCAAAAGTTTAAAGTTAACTCCAGTTAGTAATATTGCCAACCAACTAGTGCGTCTTACCTTTGTTCTGCAATGTCTGTGCGTAGTTTCTCCAAAAGGCTACTGAGTCTTTCCCTCTCCTCATTGTGTTTGGCAGTCAGCTCCAGCATGGCCCCCCTGTGGGCCTCCTCCACCCGACTCTGCTCTTCAATCAAAACCTGCTGCCACCTGCTCTCCTGCTCCTCTCGGTCCACCTGCAGTCTCTCTCGCTCCTGCTCCAAACAGGCCTGGAGCGCCTCCTTGTGCTGCCTCTCTAGTTGAGCCCTCTCTCTCGCCCAGTGCTCAAAAATAATGCTCTCGGTCTCCTCCTGCTGTGTGCGGAAGTGCTCTCTCTCCTCCTGCAAATGCTGTAGGAGCAGAGCGTGATGTTTGTTCTCCATTGAAGCCCGCTCCTCATCCCATTGCTGCCTGAGCCTCGTCTCTCTCTCCGAACGCTCCTCCAGAACGGCTTGCAGTGCCTCCTTGCTGATCTCCTCCAGCTCCTGTCTCTCCTGTTCCCACTCCTCCCGAAGTCTCCGCTCTCTCTCCTCCAGTATAGAGTTTAATTTCTCTCTACTGCTCTCCTCTAGCTCTTGCTTCTCCTGGTCCCACTCATCCCTCAGCCTCTTTTCCAGCTCAGTACACTCCTGTTCTGTTCTCTGCTGCATTTCCTCTAGCTGTGCATTGAGCATTTCCTCATAGCTCTTCTGCTGTTCCTTCCACTGCTCAGTGAGCCTCTTTTCTTTCTCTTCTTCCAGTCTCTCTCTCTGCTCCTGCATGCTCGTCTCTAGCATCTCCTGGTGTTTTAATTCCATCAAACTCATCTCCTCAGCATGCGCATTACTTTGCTCCTCATAAGCAGTCTGTTTCTCCTCCAGAACTTGCACCTTCGCCTGAAGTTGTTCAGCACAGGTTTTGGCGTCCTGGGCCTCCTGTGTGAGAGAGTGAAGCTCTTGCTGGTGGAGATTTTGGAGAACAGAAATCTCCTGCTCCAGTTTGTTGGCTCTCTCGAGTTCTCTTTCCATCTCCCCCCTCAAGACCTGCAACTCCTGTTGGTGATTAAGAGAGAGAAGATCCTTCTCCTCCTCTGCGCTGCGTTTTTCTTCATCAACCTACAGAGGGGGTAAGAGAGCAACAGACATGTCTCAATTTTTATCCAGGATAGTTATTTTCATCCAGGATAGAGTCACGAAACACCAAAACTCATTTATTTGAGCCGTTTACATGTGTCCCATGCTGCTAAAAACACAATTAGGACACATATATTTCACAAAAAAGTGAAAAATGTTTTTGCAATATTTCGAGCAAATTCGTTCCTTTGGTTTGAAACAAATTTTTGAAGCTGCGTCACACCGATTAGTCGGCCCATCCGGAATCTGCGCATGCAGAATTCCACAGATTTTTAGCCCATCATTAATTCTGTTTATTTACTTGAGTAAATGTGTGTAAATCTATATTTATTCAGTTTTTATATTAATTTCAGTGATGTTATTGACTAATGTGAAAATGTTCATCTGATTTATGTACAATGCAGTTTGTACAGTATTAATTTCTGTTTTTTTACTAGATATATTATGACAAACTTGCTTTACTTACCAAATAAAGTGAATCTAATTGGATTTGCATTTTAAACATTAAATAGAAGTTAAAAATATATTATTTTTTATTTTATATATTAAGGTTTTTGTTGTGATATTCTCAAAATAATTCCGCAGAAATCCGCAGATTTTTTACAAAAAAAATTCTCCGCAGAAATAGCAAAAAAACATCTGCAGATCCCGTCTGGACCTACCGATTAGATCCTTAAGTGTAATCCAGCATGTAGACTGGCTGTCTGCACCTGCGAGTACATTGTGACGTCTCTGAGTGTGCAGCACTAATTTAAGAGTAAGACTAAAGGTGATAAAAGGCAAGATAAAAGATAAATTAGCTTACATCGAGTAAGCTTAGAGTGAAAAAGTGTTTGTTCCATTTTTAATTTTGTTTCATTACCAGACCTTCTAATTAGGACAAAAATAAACTTTTAACTAAGAAACAATTAACTAATATAATTCCTTTTTTTAAAATTTCTCATTACAACTTTTAAAAACTATTAAAATCGATCCGAGATCAGGTAAAAAAATATATAAAACCTGTTCCTTTATTTGCCATTTTGGGCGATTTGGAAGTTCCAAACAGAAAAACATTTTCAAGTGTTTCTTAACAGTAATGCTGCAACAAAGCTGTAACAATTCCCTGCTCTGAACAACTGATTTGAAAGCAGCCATCACTAGTCCAGATACACTTCTGACACATGAAGCATCCCCCCCTTGTCTAGTGTCGGTCTCACACACTCCCTTATCAGGGAACTTTTATCCCCATAAGCTCTATATTTATATATAGTATATGCTTATGTGCATCTCACCATTGCTCTAATGTTTTCTATCTCTCGCTGATGTTGTTCAAGTAACATCTCCGTCTCTAGACTCATGTTTAACGGCTGCTGCTCCTGAAAACCTAAACAGGTACACACATAACAGCACATGTAAGAAACCCAAGACTGAAAATTTATTTGATTTTAGCTATGAATATGAGGACATGCATGTTACCTGGCTCTAGACTCTTGCTGGCCATTTCATCAGACAGACTCAGTCCGGGACGTCTCAAGGGTGTGTGGCCTGAAGTCTGATATTCCTCCAGCTGAGCTTCCAGCTCATCTATACGGTCCTGTAGCTCCTATAATACATGCACATACAGATTTGAGACAGAATAATAAGCCTGAAATAAAAAGTGGGAAGTAAACAGAGATGGAGAAGTTACAAACCCTGCACTGCTCCTCATAGCTCCTGCGCAGCTGTCTCAGACGATCCTCCTGCTGATAAAACTCTGCACTGTCTGGATCCAAATCACCAAACTATACACACAGAGATAAAAAAAAATCATCTTGAAACCCACAAAACTACTGAATAAGAAAGTTTTAAACCACTGATATAAATGACAGAATCATCTGAGTCAAGCTCTCATTGTCCAGATGCACCTGCTTGTGTCATTCTCATCTCAACAAGCTATCAATCGAGGAGCTAGCATGTATAGCTAGTCTGACACCCTCTTCCATTTCTGCTCTGACTGTTAAATTACTTGAATTAAAACTTTGTAATTTAATATAGGGCGTCATAGTGGCACAGTGGGTAGCAGGAATGCCTCACAGCAAGAAGGTTGCTGGTTTGAGCTTCGGCTGGATCAGTTGGCATTTCTGTGTGGAGTTTGCATGTTTTCCCTGCATTCGCGTGGGTTTCCTTCGGGTGCTCCGGTTTCCGGAACTGGGTTAGCTAAATTGTCTGTAGTGTATGTGTGAATGAGTGTGTATGGATGTTTCCCAGTGATGGGTTGCAGCTGGAAGGGCATCCGCTGCATAAAATATATGCTGGATATGTTGGCGGTTCATTCCGCTGTGGCAACCCCAGATTATTAAAGGGACTAAGCCGAAAAGAAAATGAATGAATGATATAATATTGTTGGAGACATAATAATATACCTTATGGAGAGACAGCATTCTTGAAGATCAATTACACAAAATTAAGACTTAAACCTGCTCATTTGTTTTCAACTGTGATAACTAATAAGAGCATGAATTGTGAAATGGCATAGTTTGATATGCATTCCTCCCCATCAGGTTTGGGTTTAAAAGATGTCTAATGGACATTTTGCCTAAAATGAGGCTAAACTTGGGCTATCAGTGGGAAAAAATAGACAAGTCATCAAATAGACAGACTCACTTATGTAGTCATTCATATATGTCTATTTGATGACTATTGTTAGAAGTCTTTTGCTGACAGACCAAATATAGCCTTGTTTTAATGCCTATGTTTGGACCTATATTATACATCTATAAAAAAAAGAAATGTGTTTGGTCCTTTGAATCAGATTTCTCATCTCAACTTGAATTCCTCAGAGTTTGTTTTTGATTAAGTTTGTTTTAGACCAGGGGCCTGTACCATGAAGCCAGATTAGCTGGCTAGCCAATTAAGATTCAGTTTAGTTTGCACAAATTCTAGGTTTTAGGTACCATGAAGGTAGCTCAGCTCAGCTGCTCCAAAACACCATGGCAACATGGGTGATTACCTAAAACCCAAGACTGGTGCAAACTTCACTGAAAATGTAACAGGTCCCTGCAATTCCTTTCTTCATATATGCCTAAAAAACTGAAACAAGGAAGAAAACACACCAGGTTCTGAAACAAATGCTTCAAAAGACCCAAACTTGAAGTCACATTTAATTCACATGACATTTTCAGGTCTAGAAATCCTATCTAAAAAACCTACCTCATAAATTCAGGTTTAAGATTTTCAGGTGAGATCCCTGATCTAAATAATTTCAAAGCTTTGTTTAATGATGTCATAAAAGAAATGTCTATTTGTCATATGACGTATGCTTGTTTCTATTTATTGTATGTCAGAACTGATTTGCTGGTTTCAGTACCTTCTCTTTCAAAACACCATCCAGGTTTTTCTGTACTTTGTTCAACTGGTTTTCAGCCTCCACCAGTTTCTCTGTGGTCTCAATAAGCTCTGACTCCAGACGACCATTTTCCTACACAACGCATTCATCGAAGACAAACAAATATATAACACATTCTCCAGTTCCAACAACCAAATAATTAATCACATCCATGCTGACAGGAATGTGATGTGTAAACACAACAGGCAATTAGTGGTTTAAATTAAAACATGAAATCAGTGATGATTACTTTAATGGTAAGCGTTAGGTGTTCTCGTAGGAAGGTTTCATCATCTCTCATCTTGCTAATTTCTTGTTCAAGCTCTTCTCGTTGCTGATTGGCCTGCTGTTGCACAAGCTCCATCTCTTTACTGAGCTCTGTCCTCAGAGCAGTCATACTCTCTTTATACTCCTGCTCCACCCTCCTGTGCATATTTGTATGATTGAACATAAAAAAAAAACACACATGCATGACATGATTACACATGCTCACACCCACGTGTACAGACCATAAATTAGGACAGAACAAGCCTTCTGTGCTTATGCAACAGAAATCTGCATGTAAACACAGATATTGCTAGAAAAAAAGGTCATGTCACAAATGAGATGCATGGAGATGAGATCTTATGGGTGGTTCTTTTATGTTAAGCGTAAAATAATAAGTGATCACTAGGCCCACATGGAATCTGTGCAAAAAGAAATCAGATTTTTATTTACATCAGCAACTTGCATCTTTTTATATTAATTTCTGTAATATTATTATTATTATTATTATATAAATATAGTAATATTATTAATATGTAAATGTTTTAAAATGATGTACAATGCAATTTGTAAAGTAATATTTTCTTTTAGTGGGTGCATTGTATGAAATGTATTATACGAGTTCTAATAGTATTTTATTTTGTGTGTTTTTTTTTTTATTATACCTCTTAGGGCCTACTCTCACTATGCCATCCGTACCGTGCCCTAGTAAAAAATCCAATTCAAGATATCTACAACTGTAATTCGACTATTAGTAAATTAATTAGAGATATCTTCAAATATATTTGTAAATATATCTAAATATGATGAATTAAAGATATCTCTAAATGTATTATGACAAATAAAAAAAAAAGATTGGGAAATATCTCTAATTACAATTGTGAGTAGTCAATTCATTTAGAGATATCTGCAAATATTTTTCAATGGAAGTCAATGGAGGAATATGACTAGTCATAATATATTTGCAGATATCTCCAATCTGATTTCGTACTAGTACAATTGTAATTGCAGATATCTTTAATTGTCATTCTGAGTAGTGGAATTATAATTATGACAAGTCAAAATATAATTAGAGATATCTCTAAATATATTTATGGAGTCAGAACAAAGATTTAAATGCTAAAAAGGCTTGCCATAGAGAGCGCTTCTCACTGAACAGCGCAGCATCGATGACATAAGCGTGCCGAGGCCCGATATGGTGTGAGCGCGGGCCGTCGGGGAGACGGGAGGGGGGACAAGCGTGCTTTGGCCCGGTTCGAGGCAACTGTACCTAGTGTGAGTACGGCCTTAAGCTCATACACTCTCAAAATCATTCCACATAAATCTGCAGAAACAGAAAAAAAAGACTGCAGATTCTGTCTGGTCCTGGGGATCACTTATGAACAAGGAAAAAGGTGGATCTGACTGAAGGTGAAAGGTTACCGGAGGTTGAGTTCGTTGTTGCGCTCTATGGCAGCATGATGATCGTCCACTTCAGACGCCAGCTCCGATTTCAGTTTCTCTGCTGTGTCCAGATCAAAGCGAATTCTCTCCTTCTCACGCCTTTCCAGGTCAACACACTCACTGTCACGCAAAGAATAATCCGATTAGAAGAACTGGAGCTCTGAGGCTTTTCAAATGACCAAGAGTGAAACTGAATAATTACTGATGTAGAGAGCATGAAAACTACTCAAAGAGCAAGTCTGAATGAGCTAGAGTGACCCTAAGTGTGAGCAAAATTTGATGAGTCTGCATATGTTATTAATGCAGAATAACAATTTGTGAATTAGATCAAGAAAAAACTTTAAGCTTGAGAATAAGAACACACTGGGGTAAACTGGACTGGAACAATCTGAATAATGAAAAAAAAAGAATGTAAAAAATTCTTTAAGGTATGAACATACACTGAAGTAACTTAAAAGTGATAAAGAACTGAGAAGTGTCTAAAAAGCAACTGGAGTGATCTGATGTTTCAATACTGATCTAGACGTGTGGGTTTTAATGGTTATATACTCCATGAAGACTAAAAAAAAAAACTTTGGTACTTATGACAAAGCTGCTTTTTCTCCTTTTTTGTGTACAGAAAAAAACAGAGGTAGTGTGTATATTAACATTATTCTTATGTTATACATAACATTAAAAATTTACTTTAATTACTTAAAGCTATGCCTAAGAAATCCAGTAATTAAAGAAATTTGTAAATACAAATTATACAATTATATACATCTTGATAGGCTTTATATAAATAATAGTAGTTAACTTTCGATTAATTTTAATTAACTTTTTAAATATTTTACAAAAACTATTCCATGCTTAGAAATGGCACTCAATATTCCCTTCTTAAATCCAAAGTATTTCAACACTTTGGAAATCCTAACTATGTTATTCAGCAAACAAATTTAAATAAACTAATATTTAACACATTTATTGCAAATATACATTTGAAAATGTGTGATACATTCCTACATATATATTTGTAATTCTTGTTTATAGCAAATGACCTGTATATTATGTTCATATGTATTTGCATATCCCTAATTATTAATAGCAACCTGTACAGTATGTTCATCTATTTGTACATCTCTAATTCTAGTTAATACAACTTGCATATTATGTTAATAGTGTATCCATCTGTAATTATTACCCAGAGTTTTCAATAATTGTTCTTATAACGTAATACACCTATAATCTGCACTTGCTGCTATTGCACTCCTGGTTAGACCTAAACTGCATTTCAATGCCTTGTACATGTGTAATGAAAAAGCTGAATCTAATCTAAGGTTTTTCCTGGCCTGAAATGAGGTGGTGGTATCTCAATCATGAAAATGTTGCTACTTGAAACAAACACATTTTGCATTATTCTTGTGATCTTATCAAAGTAATACATTATCTGATTACAAAAAAAAAAATACAAATGTCGTTTAATGCATGACTAGTGCTTGTGCATCACTTGCGGTCTGTTGGTAGCTGTGACTGCCAGCCTGATTTTTGTCAAAAGGTGTAGTTGATGCAACATTTGATGGAGGTGGCTGCCTCGTAATTTACATGTAGATTTCTAGAAAATTTACCTTGTAAAAAAAAAACTAACAAAAAAAAAAAGTTTTATCTTAATTAATTTTAAGCTCATCTTGTCGCTTTGCTGAAACTGAGAACCACTGATGAGGCAGAGTAAATGTGAACAACAAACTGAAGTAATTTAATATGATTTATGCAGAGCTCCGGGTAGAGTTTGATTAAATTCATTCTTCAGATGATTATAAAGTTATTATTCTGAATCACGCATCTGGATTGAGCAAGAAAGACACATGGACTTACAGCAGATGTCTGATTTCTGCCTTGAAGCTCAGTAGCGCCGCCTGGTGGATTGAGTTCTTAGTGCTCAGCAGCTCGTTCTCTAGAGCAACGGTGAGCTCCGACAGATTCACTTTACCTTCCAGATTAAAATCCAGAGCCTACAAAATAAAAAGCATGCATAAAAGCTCATTAAAAACATCCTGTAATAAACACAGACATATAGAGGTCTAAACTACTAATGTGTTTTACCTGCAGGATCTCCGAGCTGTTGTCCACTCCCTCCTCCATCCACCTGTTCAGCAGAGTTTCCACAGGAGCGTGTCCCGATCCATCATCCAAATCAGAAAACACCCGTAGAGCGATTGTACTGCTTAAAGCGCATGAGATCCTACGGCCTGACTCATCAAACTTGAAGAAGAAAAAGATGTTAAACTTTTATATTTGGGCAGCTACAATACACAAAGCCTATTTTAGCACAGTACCTGAGTGGAGTGGATTCTCTTTAATTGTCTGTAGGGTGTGGATGCTGATGGTGTGGGTGGTTTGCTGTGGTTTATTACACATGAGATAAACTCCTGCACATCCATTAGGCTTTCATCAGCACACTGTAATAGATCCTCACCCACCTTGGAGGATTTGAACACACAAGGACCTTCTGTTAATATAGTACACAACCTCCCAAAGCAATAAATGGACGATTGCAAGCAGGACAATTAAAAACAACTGTTTAAATAACTGATTTCTTTTATCTTTGCCATGATGACAGCATGTAATATTTTACTAGATATTTTAAGTTACTAGTATTTAACTTAAAGTGCAATTTAAATGCTTAACTAGGTTAATTAGGTTAACTAGGCAGGTTAGGGTAACTAGACCAGTCATTGTATAACGATGGTTTGATCTGTAGACTATCCAAAAAAAAAAAAAAAAAAAAAAAAAAAAAAAAAAAAAAAAGCTTAAAGGGGCTAATAATTTTGACCTTAAAATGACTTTGGAAAAAAAAAAAAAATGCTTTTATTCTAGCTGAAATAAAACTAATAAGACTTTCTCCAGAAGAAAAAATATTATCAGATATACTGTGAAAATGTTCTTGCTCTGTTAAACATAATTTGGGAAATATTTAAAAAAGAAAGGAAAAAAATTAATAATGAAAATGTGAATAATGAAAATACCTCAATGCCAATGTGTTGGCAGAGCGCGTGCAGCTGTGAGAGAGTGGCCATGCCGTTTACGGGCAAAGAGAGCTGAAGACAGGCATTCTGCAGACGCTCCTCCAGGTCACAGAGCGACAGAGCTTTGCCCCGTGGTGTTGTGGGTTCATCAGGGTTCCAGAGGTGCAGCTGACCTGCACATACACACGCACGCACACACAAGACACAGAGTCACATGCACAGTCACAAATGCTCACACACACCAGTGTAAAGTAAACTCTAGCATAAGAGGTTTGTATTATTTAAAGTATGAACTCACCCTCTGCTTCAAACTCCTCAGAAATGCTCATGTCAGCATTCCAGCGCTGTAATCACAGTAAAAATAAAATGCAAGATGAAACAAATGTGATGATTTTAGTTCCAGAAGGAGGCAGAACTGAGCAATGAGACAGCAGATCTCTAGATCTTGAGCTGTAGTGGATTAGTGGTATGAGCTGAGAATGGACTTGATAAAGGGTGTTAATGACTAAATTATGAAATTGGCCTGTAAAACTTTTCTTAATGCTCTAAAGTAATTGCACAAACAGGTTTAATCATTTTATCATTCAAGGTAAAGATTTGTTGACTTTTTATTGAACATTTTGACATTTATTTAATGCCATATAAGCTTTATTCATTGGCTAACTTAAATGGCAAAAAGAATTCAGAATAACACAGATACAATGCACACAGAACTAAACAATCATGTCATTACATTTATTAATTAATATCTTTATTTAGCACACCCAATTACTCAAAATTGATCATATGTATATTGGATGTAATTTTATATTTATCTTATATATTGTCTTATCTATTTATTAATACATGTTGTTCTTTAGAACTTCATATCTTGAAAAAAAAAATTAAAAGCTCTTAAAAATATAATAAAGCATAACTGTTGTCATCAGTACAACATTTACATAATAAAATAAATAATAAAAAAACTAAAATAACAAATACACTGGCAACCTGTATATAATAAATAACTAAATATAAAATAAAATGTAAAAAAAAAAAAAAAAACACCTAATTTTCATTTTTGGTTAAACTACGCCTTTTATATACCAAACCTACTTAGCTTCAATGCAAAACTAGCCACAAGCGGTGTGAAACTAAAGAGCTACTCAATCAGGTCTTTCCCTATTGTTTGGCCAAGATCATTGTGTGCACGTGTTCAAATAGTGAATTTCTGGGGGTGCAGGGAGCAGATGGAGAATATGTGCAGTGGAATTCAATGGCTGGGAAGGGGTCATTGTTCGTCAACAGAGATCCTCCCCCTCCAAACACACATCTGCTGCTGCAGGACCAGAGGATTGTTCACACATTGGCCCATCAGACAGAGCTCCGCGCAGCCATGTGTGTTAATGTGCACCTGCTGGAGAGTGTGGCCCGTCACAAACAAAAGCTCACAAAAACTCAAGCCTGAATGAATTTGATCAAAATCTTTTCGTCGCTGGACATCATTGCCAAATAGTTTGTGTGTTTTAAAGCCAGGCATGTGCCTTCAAAGAAAAGCTGAACTCTCATTCACTCAGAGACATGCTGAACTGCTGTCAGAGCAGAGGCCAAAACTCACACAAACACACATGCAGACTGAGGCTGTTTACACTAGTGTGTTTTCATTTAAACATGCATAACATTTGCTGCAGTCATGTCAAGGATCCATAATAATACAGAGTGTTTGATCACTAAAAACGAAGACTTTTTAAAAAATAACGTTGAATGGTTTTTGGGCATCACAGTGGCGCAGTGGGTAGCACAATCGCCTCACAGCAAGAAGGCAGATGGTTTGGGTCTTGGCTGGGTCAGTTGGGATTTCTTTGTGGAGTTTGCATGTTCTCCCTATGTTATGGTGGGTTTTTCCGGGTGCTCTAGTTTCCCCCACAGTCCAAAGACATGCACTATAGGTGAATTGAATAAGCTAAATTGGCCGTAGTGTATGTGTGTGAATTCAAGAGTGTATGGGGGTTTCCCAGTGATGAGTTGGCAATCGCTGCATAAAACACATGCTGGAGAAGTTGGCAGTTCATTTCGCTGTGGAGACCCCTGATTAATAAAGGGACTAAGTCAAAAAGAAAATGGATGAGTGAATGAATGGCTCCAGAGCAAACGGAGCAAAACAAAGACATTTCCCTGATTGGCTCTTCTGAATGGTTGCATTTTCTATCCTGATTTCTGATAGCCTTTCTCATATATAACAGTGACAACATCTGTGTGTGTGACAACCTTTTGCATGCACACTATATTTCAAAGCACTGCAGTAAAACACAAAGTTACACTGTGCAATTTAAGTGTTCAACTGGACAGTCTGTGCTGCCAAATTACATTAACCTGGATATTAAAACATGAAAGTACAAAAAGCCAGGTTTACATGAAAATTTAGAACATGTGACACTTAGTTGTTAAAATATTATATAAACAATTTTATGGTGTTATTTACACCTAATGCCACTAAAATATAAGTTGAAATCAGAATTATTAAACGCCCTTTGATTTATTTTGTTTAAAAATGTGTGAACAAATAATATAATAGAATTTATTTTTTTATATTTCCCAAATGATGTTTAAAAGAGCAAGGGAATTTTCACAGTATGTCTGATAATATTTTTTCTTCTGGAGAAAGTCTTATTTGTTTTATTTTGGCTAGAATAAAAGCAGTTTTTAATTTTTTAAACACCATTTTAAGGTCAAAATCATTAGCTCCTTTAAGATATTTTTTCGATATTCTACTGAACAAATCATCGTTATACAATAACTTGCCGAATTACCCTAACCTGCCTAATTAACCTAGTTAAGCCTTCAAATGTCACTTTAAGCTATATAAAAGTATCTTGAAAATTATCTAGTAAAATATTATGTGCCGTCATCATGGCAAAGATCATATAAATTAGTTATTGGAAATGAGTTATTAAAACTATTATGTTTAGAAACGTGTTGAAAAAAAATCTCTCAGTTAAACAGAAATTGAGGAATAAACAGGGGGACTAATAATTCAGTGGATTAAATAATTCTGACTTCAACTATATTTGGTGAAATTTGCTGCCAACTAAAATATGTCTTTTTATCCTTTAAAGCAGGGGTGCCCAAACTTTTTCTTATGACAGGCCAAAAAGCAGACTTGATTGAGGGCTGTGGGTCGAATTAAAAATATCAAGCTGCATTACATTGAAGTTTCCATGATTAATTTCCTAATTTATTTCCTAATATTTAAAAAAGTAACTACAAAACTTTGCTATAAATTCTATTAACTAATGCAGTCTATTTAAAAAATTATAATGCACTTATTATAGTAAAAACATAAACAATACCATTAATAACACAATGGAGTTCAATGATGAATGCACTAAGCTGTACCTGCCTTTGCCTCGATTTGCTCGCTTATTTCTTGTACTGTCCTCTATCTGTTGACGGACAGTATTTACATTTTTAAAGATCTGATTCATTTACAAAACTAACAAAATGCAACGTTAAATTTCAAAATGACGATCTCTGAAAGATAATCACCCATTCTGCCCCTCTTCTCAAATGGGATAATGGGCCAAATCAAAGGACAATATGGGCTAACCCTAGTTTAGGCATCTCTGCTTTAAAGTACAGCAATTACAGTATATTGTTAATAATGAATAATATTATATTTCACATCTTATTTAATAGCTTTTCACTATATTTATATAGTTATTATATTTTCTCTCAATGGAATTTAATACAAATAATACTGAATACAATTATAATTTGCACTTCATTAAAGGGGACCTATTGTGCAAAAATCACTCGAATAAAAGGGTTTAATTACAGTTGTGTTGCAACAGTGTGAATATAGTCAGCTTCTAAAAAGGTAAAAATGAATTCATTCTAATTTTTAAAAATCACACTTCATATTATCAGTCTGCAGAAACACTTTGATTGACAGTCTACCTTTGTACATATCATGAGAGGGGGAAAGCCCCACCCATTAGTGACGATCTCTCCTTCATTAGCATAAACAGCCCTGAGTGAGAAGCAGCCATCTGCCATTAGAGTTTTCACCTGCTGAAGATAACATCGGTGACTAAGAGGAGTTATAAATGTGGAGAGGATGCACAAATGAACACTGGAGTCTCCATAGACTGCCTTCTTTTGGGACACTTATTTTGACATTTTCAGCTCTTCACAGAGATAACGTTAGTCCTGTTTTTGAATGCTTGTGTAATTCTGTGTTATATAGCTGTGTTATATGGGCTACAATTTTCTACTATAATTGTATAGCTGCTTTTAAATTGTCATGCATTTTCAGCCATACAGTCCATATGGGGAGCACCATTATGAACAATAATCGTTTTCGTTCGTGTAAACATAGCCAGAGTGTTTCTGCTCGATCCGGTCAAGGAGACTTTGTAGCTGAAATAATCTGAATTGTTTCTGAAGGAGAGTCTCAACTGTAACCTCCAACATTATCTGTGAATTCAGATACAAGTGACTCCGAAAGAGAAGAATGCGGCACAGCCTTCACTGTTGTTCATGCATATTTTACCTCGCGCTTCCGGGGTACGGTCCTGTCATCGCTCTCTTGAGCATCTTCATCCTTCTCCTCCTCATCATCAGCCTGTATGTTTGAATCAGTATGTGTGGGAATGAACTCAGGAGCAGAGCGTCGGCCGTAACGTTTACTGCCCTTTACAAAGCGTGGCTGGACTTCTGGAGAATCTAGGAGAGGGATGAATGACTTATTTAATATTAATACAAAAATATAGATGCATTTCCTTACAGTAAAATCTAAAAGGGGTCAATTTTGTAAAAAATAAAAAATAAAATAAAAAAATAAATCTTTCATAGTTTAAATTGATTTTTATTGGCAGTTTGAGTCATTTACAGAAAATAGCAACTGTGAACATGTGAACAAATTCAGTGGCATTTTAAGCATCCGTTTTATAATGTAGGGGGATGGGCGTGTCAGATTTTAGAGCGCATTTGATTGGACAGAATATCTCAAGTGTATCTAACTTGTTGGTCGATACTGGTGTAAGCGAGAGATTAATCGCATGCATAAATCTCCTGCATGCAAATTTTGTCATTGTTAGAGCACTCACAGATAACCTTTAAGCAATAGTTTGCCCCAAAATAAAAATTTCCTCATCTCCAAATTGTTTCAAACTTTATGAGTTTCTTCCTTCTGTTGAACACAAAAAATATATATGTTTCGAAGTATTTTGGTAACCGGTAGCCATTGACTTCCATAGTAGGAAAAAAAATACTCTTGAAGTCAAAGGTTACAGGTTTCCATCATACTTCAAAATATCTTCATTTGTGTTTAACAGACGTGAGAAAGGTTTGAAACAACTGGAGGTTCATTAAACGGACAAAATATTCATTTGATCCCTTTAAAACTAACATATTCATCCTAAAAGCCAAAAGACTTACTAAACTTCCCATTTTAGGCATGAACGAGAACTCTGATTATGTGGCTTGTTAAGCTGAGGTGGTCTCTCGCATTTCTAAACAACCAGATTTACAGTGTTGTCATAACATAAGACTGAAGAATGACCCTGTGGCACATTTAGAGAGTCAGATATCAAAAAGTCAAGGCCACTCGGCAACCACACACACTTATGGCACATCATAGCAGCTGCATATCAATGCCCAGGATAGCATCATGAACTGTGAGATATATTAGAGAAGTCATAATCAGAGAAGAGCCTTTTTTAAGAAAGTATCTTCATTTACTGTCTCCATTCAGAGAGTAATCCCTCCTTAATCCAGATTTACCCTCACCTCCTCCCTGAGTTCCGCTGACTGGCTTTTAATACTTTCTCAGTTACATCAGGATTCCTAAATGCCCTTTGATCGCAACCTGCAGTAAAAACACTGTCCTGTGTCTCTATTTACAGCCAATTACAGTAAATGGACAAAGCGTAAATTAGAACATGGCAAATAGTACAATAGTTGCAAGTCTGCAATATAAACAGGGCAAAATACTAAAACAGACTGTATTAAATATTCATTTTATCTTGTTACATAATGAGTGTTTAGTAATGGTGTTTGATTAGTCAACACCAATACCAACATCTAGATGTATTTAATGACAAATAAATATATTGCTGGGTCAAAAAAAATTTAAATTATTCCAATTTTATGACAGTGAAGCAACCCACTTATTTGACATAATATTGGGTTGCACAAAATGTTTAATAATAATTATTGCAATTGCAATGATATATAAACCTGCAAAGTTTCAGTTTCTAACCATTTACTACCATTATGCTACATTGATATTATCTTTACCTGGTTGTTCAAGACACTCCTCTTCATCATTTGTATTTGTGCTTGATAAAACAAGGATCAGCGCATCCTTAAACTGTTCAAAATCAACCTGCAAAATCAAAAACGTAGCAATAAATCACTTTTTTCAATTTTTCAATCTATCAAGACTATGCACATTTTGTATATACACACACTTCTGCTTGGGTTTTACACACGTTAATGTGTTTTATATCCTTCAGTTATTAATATCTTTAAATAAAATAAATTAGAAAAGACAATACTAAAATAATTCAATAATAAAATAAAAAGAAATATTAAATGACACCACAATAATACCAACTAAGTCACTAAAGTGATACAAAATAAAAACATACAATTCAATGACACTAAAAACACTAAATGAAATGACACTACAATAAAATGGCACCTAAATTAAACGGCATGCGCCAAATGAACCAAAATAAACAGTATAATAGATTACATTCATATAAAGATTTAAAATGAAAAATTATAAATAAACAAAAGACATCTAACCCGAGCAGCAATCTCAGCCGTATACATTTAGATATTTTACACTAAAAAAAAATATGAATAAAATATAAGACACAAAAACTGTATCATATAATATATTACATTTCTATAAAAATAATTAAAAATAAATAAAAACAATTTAAATAAAAAAAATAATAATAATACATTTTTAACCAAATATTTTTGTTTAATTAAAATAAAATCAAAATCTCACCCGAGCAGTGATGTGGTCATCCAGCAGTGTGTGTAAGAGTGTGTTGAGTGTGTTTTCCTCCAGCTGAAGGGCCTGACACAGATCACTCAGTTCTTCAGGACTCAAAGAGCCCAAACCGCTCCCATCGAAACTCTCAAACACCTCTTTCAGTCGTTCCTCATATTGGTCCCTCGCTCCATCCATCAGCCTTTCCTACAGACACACACACAAACATCATTACATCCATTCACATTTGTCTAATAAAGGCAGACACTTCACTTTCACACTTACAATAACTCCAATGACCTGCTGTCCAAAACACAAGGATGCAGAAACATCCATGAGAAAGCAGAAAAACCCAATAATGGACAATGAAGAGCAACGCCGAGCTTGAGCACAAGTGCTGAATATACACAGACACACACACGCTCGCAGGTCACTTCTACAAGAGAGGTTGTATTGGCTGTCAGCCATTAAAGGACTACAGCTTTCATAACAGTAACGCTTTTAGAAACCTGACATTTAATTAACCATTGATACGTTCTGCTCAGTCTTTTTGTCAGATAAAGACTTAAGAAATCTTTCAGCATCTCTAAGATTTTCATTACGTCAAGTATCAGCATTTTGAATTAAAAATGTATTTTTTTTGGTGCGAGCACAAAAATATTAGTAAAATATCAGTTGTCTGTTTTACAATATTACTAATATTAGAATAGATTTAATCTAACAAAGCATTAAAACACTTAAAAGATTTAGGTTTTAACACGCACACATCCCTTTTACTGCCTACTCTACCAAATGGTTGACCATATTTTGATCTTTTAGTTAAGGAATGAAGGTTTTAAACAATGGCTTGCAAAAAAAACAAAAACAAACAAACAAACAAACATAATCCTGCTGCACTACTACACATAATTTTGATTTTATTGTAAAAATAAAAAAAAACAGCAAGAAAACATGTTAAAAGAGAATCTGAAATATTTCATAGCATACTTCAAAAAATAATGATGATTTAGAATTTAAAAATAATTTTAAATAAATTGGTCTTGCACATTTTTTTTTAATTTGTCATAGTATTTGTATTGATTCCGGTACTTTTACCATAAACCGACATAAACTATTTGCTTAAGGTTGAAATTTTAGAAATTATGGGATGTGTTGGAAAAAAAAATGCATCCAGTGTGTTTACTAGCAATCCAAAACATTTTTTCTTGGTTGGGCAATTAAAGGGATGCATTACATAAACAGCTAAACTGAAATTCATTTTTCCAACTTGCATATACTGCTCAAAACATGAAGGGAACACTTGGAGATACAGTATGTTGTTGTTTAAGGGTTCCCTTTATTATGTGTACATATATACATATACATTATATATATATATATATATATATATATATATATATATATATATATATATATACACACACACACATACATACATACATACATACATATATATATATATATATATATATATATATATATATATATATATATATATATATATATATATATATATATATATATATATACTATTACATTTACACAAAAACATCTAAAATCAAACATTTGATTCTTTTAGGAGGTTTAGATTTGAGATATTTACAGTTTTTAGGCACTATATATATTAAATATTTAAAAATTTTATATATATATATATATATATATATATATATATAATAAATGGGCAAAAATGGGGACACTGTGGTGCAGTGAGTAGCACTGTTGCCTCACATTTTTCACAGAAATTAAGCAAATATTATACAATTATAAAAAAAGTAAATAAATATTTATTTTTAATAAAATAATAAACATTGATTCTAATGTAAAAAATTATGCATATATACACATACAATGAAGTAACTGCAAATAGACATGAATTCAATATATGTTTTTTTTCCTAAATTTCTTTTTAACGGACAAACTATACCTCTACATGTCCTTTTTTTTTAATCAAGTCTAACTGAAAGCAATCTGACTGGAAGCAGCAACATCTAGTCAAAGCAATCCAGTCAACGTCTCATTGCCTATCATTTTTCTTATGATTTAATTCAAACCCACAGCTACTGAACATACGTGCATATTAAGATTCAAAAGTAAACATTTGAGCTTGGAGCACATTCAGATCCCTGCACTATTTCTGACACACAATCTATCCACTCAGGAAGAGAAGAGATCTGTGGGCTAAAAGCAGAGCGATGAACAAATGACAAGGCCAACGTCAGGACATGAGGACACACAGGTTATAATGAATACAGGATCTCTCACACACACACACGCATGCGCGCACGCACGCAGGTCTCTTTTTTTCCCCAAGGTGCCCTCACACCTCTGAAAGACTCACAAGCATATAATTGTGTGCCTTCATTCAGTATTATTCTTTTGATGGACGGTGCTCACACACTCTCATATATATTAAAATGGGGAGGAGTTTGGTCCATCTGCTCCTTGTCAATGTCATCATCAGCGGCCCCTTACAAGGACGTCTGAGTGGCCAGGTGTTTCTCTATTCATGGAGAATGGATTCAGAGTCACTCACACTGATAAACAAGGTAATATGTGAAGCTGATTAGAATTTTTGACTTATCTAACCATAATTACTGTAGTACATCAACAATTTCTTTTTCTCATGTTTATTAACATATCAATATTTAATACAAAAGCAGATGTTCAAGGTAGACGCGTTTTACTTTGTCTTTTCCATTCTTTTGTTGTTGATATTTATTTGATAGTAATGTGTAATTTATTATTATCTGCTGTAGTGAAATTAAGAATAAAATTTCTCTTTTTGATATTTTGTTTTTGTTGTGTTTTTTTATGCCTACTATAAATGTTTTTTTTTATATATACAGTTGAAGTCAGAATTATTAGCCCCCCTTTGATTTATTCTTCTTTTTTTAAATATTTCCCAAATGATGTTTAACAGAGCAAGGAAATTTTCACAGTATGTCTGATAATATTTTTTTTCTTCTGGAGAAAGTCTTATTTGTTTTATTTCGACTAGAATAAAAGCAGTTTTTAATTTCTTAAAGGCCATTTTAAGGTGAATATTATCAGGCCCATTAAGCTATATATTGTATTTTTCGATAGTCTACAGAACAAACCATCATTATTTAACAACTTGCCTAATTACCCTAACCTGCCCAGTTAACTTTAATTAACCTAGTTGAGCCTTTATATGTCACTTTAAGCTGTATAAAAGAGTCCTGAAAAATATCTAGTCAAATATTATTTACTGTCATCATGGCAAAGATAAAATAAATCAGTTATTAGAAATGAGTTTTTAAAACTATTATGTTTAGAAACGCGTTGAGAAAAACCTCTCCGTTTAGGGAGGCTGATAATTCTAACTTCAACTGTGTGTGTATATATATATATATATATATATATATATATATATATATATATATATATATATATGTGTGTATGTATGTATGTGTGTATGTATGTATGTGTGTATGTATGTATGTGTGTATGTATGTATGTATGTATGTATGTATGTATGTATGTATGTATGTATGTATGTATGTATGTATGTATGTATATATATATATATATATATATATATATATATATATGTGTGTGTGTGTGTGTGTGTGTGTATATATGTGTGTAAGTGTGTGTGTGTGTGTGTGTATACATATATATAAATTTTTTTTTATCCTTTATTTTACCAGGATTTTCTCATTAAGATATGCATCTCTTCTTCCAGGGGGTCCTGGCCAAAATGGCAGCACAAAAAGTTTCAGATACAAAAATACACATACATTAAATATCACAGATTAAAATTCACATTATTCTTCCAGATAAGGCTTTAAACTATTTTTAAAAATATTTAGAGATGGGATTGCTTCTAACACCGTGTTTTCTTCCTTCGGCCTAACATTATGGAAATACATGCAGTTTTACCAAACTCCATATACACTCTCGGAATTAGGGTTGGTCGACGTCGACCAATTTGGAATCGTATGATATCTAATGTGAAACATCGCGATGGACGATGACATCTTCTTTGTAGGTGGTGGTGAATTAATCATACATTCCAGCAGTCAGCGGGTGCTTTGAGCACAAAACCCCAGAGAGCAGTGCACGGCGGACAGTTTATCAAGGATGTACCGCTGGATCATTCTGAATTAATTATTTGTAGCCTACCGTTTCAACTACCTAACCAGCATGGTCTTTTTTTAACTCATAACCAAATCATAAATGAATAGATAAGGTTACACACAAATTACCTCCTGTCAATCACCTTTTCCGCAGGTCTCTGGCTTTGACAAACTTTGTTGGTAAAAAAGGTGGACAACAAACAGGAATCAACCAACTGTATCTGAGATTTTCACTAAAATTAATTAGAACAAGTGTGAATGTGAATGATTGAAGCAGTGTACTGATGGTGTGACACGTTACCTGATAGATTCCAAAGACAGAAAAGTCATTAGATAGGGACAAGATTAAGTAAATACCATGTTAAACGACTATAGTGAGACACGATCCAGGGGTGCATCCTTGATAAACTGTCCGCCATGCATTGCTCTCTGGGGTTTTGTGCTCAAAGCACCCGCTGACTGCTGGAGCTTAGATGCGCGCATACGCTGCAGCATGACAGAGTGCGAGTGTGTGTGTGGTCACATGATGTGCGTTTTCAGTGGTATAGTGTGCACGGAGATCTTTTCAGAATTGCTAGGTGAAACGCCAGTGTGGATGTAAATAATTTTCGTTTTAAATTTTCATTTTAAAATAAGATGTATTGGGGTGTTCTCACACTATGCCATCTAAAGCATGCCCAGGCCCGAATCGTTTGAGAAGTGGGAGTGCTCTGAATCGGGCTCAGGCACAGTTCAGTTGGCCGGCCCTGGTCTGGCGGGAAGAGGTGTGCCAGAGCGCGGTTCACTTGGACTTTGGCATGGTACGCTTTAGTGTGAGTGCAAATCGCACACCTGAACCCGAAACTGAAGACGAGACGTGACTTAAGAGACTGTTTGATATGGATTTATAAGTCATTCTTACAGTTTAATGAACAAAAAATGTTGTAGATTATTAAAGACGCAAACCCATCACTGCACGACCGCTATACCTTTAGCAAACCTCATAATTCATGCAGCACGAGGACGGTGAACAGAAGCATATGAATTTTTCTCCTTTGGTGCAGGGAGAACCATCCAACCATTTTGTACAAAATACAATAATGAATTCATGACGATGCATTCTTCACAAATTGTATTGCAGCATGATATATACTGTCCAGCTTTTATATTAACATGGAAATAATGCAAGTTCAGAATATAGTAGATGTCCAGCTGAAATTACAATCACGGTTCTAAAATACTTTTTACAAAATAATATTAATAAATTGTCTCAAATCTGCTTTGTAGACAACACAAACTGATAACAACAGGTCCGCTATAGGGCTCCTAATTTATACACACACACACACACACACACACACACACACATGTACTAATTAAAACACTTATGAGCATACAAAATTGGATTATATTTTACAATTATTACCAATTTCCTACTGACAAACAGGTAAAAGTTGGTCGTTTGAAGTATAGTGGCATGTAGTACAGTGCTCAGCATAATTGAGTACACCCTATTTTGAAAATGAATATTTTTATCCATTTCTCATTGAATATAGGCAATGTATTTTGGTGCATTTGAAAAAAACAGATTTATTAAACAGATATATTTATTGAAATAATATTAAAGTCACCAAACATTAGAAATTAAAAGATAGTACAATTAAATTCAAGCAAAATCTTCCAAAAATAAAAACTACAACAATTTAACTAAATTTTTCATTGTTTTGCTTCTGTTGATTTTTCCTCTTTTTTAAAATTTGTATTTAATATTTTTCTATAACATAGAAATTTGGCTGTACTAGTTTTTGACCGTTAATACAAGTTATTTTGTTAAATAAGCCCCAGATTTGGCTTCAGTACGGACTAATGTATATGCATAAATATAATATTGTATAGCTTCCTAACAAAAACATAAATATAAAAGAAAGATTTGTGAGGAGTGTACCAACATGTTGGGCACTGTATAAAGACAATTAATAAATCTTTGAGGCTCTATTGCAATCTTTATGCATCTTCATCATATCATCCTAATGAGTTTTAGCATTCTAATTATGCCAGACAAATGGTTTTAAATTTTTCTTCAGGCAATTGAAACAATATTTATGTAAAACATGGAGAAATGTTTGAGACTATATTTTTGCATAGGACATGGTTTTGATGCATGCATATTATCCCATTTATTGCTTTAAAAATAGCTATATTTGCTCAGCAAACACACTAAAAGCATCATTCGCATTTCAGTTATTCAGTAAAAACACAGTAAAACGTTACAGAAATCAGATTTCAGCATTATACAACAAGTGTCCAGCAGAAAGACACAGACACAAAGACAGACAATGACACACACACACACACACACACACACACACACACACACACACACACACACACACACACACACACACACACACACACACACACACATTTAAATAAACAGATGGTTTGACTCAGACATTCATTCCATCACTTTGGAGACTTATTCTCTTTATATATAATAATTCAGAGTTTTTTTTTTAAATAAAAAAGCCATTATAAATCAAAACCCACAACCTGTTGAGAACCAAAGCAACTTCCCTCAGCAGCATAAAGCTGCAGTTCTGCAATCTCAGATGATCGAGGTCATCGGTCCATAACACGGACTCTTAGCAACATAAAACACACACACACAGCAACATTAAACACAAACCCTCAATTAAACACGCGAAATACTCACTAATAGGAGTCAGTGCTTCACAACATAAGCTAAAACTTTGTGTATACACATTTTCTTCCACGTTGTTTAGTGTTGAAAATAACAAACAATCTTTACATGGAGAAAAAGCAAACTTCTGAACTTCCACATTGTCACTCACGAATGAATCACGACACAAACTCAACTCTAACAGTAAACAGGACTCATGAGTGTTAATGAAATACCGCTTTAAACTATTAAAAGTGCGATTTGTGTTGAGTGTGATAAAGTCAAAAGTTAAAATCATCATAACCTACCGGCGGGGTCACAGATGCGCGCGCTCGCTCTCCGTTATTCGGCTATAAGTCCATTAGCTTGCTTCGGAGCTCGTGCACAAACTCGACCGCTCTGTGTGCGTTTGTACCACAGCCGGAGTGAAAGCTGTGAATGTGCCTTTCTGAGCTGAGGAGGAGGACTGCTCGGGTCAGTCTGCTACATTGTCTGTTATAAATGGGCCGGTCAGGGAGATTTTGAAAGGCCCTGCAGGAGGAAGAGGAGGAGACGAGCAGAGACACCGCGCTCAGCAGCGCCTGTTGTAGGAAAGTGGTAGAACTACACACACCTGTTGAGCTACTCGAGCTGGTGGGGTCTCCGGTCCCTTTCTTCTTTCTCATTGTTGAATTCAGGACATATTTATAGGCTAATAAGGACTGCAACACTGTCGAAGCAACATAACGTAACATTACAACTTAGGGTGCTTTCACACCTACACTTTTGTTTCGGAACGTATCTCGTTTGCCCAGTTAGCGCGGTTCGATTGGCATATGTGAACAGGGCAATCGCGCTCTGTTCCGCGCCAAAGTAATCGCTCCGAGATCGCTTGAGTGAGGTGGTCTCGGCTCGATTGAAACGAACCCTGGAGCGGTTCGATTGCAGTGAGAAAGCGATCCGATCCGAGCGCGCTTATATCACAGTGTTTTATGGATATGTAATAGGCTTACGGCTATATGAAGAGAGAATTATGAGTAGGGCGGGAAGTTTCGCGAGTCTCCGGATGCCCGCAAACGAGTGATGATCTCCCGGTAATCTCGCGTCTCTCTCCCAGTCCTCAAATAGGCATCGTCGCGCACCCTTCTCACCCCTCCCCACCGCATCTCTCCTCAGACACGTCACACGCGCGCACCCTGTCAATCACCACCAAACCACCACCTCTCCTGACAGCTGAGCGGGACGCTACAAAATAAACCCTGACACTCTGACCAATGTGAGGAGAGTTTACTCGCACGTGACTTGTTTTAGCTCTTTTGGTCCGATTAGAAACTTTGCAATGTGAAAGCGAACCGCTCCAAGAGCAAAGAGCAACAATGTAACAATTTTAATCTCTGTTTCGGAACAACTGAATCGATTCACAGGTGTGAAAGCACCCTTATACTACAGTTTAATCGTAAGTTATAGGAATAGGAATATTAGAGGTAGGTCATTTATATATGATCATCAGGCCTAGATTCATTTGATCAAATCCAGTGACAATGACAGTTTATTGAGAACTATTAAAAAACAAACCAAGTTGACCATTGTGCTTCACACAAACTAAAAACAATAAAATTCATAGACAAAATCTAGTTTAAATTTGTTTTTACAAAGAATAAAAGACATAAAAAATTACCTGCTCAAAAGCAAAATATGAAAGAAAATCCATTAATCAATTTTAACATTCATTTATTTACAAAAGTCTTTAGTAATGCTGATATTGTGTTGACAAAAAAGTCGTTGCTTAGTCAAATATGTTTTATATTTAATGCAATGTAGTTTAACATTGTTTACTGTCACTTCTAATCAATGGATGTTGAATTCCAGAACAACTTTGTTTCCAATTACTGTGCTAAAATGTTTGATTGTTAGCATCTATTTATATTTATTTATTAGCCAGATGCATTGATGTTTTTGGTCCTTTTGAACAGAACCCTCTACTGCTGTTTCTCACCCTTGTTCTATTTTCTATTATTAAGGGGCTGACATTTTATTTTCTTCTTACGATTTATTTTCTTAAACAGTTGTTTCTTTACATTTAAAAGGGTCCTGACTTGGTTTAACACATTTAGAAGGCTAATTTCTTTCATTTCTTCTTCTACAGATATTTGTTTTCTAAAAAAAAAATATATATATATCAAGACGACTTGAAAATTATTGATATTTTTTGTTAAAAAGTATGTGTTTAAGTGTAATTGTGTTTTTTTGTTTTATTCTGTGAAGGTCTGATAACATTTCTTATTTCACAACATTGGCTGATACTATATAAATAAATTAAACATTAAAGAAAGACTTGTTTTAAACATTTGAAGACAACACATTTATTCAGGCGTTTTGCAGTACAATTCATTCATTTAAAGAGTACTGCATGAAAAATTGAAACAAATTGATAGTGAGATTTATTTATTTAGCGTTATAACTACTGTTGGAGGTGATCTGATGATCTTGTCTTCAGGTCTTGCGCAGGGAGCGTGCAGTTTCCTCTAGAGCTTCACGAGGTTCGCCTGGTGGAGGAATCTTCAGGTCAGTGGGCTCCACACCCCAGATCTCAGTGGCGTACTCTGTAATAGTGCGGTCGCTGGAGAACTTTCCAGATGCGGCGATGTTCTTAATCACCACCCGAGTCCACTCTCTCTGATCCTGTCCAACACAGATAAACACCACTGCAATTGACTCATCATCACTGAATTATTTGTTTCAAGAGACTCAACAGAAATAATTATATCTTAATGAGTGAGGCATTTAATAATTTAACATTCAATTATCAGAGTTTTTTGGGTGCATTCACTTTCAGAAATCTATGAGATATGTTCATTTATGTTCCAAATATCAACAGATTTCATATGGGCTTGCAGAGCCATGTGCATGCGCAAGAGTCTACTAAATTATGATTTGATTTTTCATTTTCAGTTAGTTAAACTATGCTTGAACTGATTTTCATTTCAATTTTTTATTTTGATTAGTTAAAACTATCCTTAAACTCACTGGCAAAATGTTTTGAAAGTTCATTGTTTCATAGACAAAATTAATGAATGGAAACAAAAATAGTGTGTGAAAAGGTAGAAAAACTAAATCCAAACCAATTCTCTATCTCTCTATCCATCATCCGTCCATCCTTCTATCTAACCATCAACCTTATCCATCTATACTTCTATTCATCTATCATCCATCTATACTTATATCCATCTATACTTCTTTCCATCTATCCATCCATCCATCCATCCATCCATTCTTATATCCATCCATCTATACACTTCTATACATCCATCCATCCATCCATACTTCTTTCCATCCAACTATATTTCTATCCATCCATCCATACCTCTATCCATCCATCCATACATCCATCCACCCATCCATCCATCTAAACTTCTATTTATCCATCTAAACTACTATCCATCCATCCATCCAATTTATACTGCTATCCATCCATCAATACTTCTATCCATCCATCCATCCATCCATCCTTCTATACATCTATACTTCCACCCATCCATCCATCTAAACTTCTATTTATCCATCTATACTACTATCCATCCATCCATCCATCCTTCTATGAATCCATCCATCCAATTTATACTGCTATCCATCCATTAATACTTCTATCCATCCATCCATCCTTCTATACATCTATACTTCCATCCATCCATCCATCTAAACTTCTATTTATCAATCTATATTACTATCTATCCATCCATCCATCCATCCATACTTCTATCCATCCATCTATACTTCTATCCATCCATCAATCTATCCATCTATACTTCCACCCATTCATCCATTTATACTTCTATCCAGCCATAGAAAATTATTGCCCAGTTTGACACAGGCTCCAGACTACTAATTTAAAACTAAAGGTTTTAAAGCTTCACAAAACAGGCATTTACAAAACTAATGCTAATTAAATTAATGCTGAATCTTTCAATCATTAATATCTGGTGTATATGATTGTACTGTAAATAATGTGTGTGATGTACTGTTCACCTTATACAGAGCGCTGACTCGGTCTTGACACTTCACATAAGACTCATAATCAGCAAAAACTTTAAACCTGAAGGAAAGTTTTATAGAGATAAGAGATTGCGTTACAGTATGTAGGAATTTAAAAGAAACCATGCAAGTATGCATATCCGCATTACCGATCGTGATGAAACAGCATGTTGATGATGTCGCTGAACATCTCAGGCTGTTTCGGTGAAAAATAGCCACTTTTAATCTGATTAATGGCTCGTTTCAGCTCCGAAAGATTCTCATAATATTGCAGTGCATTATAGCTGCGTGCACACATACACACACACACACACACACACACACACACACACAGATGATTAATGTCTTCCCACAAGCAAAAAGACTGACATGTACTCAGCATTAATTTCCTGTCTCATTCTCTACCCTTTTTTATCCAGCTCTGCCACATCATTCACCCTCATGCCAAAGATGAAGAGGTTTTCCTCTCCGGCTTCTTCTGCCATTTCCACATTGGCACCATCCATTGTGCCAATAGTGAGCGCTCCATTCAGCATGAATTTCATGTTTCCGGTTCCAGACGCCTCTGTACCCGCAGTGGAGATCTGCTCCGACAGGTCTGTGGCTGGGATTACTGCACATTAAACACAGACAAAATGGACATTTCTGTATATAAACCACAATAAAAATGATCATATTCAGGCTTTTTGGGATATCAGATTCAGCATTACCTTTCTCTGCCAGTGACACTCTGTAGTTCTCCAGAAAAATGACCTTCAGTTTACGTCCAATCACAGGATCATTATTGACCACATCAGCGACTGAAGTAATCAGTTTAATGATCATCTTTGCCATGTGATATCCAGGAGCAGCCTGCATGAACACACATACTGTAATAAATCATACCATTCAAAAGGTAAATGGGCTGGGTGAGATGTCCAAAAATTTAATTGGCAGGGGTGCATTTCTTGGCCAGAAGGGATTGATTTTTCCACTTATTTTGTGGCCATTTGCCCAGTATGTTAGTCAATGATATCTATAAGCTAGTGTGCTTTAAAACAGTGAAAAAAGCATTTAGAAGATATAAACACATATAAACCTCTAAAGCTTGTAGTTTGTACTTTCACATAAATAGATTTTTTTACACCTTATACTTCAGTTTCTCATCAAATCTTGACCAATCAAATGCTCTCTAGTATCCGACATGCCCCACCCCGTTCAAGACGCTTCTTATTTGATGCACTTGAACTTGAACCACTCGCTCTGGCTAAAAACAAAATGCTGTTGGCTGGTTTTTAAAGAAGGAGGAGCTACTAGATGCCCCGCCCACTCTTCATGTTTCAGTTAAGATTACAAAAAACACTTGGGGGGAAAAAAAAAAAAAAAAAAAGCACAATTCAAAGCACTTCATGGGTCCTTTAAAACTAGTAATGCTCTTGTCTGGGCAATATTTGACAATTTTTACCAGGCAAGACTCCCTACTTTGAATCACTCACAGCCAGTGGTGTAAAGTAACTAATTACAAGTACTCAAATTACTGTAATTTCTCAGGAATAGTAATTTACTGAGTAGTTTTAAAAATGTGTACTTTTACTCTTACTTGATTACATTTTTAGTGCTGTATCTGTACTTTTACTCCACTACTTTCCTTCAACCTGCAGTCACTACTTGATTTTTTTCTTGTCTATGGGGATTAGAAAAATCAGTCCTGTGATTCCTGTCCTATCAAATCGCACATGGAAGGAATTTCACATCATAATTAACTAATTGAAGACATGGGTGATTTATAAATGCAGCAAACTGTTTGGAAGCATTAAAAGTGTCCAAGAAGATGTCCAAAATCAATATCAGAATTTGAAGTCAATAGGATGTTGGTTTAAGATGTTGGCTCGACATTGGATTCTGGTCACTTTCTAACACAACCTAAAATCAACCATATATCAACGTTATTTAATGTTGTTATTAGACATAAAAATAATGTTATCCTTTGATGCTGGCTAGACATTGAATTTTGGTCACTTGACACCACAACCTAAATCCAACCTAATATTAACATCCTATGATGTTGTGTCTGCTGGACAATAACTACATACACTACAGAATGTTATTACGTTTACACACATCCACAAATTACAAGTAAACGCATCAGCTTTTCACAGCATAATACTCACTACTCATGAGTACTTTTAAAAGGGCTACTTTTTACTCATACTTTGAGTAATATTTGCAAGAGATACTTTTACTCTTCTTGCACTACATTTTTAGGCAAGTAATGGTACTTTTACTTGAGTATAATTTTTCAGTACTCTTTCCACCACTGCTCACAGCCTTAGTCAAAGGGAGCATGCAAGAAATCATGTGTTCATTTGAATGACACGGGCATATCTAATAGCTCATAGTAACATGTGTTAGCTATCTACTCAGAAATATTTTTGAGCATATTTAAAAGTTGGTTGATCGTCATCACCACCCTGGTAAAGCATACGGTGTCCTCAAGATCACAGAGTAATGAATGCTATTTCAACTGTCACTGAGTTACTATGGTTGCTCCTAATGTTCAAAGGCAGTGCATTTATTTTGAAGTGTGATCAAAATTGACTAACTACCCATGCATTTTATTGCACACCTTCCAACAAATCAGAATCAAGAACCGCAACAAACCATGATATCAATCAGTGTTTTTTAACCGTGTTCCTGGGGGACCACCAGCTTTGCATATTTATATTATTTATTTTTAGCATTCTCAAAAACAAGAAATAAGTAGCCAATCTGTCATAGCATCTGACAGGGCAAACTGCTCAATAGTGTCTGGATGCAACGTCTCGGACTTGCAATGGTGTGTGCAGCTCAGATTGCAACTGCACCAGGTCTCCATCCAGACCCCCTCAAACAGCTTCAAATTATATGCATTAACTATATCTTATAAGTAATTTTAAAGCCATTATATAGCACGACTCAGGGTTTTAGGTCAAATTTGATTATGTACTTTCCACACAACAGCTTACTCTGTGTCCTCAGCTAATTTATAGACTGATATCAAACTATCTAAACCGTTTAGTCTCACACAAATCCCAACGTTTATTATATTTATCGATATATTGTAAAATCTTGAAATCCCAGATCAGTCATACTTTTTAACAGTATTGTGCATTTATTGCAAATAAGTGCATGTGGGCGTGTTTGTTTTACCTTGCCTCCAATGATCACAGTCCGGGGTATAAATGGTTTAGTAGGATGGCTCTTGATGCCTGTGTGTCAAATAGTTGAAACATTTTCCATTTATTACTTTGTGTTTGACAGAAGAAAAACCCCCCAGAAAGAATAAATACAGTAAATGTTAACAATTCCCATTTCATGCGTCTCCACATGGAAAAACGTATTTAGAAACAACAACAACATACTTCAGCATAAAAACGCAAGTGTGTGTTTATGTTTGTGTAGCATACATACGGTTGTACATGGTGATGACGTGGAGGCAGTTGAGCAGCTGCCGTTTGTATTCGTGGATTCTTTTAACATGGACATCAAACATGGAGGCAGGATTTATGTCCACTTTGTAGATCTTCTCTAAATAATGTGCAAACTTCAGCTTGTTGTCCTGTTCATACAAAGAAATGAATTAATGCAAAATGAATTAATATCTTTGAAAAAAATACTTGGAAAAAAAAAGTATACCAATTAATTTAAGGTACTAATATGCATAATTTGCAAATAAAAAAAGGGGTAAGCCATTCAAAAACAATTTATAACCTGTTTGACTTTGGCTACATCTCGGATGAAGGCTTCGTCATCAACCAGATCATTCAGCTTCTGCAGCTGAGTCAGATCTTTCACATACTCCTCACCGATAGCCTACAAACAAACACAAAATTGCTAAAAGAAATCTGTTATGAAGAGAAAAAAAAAGTATGCATGTGTGCGAGTGTGTTTGGACCTCGGCAATTAGATCAGCAAGTCCTGGGTTACAGAGAAGCAGCCAGCGTCGTGGTGTGATGCCATTGGTTTTATTCTGAAATTTCTCCGGTTCCAGCTCACTGAAATCCTGGAACCTAAACGATTAAAGTCAAGTTCACTTTAAAAGGCAAAAGCACCGTTTTTACATCTACCTGCAAATGTTTTTTTTTTTAAATAAGAGTGTCCAAAACTTTTCGGTAATGTTAGTTTGCGTAATACATGCCTGAAAGAATCAAAGCTATGTTTTTATTTGAATTGCATCTAATTTATTAATAAAACGTATTAAAGTTTGTGTTATGTAGAATATAGTGTATATTCTATTATAGTGTTGATCTAATATAGTGTTGACTAATATAGTGTTGATCTACAGTATACTCTGATTTCAGAAGTCACTGTAGGTATGCATATAGTTTAGTATACACTATGCATCTAATGTTAATTTACTTTAAGGCTACATATAGAAACAAACATCTATTTTACAAGAAAAGTATCTTGTGAACTCTTATGATGCGTTTCTTTGCTCTGCCAGTTTCAGACTGTTAAATGTTTATTTTCCCTCACAGACTGATTTTAGTGTATTCACAATGGTATGAACCGTTAAATGGGTGGTCAAATGTATATTTATATTATCAATAATTTTTTTATTATTAATATTATTATTTAAGAAACAGATCAGAGCAAACTCTCTCACTATTTAAAGTGCTGAACCCTCATATATTTTGTTTTAATTTCCTTCACGGGAGATCAAGTGTTATTAGGAAAGTCAATCTTCCCAAATCCTACTGTAATTTGCACCCTACTCTGTGTAAAATTTTTTTTAAATCTGGATGTCATCCAATGCCATGGAAGAATAGTGTGCAAACGAATGCACATTTCATTAAATAATACTTAATTTGCATATTTAAAGTTACATAACATTTTAGATAATTTGTAGTGCCAAAAATATTTGCAATTTTAATTGCAATCAATCAGCTGGGGATGCATGGTGATAAATTAGTTATTTTTTAGTTAGTTATAGAGTTTATTGTCATATCTAAGATGCATTTTTATAACGTATACATTCATAACAATAAAAAAAAGATATCAACAACAATAAATATTCCATAGTACAAGATACATCTAAAAAGTTTAAGATTTGCTTTTAATAAAAATTCTAAAATTAAGAATTCGCATTTTAAAAAGCTTTCTCAGAGCTTTAAAAATAGAGCATTTCACAAGTATTTTACCTGGTGTGTCTTGCCTCAAGAAAGTAATCATCAGTAAGATATTATTATGCAAGAGAATGAGTCTTACACGTCTCTCTTGATGATGTCAGAGTGAATCTTTGCTACTCCATTGACTTTGTGTGAGCCCACAATGCAGAGATGGGCCATGTTCACTCGCTTCCCTCCTCCTTCCTCGATCAGAGACATCCTGCGGATTCGGTCCATATCCTCTGGAAACAGAGACGCTATATGCTACACACACAGACAAGAAAATACACATTCAAACACTCAGGCAAACACAAAAAACATGCATACAATATTGGGGTCTACTAGGTTTTCTAGTGTACAGTATGTGGATTTATGTGCACTTTGGGGTCAAAGTAAACTAAACCTGATAAATATGGGTAATTAAGGGGTGCTCTTTGGACATGGAATTCATAAAGAAACAACAGAAGTCTAAGGCACATGAAAAGTGAAAAAATTTAAAATCCATTATTAACATGGCTATTATTTAAGAAAAAATAAATAAAAAACAGCACTTTTGTAAAACTAAAGCTGACAGTGGGAACTTTATAGCTGCTTTAAGTTGGACAAGTAAGTGTACTCACATTCAGGTGTATTAGGTTGATCTTGTATATGATCTGCAGGTGTCGCGGTAAGAGTTTCTCCATCAGATCAACTGGCCAGCGTTCCAGAGCCTCTGGCAGAACCGTGTGGTTTGTGTAAGCAAACGTTCGCTTGGTGATATCCCAGGCCTAGACACTCACACAGAGCAACTTATTTTCAGGAATCATGTCGCCTTCACAAAGCTAACATACTGTTAAAAATCTGCATCATTCAATTAAACTAAATAGATTTCATTTATACCCATACAGTACTCATTTTAAGCTTAAATAACTTTATTAAAAATAAATAATAAATAAATTTAAAAAAAGAGGCTACTGCTTTTTACAGTGAGCCAGTTTGGTTTCAGTTTTGCTTTGCAGACTTTGTCAGTAATTTGTTTTGTGCATTTCCTATGTTTCCTTGGATGTTTGTTTGTTATTATGGTTACTCGTTGCTTGACCAATTTGCAAGTTTTGGTAACCGAAAGTGTGTTTTTACAACCAAAATATTTCAATTTGACTTATGCTGAGGGGCTGCTGAGTTATGTCCTATTCTACATTAATTTTAATATTCGATTCATGCGTTTTGTCATTTATTTATTTTATAATCTTTTCAGTTTTTCATTAATGTCATTAATGTTAATATCATTTTTGATCAGCTTACTGAAATTGTTTTTCTGCTAGCTGCCTTTAGGCATGGAATGATAACCAGTTTTAAGGCTTACCGCGGTTTGAAAAAGTCAGTTTTAAAATCTCAAATTTTCTGTTATACAGTTCCTACGATATGTGTACACATTTTTATAACCATTTTATTTTTATTTACTAGTCAGCCCAAGATTCAGCAAAGATTTGAAAAACAAAAATCACATTCAAGCTTTCTATAGACCTAAACCGTGTAAAGACTTTACTTTATATCCAAAGAGAAGCAAGATATCCAAAGATGCATTTTTGAGATGCAAAGAAATCTGTGTTTTTCCCAAACGAAGTCAATGAAACTCAATGATTTATTTGAATTATTTAGCCTGACATGTTTACAGTTCTAAAATACTTTCAATGTTTCTTAAAAATATATTGTGTTCAATAGAGAGAAAAAGATGTTTTTTTTTTTACCCAGACATTTAAAAATAACTTATTGTAGAGCAGTGATTACAATACTGTGAAACCATAAAACCGTGATATTTTCATCCAAGGTTATCATACCTTCAGAATCCGGCCCATGCCTAGCTACCATGGAAAAGTCCTAGCTTCTAATATTTCAATTAATCAATTTTGTTTCAGGGTGACGCTGTGGCACAGTGGGTAGCATGTTCGCCTCACAGCAAGAAGGTTGCTGGTTTGAGCCTCGGCTGGGTCAGTTTGCATTTCTGTGGAGTTTGCATGTTCTCCCCGTTCGCATGGGTTTCCCCCAAAAGTCCAAAGACATGTCCTACAGATGAATTGGGTATGCTAAAATTGACCTTAGTGTATGAGTGTGTGTGTGTGTAAATGAGTGTGTATATGTTCCCAGTGATGTGTTGCAGCTCAAAGGGCAGCCACTGCGTAAAGCATATGCTGGATAAGTTGGCGGTTCGTTCCGCTGTGGCGAACACAGATTAATAAAGGGACTAAGCCAAACGTAAAGCATATGCTGGATAAGTTGGCGGTTCGTTCCGCTGTGGCGAACACAGATTAATAAAGGGACTAAGCCAAAAAGAAAATGAATAAAAGAATGAATGAATTTAGTTTCAATTCAAGAGTTCACACTTAGATATTGCTCAATATTAATAGCAGGTTTGGAGAGGCTGTCCCGGAAGAAAACCCTGAGCTTGGAGATAATTGAGCCCAGGTTAATGAGCATGTAAGGGGGTACGAGATCAGGTAGCTCTCGAGAGCTTCCCCTGGTAAAGGAGGAAAGAGGGAGATGCGGTGGATGGGGGATTCTTCAAAAACAAAGATAAGGGTATAAGGCGAGACCGGCTATTTATTGTGAGTTTGGAATCTGATTGGTTTATTAATGATTGCTGATGAGAGACCAGCCACGATCAATCCTATCACGTTTTCCTCTCGAAATTAGTTTGTGAAACTTCACTTAATCATCTTTACAGATTTTAGGTTTAGTTTACAATAACAGCAGTACATTGATTTATTCAGTGATACAACAGTAACTGTAATGTGAAATTAATATATATCTTTATTAAACTGATGAATTCATTAATTATAATAAAAATGCCTACATTTCTATTAATGAACATTTTTTCATTAGTTTAATAAACGTTATAGATTAGATTAAGAGTGATACTTCTGGATCTTTTACCTTTTTTTGTGAGTGTTTTTAAGATAAACTAACATTTCAAATGCATGATGAACAGACTTGCATGCGTGTTGCATCATTGTGTTGTCACAGGAATATGTAAATGAGTATTTGATGAATTATTCATAAATCTTACTGTGTCCCAGTCAAGCTTCTCAATGTCCACAAATATCCGCATCAACTCAGGAATGGCCATAGCGGGATGAGTATCATTCAGCTGGATGGCAACCTAACACACACACACACACACACACACACACACATATACATACACACCTTTAGAGTTCATCACATTATGCGGAGCACTAATGTAGTGACTGGCGTGGGTAAGAAGTGCATGTAGAATTAAATATATGCTCTGAAGTGTCAAATGGTTGCATTGAGTCTAGAGAATTTGCATCAAAGTCAGACCTTATCAGGGAAGCTGTCGAATGACAACGGTCCAGAAGTGTTTCTCTTCGAGGTCTTAAAGCGTCGAATCACATCTTGTAAAGTTGCTGCCACCACAAAATATTCCTGCTTTAAACGCAGCTCCTTTCCCTCAAAAAACTACAAATCACAGAAGGTGTAGAGTCAAAAAACTACAAATGGATGTAAAAAACTACAAATGGATGCAAAAAAACTACAAATGAATGCCATAGAGTATGTTCAAGGTTAAAGTCTACTGGATTATTAAAATCTTCAAGCACACAATAACTAATAGACATTTATGCAGTTTAATTACATAAAAGGCATTTAAACCTCAAAGGCAAGACATAAAAAAAGGAACTTACATTGTCATTTGGATAAAGCACACGGGAAATGTTTTCTGCTAAGTTACGGTCCAAAACTGCCTGAATGTAATCACCCACGTTAACTGTAAATAAATAGAGTTTATAAAGAATTTATAAATACATTTAAAAAATATATAATTTAGTATAAATAACAGTAGCAACAACTAATTTTTCTGGAATAACTAAAATCAGAAAATAAATAAATACATAAAGGCTTGATTTTATTTATGCACGCAGCTCAAACCCTTTTTATTTAATTCTTATTTTATATACTATTTTATGTTATTATCTTGATGAATACTTATTAAATCCTAATTAAAATATTGTTGTTACTGTAAATAAAACAATAATGAAATAATGCTAACTAATATTTATAATTGTAGTTTTGTATTATATTAAATAATATTTTATTCATTTAATTTTAAATAAAAATATTAAAACTAACAAATAAAAATGATAGAATTAAAGGTCGATCTGCATTCTCTAAATATGCTCCACATGTATTGAATGCGCTTCAAGATATACTTCATATGAAATTCATATCATCTATCACTATATTTAAAAATATTTTAAAGACTGTCAATTTAGAACAGTGTATGTTTTAACAATTGATTATTTATACTACTTTTGTGTGTGCCTAGGTGTTGTGACGTGTATTTTTTTCAACTGTCCTATGCTGCCTAAATTATTAAAATTAAAATTAAATTAAAACTACAGACATATACTACTAAAATGACAAAACAAATTTAAATAAAAAAACAATTTTCACAAATAATTATTTTATATTTTATAAATAATTCTATTCCTATTCGATCAATTATTACAAATTTTAAGTAACATTGAATTAAACTATATTGAAGACTGAAACTGTATTTTCTTATAAAACCTAATCCAGATATTTATCTCTTGCTAATTTCATCTTTAATTAAAAAAATTACAAAGATTACATCGTTCTGTATTTTGCATCAAGGACATCAAATAAAATCCTTCTGGACACAATGTATAAAAGCATCTGCCATAAGAATGCATGAAAACATAATTGTAAGCATTTGAGTAGAAGACTCACAGTCTCTGAGGTTGAAGTCATTTGGTGCGCGGGCAGACCACAGGCGCATGGTGTTCACTGTATTGTTCATGTAACCTGGAATTGGCGTGTCATATGGCATGGCCAAAACCACCTATACCCCAAACATGCATTACAAAGCTGAACAGAGTAACATGATGCAATCTAGTGAGTGTGTATTTATTTGTACAACCACACTGATACCTGTGTGTCTACCCATTTCGGCTCCTTTCCCTCCTCTTCTTCCACACGACCATAGAAATGCACAGGCAGCATGAACTCAGGACGGGCCTTTTCCCACGGGTTACCATACCTTAACCAGTCATCCGCCTCTTCAACCTAACAGACAAGTCACATGTCAACTTTAACATCATGCGTAACAGTTTCTGGGTCCATCTAAAAATATAGTTCAGATTTTGTTTTTCCAAGACATTTGTTAGGTATTTAGACAGCTCATATGTGTGGGACTAGCTTACCACTGCTGAAAAATCCAGCTTAAACCAGCCTAGGATGGTTGGCTGGTTTTAGCTGGTCGACCAGCCTGGTTTTAGAGGGTTTTGGCCACTTTCAGGCTGGTTTCCAGGCCTGGTCTTAACTGGTCAGGCTGGAAAGTGACCAGCTAAATCCAGCTTGACCATCCTGGTTTAAGCTGGACATAGCTGGTTTTGGCTGGGCTCCCAGCCTGGCTAGGCTGGTCAAGCTGGTTTTAACTGATCATCTCCCACCCTGTCCAGCTAAAACCAGACTGGAAATGGCTGGAAACCAGCCTGGAAGTAGCCAAAACCCCTCTTAAACCAGGCTGGTTATCCTAGGCTGGTTTAAGTTGGATTTTTCAGCAGGGACATATCTCTTCCAAAGATTTTTGTCTTGTTTCGATTTGAATTTTAACTGTTGTAAACATTTCGTACACCCAAAACACACTACATATAACGATAAAGACATTTTTCTGAAAATCATTCTGATTGTAAAACAACAGCAGAGTTCAGACTAAAGCTATACCAATACAGACGTAGAGACGTAACCTAGTGGTCAGCGTGCCGACATATATCGCAATTGTGCTATGGCTGTCCCAAGTTCGAATCCTGATTTGCGTACATTTGTATTGCCCCCTTCGAAAATGCGAGGGGAAAATAATTTGTGTGGTTTTTATTCCACTACACTGTCTGCGATTGCTAAATTCCCAGATTTATTAGATAGATTACACAAGCTGGATTCACTGGTCAGATGAACTAGAAACATTGCACATCTGCTGGTTACTGGGGGTAATCCATCAGTTAAAAATAAACTAATAGTTATAGTTTGCTTCTGTGGACATAAATATAGTAATCATGGTGTAATATTTATCATCCTTAGTGTGAACGGCCCTTCAAATACAAATTAAATCAAAACGAACCACATGATTTTGTTAGCTCACAATTGTTTGCCTTTGTAATCCTAAAATAAAACCTAAGAAAGGACTTGCTGCTTGTTTTCAGTTAAATTTTGAGATTATGTCTGTCTAACTTCAATGGGATCTCGATAACTGAAAGCTACACCTTCACTACAAGTTACGTCCCTTTAGGTTATGTCCCTGTCTTGCAATCTGCATAAAGATAGACTTGGAGTAAATATTCGGGTTCTCTATTAACTGCGTGAATCACAATACAAACAAACTAAATAAATGGTCACAGTTCATGTGGACTTAAAGTTGGGAAGTTACTCAAATCCTTCGTTGTAGCCAATTTAAACTTAAATATGAACAAAACCTGCATGAAACAAACTTCTTTGAGAAAGTAATTGCACACCTAGGAATGCAAGCTGTGACACTACTGAAAATCATGATCATAATGTTACTTGTATACATGCCTTAACTCAAATGTTCTGCCAGGCTCTCATATGTTAAAAATCATTAGAATATGCGTGTCTAAAACATTGAAGACAGAAGTGAACACCATGATTTGGTAAAAGATTCATATACAGTGTGATATAACTAAACAGTGGTCATAAATGGCTATTGAGTTTTCTTAATTCACACGAAAATTGGACAAGTGGATAATGATAGAAGAGGACACTCGAGAACAAGGTACTCAAATCTGGGGCAGGTGAAAGTTCAAGTGTGTGTATTTTTAAAATGAGCATTTCTGCTACACAAACAGAGCATTATCACTGTGCTTCTGCAAATAAATTGAGCCGAGTTTTCTTATCAAGCTACAAGCTTGCTGGCACAAGATCCCCATTGGTGCAGTATTATCAGCTGTGTGACGAGCTCACACGCACCAGGCCACTGACCACAAACGCAATGGACTCCTGGCCCATATGCATTGATTTTTATGCAGACACTGCAAACTAGGTCACATATATGTAAATGCAATATGAATCACGTAAAACTCAAGTAACTCAAAAATTTATAATAACATATAATAATAATAAATATATAGGGGAGCTAATAATTCAACTGTATTTGTGCTAATATATTTTAAAATCTCTATTATCAATAAATTTAAGCAATTTGTTGCATTATGGGATATGCTTTAATTATAATTATAATATATAATATAATATATAATAATATAATATAATATATAATAGGAGATTAATTCTGATAATTATAATTAATATAAAATTTTATGTAACAAAGTATTTAAATATATTTCATCTCTTTTTTTGTGTATTCTTAAATAAATATTTGTGGAATATAGGTCAGAATTACTCTAAATATCAGTATCAGGTCACCAACGTTTACAAATATTCAGGAAATTTGGCTAATTCGGTCAGCCATCTTATTCACCTGCCAGCCATCTTTAATCTTCTGGTTGAATATTCCATATTCATATCGTATCCCATATCCATAGGCTGCCAGACCCAGAGTCGCCATTGAGTCTAGAAAACATGCTGTGAATCACACACACACACACATAAATAAATTTCAATATAACTTGTATCATGATATTATTTGTTCAGTGTATTTCAGAGAGAGAGAAAGTGAGACCTGCTAATCTGCCCAGGCCTCCATTGCCTAATCCAGCATCTTCTTCCATCTCCTCCAGATCCTCCATGTCCAAGCCCAGCTGGAAGGAGAACAAGAGGATTACAGACTGATAGGCAAACAGACGCACAGACAAATGAGTGTTTTTGTGTTCCCTGACCTGATAGATGGCCTCATCACAGGCGTTCTGCAGACCCAGATTGATCATGGTGTTCTGGAGCGTGCGACCCATGTAGAACTCCAGTGAGAGGTAATAAACACGCTGAAGCACACAGAGGGAAAAACAACTTTCTAGTGAGAAATGGAGATTTCCAGGATTTTGCATAGTAGATTGTCTACATTTAGTTTAAATAAATGCCACTGTGCTTCGTAAATATTTAATCATTCATTGCATTTTTTTTTATTTATCTTTTGGAGAATTTGACAATTGATCAAGGAAACATATATAGTAAAATAAGTAAAATCAATTATTGTAAATCATACATTGCACAGATGTAGTTTTTTTTCTCAAGTTAAATCATTTGTATTATACGGTTTAAAACTTGACTTATTTTGTGCAAAAAAAAAGAGACTAATTAACTCCATTATTTTAAATTGAAAAAAAATGTCAAATTGTATGTTTTATTGAAAACATTACTTTTTTTTTTATTAATTTTTAAAACAATGGTTTTATTATTTTGTTACTTTTTGCATTATTTAAACTTCTCCCAGGAATGAAAAAAATAAAATAAATAAATCACAGTATAAAACAATCACAGTAAACATATAATATACAAAATAAATGTTTTAATAAATTTCACATTTCCTTAATATTTTCAGGTTTTCATGACTTGTTATTGATCACAGAAGGGAACCTACTTTGCATCTAAAACTTTAGTAATGCATGATGGTTTTTCCATTTTATAGTAGTTCCATTTGTTGTAAAACATACATTTTTTTAGACGTTTTTAAATAGCACTAATGTTCAAAACTTTTCTGGGAATGAAATAACAAAACAAATAAAATGTTCATGTTCGGATATATCCAAGACATTCATAACTTAATTTTGATTATAAACAACTGGAACTAATACTTTTTTGCATTCATAAACCTGTCTATTATGTATGATGGTGATTTTTTTATGGTGATATTCTTTCTCTTAAAAGCTCAATTAGTTATATATACACATCACAAGTTTTAATATTGCATACATTTTCAGAACTTCTCCAGTGCTGGAAATCAAAATATATAGCATGTAAATAAATGACTACAAAAATACAGTACATGTGAATATTGGACGTGTATGTGCATATTGCGTGTTTTTTACAATAAACAGTAACCAAAAAACAAGCAAAAATAAACCAACAACAGGCTTTAGAACAGTTTAAGATCACTTGCATGATTCAATTATGGTCAACATATTTCAATTAAAGGACACGGTTATAAAGTGATAAAAAGTAAATATCTACAGCATAAGTGACTGTCTACTTCTCTGTCCTCACCTTCGGGTCAGCTTCATAGCAGAACTGCTGTGTGCGGATCCAGCGACCCACCAGGTGATCGCGCACCGTGTGCGACAGCGCGAAATAATAATCCCGCGGCGTCGCGACGTTCCGGTCCTTGACGAGCGTGAAGTGCAGGTGCCGGTTGAAACCTTTCTTCAGCTCGGCCACATTCTCCACACCGACGATCCCCCTGATGCTGATCTGCTTGCGCTTCTCCTGGTCTGTGAGAGGAGTCGCCATCCTGAACAGCGGCAGACACACAAAGGGGCGACCCCGGCCTCACAAAACACATATTTATAGGAGGAACAAAGGGAGGGACAAAAGCTCTCTGTCTCTAATTGGACTTGCTGAACTTTTCTAACTGTGGTACACGACGCGAAGTCTACAATTTTATCCAGACCTCTTAAAGGGATACTTTACCCTCAAATTAAAATGTTAAGACTTGCTGCTGGAAAAGTAAGTTAAGACTGGCAGAAAACCCTGCAAGGATCGTTCTGTTGAGCAAAAAAGATGATATTTTGAAGCTATAAACATTTAAACCTTGACATCCATAGTGGGATAAACAAATACTATGAAAGTCAATGGTTGCAAGTTTCCTGTATATTTTTAAACAGATTTTGAACAAATTAAGGGTGAGTAAATTACAGAATTTTCAGTTTTGGTAGAACTACCCCTTTAAACGGTTCAAAAGAGAAAATTCTGTCATCGTTTACTCAAACTCTACTTGTTTTAAACCTGTTTGAATCTCTTTTTGTTGTTAAAACAACATCACTTGGAACTAGAGGACACAGTATGGAACTATTTTAGCATATTTTTAAAATGTTGCTGGTAGCTATTGCAGATGGACAACATGGATTATAAGATTTTATTTTTGATACAAATGGACACCAGATGGTGGTTCGATTTTCATTTGTGTGTGAGGTATGCCTTTAAAGTATCAAAAATATATGCAGGTACATATGCCAGTCACTCCATAAGCTTAAAAAAATTCTAATATTTAAGTTTTGCAGGTGTGACACTACCTGATAAGCCCATAAATCGTAATAAACATGAAGACAAAACAGTCAGAAAAAAAACCCCAAACCTAATGATTTTACCTTGTAACCAAACGATAGACAGGATGAAATGAGGGCTTAAATACCATAAGGTGTAATTAAAGGAACAACAAACAGGTGCTTGCTAATTGGGACCAATGAAACTAACAAGGAGCAAATGAAACACGGTTATAGCAAATGCGGGAACAGGAAAACACTACAACAATTGTCTTTGGAAATATGAAGTGTTCAGTTATCAGTGAGTTATTAATTAAATTTGAAAGGTCATAATCAAGAACATCCAACACTAGAAACACCAAAGTCATGTTGGGAAAAAGAGAGGAGGGAAAATAAAAGTTTTGGATGGACAGTTAAAATAAGCAACATAAATAAAAGTGAGTCAATTAAATACTGTACCTTTACCAGTAATTAAACCATGGTTACTACCAGATGCAAAAGTAGATTTTACACTATTAGAAAAGAGAAACACGGATAAAGAATGTAATTTGTTTTACAGTATGTAAAGAAATGTTAAATATGTTAAACCATATACAGATGCCTCAAAGAGTTTACATAGAACAGATGTGGCCTTTACAGTTCCTGAATTTCAAATATCTGTAAGGAAATGGATTAGTAATGAAGTGCCAGTGTATACAGGAGAAATGATTGCATCCGAATAGAGCAAAGGCGGAAAAAACAATGGGATAATGAGAAAAAGGGCCGGTGGTTTTACAGAATTCAGTTAAGTCATGATGATTCACACTCCATACCAGTTAGTGGCGGAAATGCACCATTCTGTTGTTTGTAAACCGCCAATAAATTAAAAGAAGAAGAATAAAATAGAACAGTGCATGTGACAATAAGATTTAGTCAGACCTGAATTTATTATCTTATTTCTCTTAAGGATCAGTTTTAGGCCCTTTGCTGTTTACAATATACATGCTACCCCTGAGAGACATTATAAGAAGACATAGGATCAGGTTTCACTGCTATGCAGATGATCCTCAATTATATATTTCAACTAAACCTGATGAGACGTCTAAAACTGTCTGAGTGTATTAAAGATGTCAAAGACTGGATGACCAACAATTTTCTTTTCTTAAATTCAGACAAAACTGAATTTTTACTTATTTGGTCTACAGCAGTGGTTCTCAAACTGTGGTACGCGTACCACTAGTGGTACGCGGGCTTCCTCCTAGTGGTACGCGGAGGAATCGCCAAATAATGAAAGAAACAATTAACACTTTAAACTCTTTGATGCGTAATATAACATCGATGTGATCAGCATTGGCTGTTTTGTGAAGCGTACGATCACAACGCTGTGCTTAGAGTGTTTATTTTAGTGCTTTGTGACATAAGCTGCTGAAAATCAGTTTCCGAAGTTTAAGAATTGAGTCTGAAGCGTGATTTGACTGACATGAAAAGTAGCCAATCACAGTCCACCTTTTCTAGTCGCGTGAAACGTAAGGGCGGGACAAAGGCTTTCTGTGTTGCAGAGACAGAAAAAAAACAACTTAAAAACAAAAGTTTTGTTGGAAAATTGCTTCTCGGATGTTTTCACTATAGAGATGTCTAGCAGAGTAATTAAACCGCGGACATATTTCCTGCCTTTTTGATGATCTACATACACGTTTCGCTCTCCGACAGCCAGTCGACTCGCCTCTGACCTGTCACTCCTCTAAATACATTCTGAATGGCGGCGCGGGAATGGAGGTATTGCGCAATTACTCATTTCTGCAAATGTGGCGAGTGCTTTATTATAACACGAGAGAGCGCATTCATGTACGCAAATCGCTAAAACAGATATGCGAGCTCCTAAATAGCCTTTTTTTTTTCAAATGAACTGCAAGTGCTCTCATGATCGCGTGTGTGCTCAGATAGAATACAATCGCGACCTCTCCACTATTAAAGTAGAATATTTATCTTTGCTCCTTGACTAAATTCAGTCAAAAGTATGCAAAGTTATCAAGTATTTAGAATTAGATTGATGCATGATCGATGACAATGCTAATTGTCTTCTTATGTGGCTGTATTGTGAAGTGAAACTTACTTTTAGCAAAGGTGGAACTTTAGTTATTATTTTTACGACAAAAAATAATGCTGGAAATGTTTCTGGATGAGGTATTTGTGTGATTTATACATTTAGCTGTATTCTGATCTGTGTTAAAGCATTACAGGTCAAAACAATTCGTTGTTACTTATTGTTTATTTATCAAAATTAACAATAAGGCTCTTAAAACACTGCGTTGATAAATGTAGTGTTGTCATATTTCAAATACCTCAAGTAAAATGAAGTCATTTGTTTGTTTGTTTTTTACTGAAAGTGTACATGTATTTTTATTTTATTTTTTGTATTTTAGATCAAGATCAAGTGCAAAATAAAATCCACATGTGATGTACAGCTATTTAAGAAACAAATTTGCCATATTGTAAAGAAAAATAGTGTAAAATATGTAAATAAAAGGCTAAATTTAAATATTTTTACCATATACTTTAATTAAACCTTTCAAACTTGAAAATATTGTTTAAAAAATTGGCAAAAAGTGTCTCTATGGCCTTAAAGTTTATGTGGTAGTTTTGCCAGTGCTATTGAAAAAAGATTAATTGTCATGAAAGGAAAACTCAACCATACTTCCTTTGTTAGTGCAATTTCCTATACATGTAGCTTTGAGATTTAAGCAATTAAACCATTCAATCAGGTTTACACTTAAAAAAAGTGATTTCAAAATGAAAATCTGATTTTTTTTTTCAAAAGTAACCAACTAGTACTTTTTAAAAGAGTACTTTGTACTTTTACCTAATATAAGTATTATTTACTAAAATTTGTGTTATTTTAGCAGTGTAATAGTATTTTTCCTTGAGTACAAAAAAGATTTCACAATCATTAAGTGCAGGTTTATTATATTATTAATATATGATTAATAAATATTATTAGTATTATTATTATTAATGGTTTTTATGTGTATCTATTTCTATGCAATGTTTTATGGGTTGCTGAGAATACATTTCAGGTCTTCAATACATAGCATGTCAGTCTTGAAAAAAAAAATAGGTGCTGGAATTTATTTTAATTAGGCTGTGCCTGTATGAACTCTGTCATATGTACATTTAACATTTCAAGATTTGTCTAAAAGTGTATGAATATGACATAGCCTATATTTATGAGGTCCAAGCAACATTTCCAGCTTTTGATGAATAGGCTATTATGAATACTTTAGATTTAAGTGCAGCAGTTTTCTTTTTACTTTTTAAGAACAGCGCCATTTTTTATGAACCTTTAAAAGCATATTTTAACTAAAACATTTTTTTTTTTACCTGCAAGCACAGTTAATGTTTAGACTATTTAAAATGTTTAAAGTGACTGACAATAATACATATTCTTAATAATAGGAATTAATCTGCATCGTTTTTAAACTGTGCACACCTGTAGCTGCTTAATTAGACCCATGACACTATTTTTTAATACTGGTTAAAAAATAGCGTCGTAAAGTGGTACTTGGAGAGACAATTTTTTTCTAAGGTGGTACTTGGTGAAAAAAGTTTGAGAACCACTGGTCTACAGTAAATCCTGTACACAGCATGATCTCACAACTCGACCTGTAATCAGAGGGATACAAAGTTAGCATTAGCTCTACTTTATAAGATCAATGTGTTAAATTAGACAGTTATTTAACATTTGAAAACCATATATCCCACATCACAAAAACTGCCTTTTTTCATCTGAGAAATACGCAGTTACGAAGTATAATATTCACCTCAGATGCACAAAAGCTAGTTCATGCTTTTATGACTTCTAGGCTGGATTACGATAATTTTCTGTTCGCTGGCTGCCCAGCGTCCTCTATTAACAAACTTCAGCTAGTATAAAATGCAGCTGCCAGAGTTCTTACCAGGTCTACAAAATATGATCATATCACCCCAATTTTATCATCCTTACACTGCCTGTTAAGTTCCGTATTGACTATAAAATATTGCTTCTTACCTATAAAGCTTTAAATAATCTAGCTCCTGTTTATTTAACCAACCTCCTGTATCACTACAATCCAACCCGCTCGTTAAGATTTCAAAACTCAGGGCTTCTGGTAGTACCTAGAATTGCAAAGTCCACTAAAGGAGGTCGAGCCTTCTCATTTATGGCTTCAAAACACTTGAATAGCCTTCCTGATAATGTCCGAGGCTCAGACACACCCTCACAGTTCAAAACTAGATTAAAGACCTATCTTTTTAGTAAAGCATACACTCAATGCATCACATAAAGGTGTGATGCATGAATGTGCTCCATGCAGGTGAGCTGGCTTGACAACCGCCTGTAGGACACATTCCTCCTGTCTTAATGCACCAGATATTGTGTTAGAATTTCTCATATTCTTTACATGTTTGTTTCTGTTTGCTTATATAACAGCTATTTTCATTTATAACACTGCACTTTTTGCATCACGTTTAAGAATTTTTGTTGTTGCTGTTTTAAACTTATCTGTGGTGCAATTCAGATCTGCTGTTTCACATGACAACATATATATTTATTTTAACAGGAAAATGACAGACAACTTTATATTGCACCTAATCAAGTTTATTGAGCATAGAACTTTACACATAACAACAATTCAGACACAATAATAATAATAATAATAATACATCTCTTATATTGGGATTAATTTATGAAAAAATACAATTTACAATGGGTGAAATTATCCTTCACTGCACCCAAACATTCAGTAGTTTGTTAAGCCAAAATCAGCTCAAACAAACAGGTAAAGTACAGCACCTGCCCCACATCTGAACCCCACCAGTGGGATTTTAAATATTTGTTTCAATGAAAAAATTACATCCTTTATGGTAAACTAATAGCCAAATGCTTCAAGCAGCTACACTGTCTCGTTTAAGGTTCTCTCTTTTATATTTGCAGTTCTACTGTTTTATATTGCAATTTGTTTTCTCACATTAAACATAAGCAGCACCAGTTATTGGTTTAGCATTTGCGTTTAGCTTGTGTAGATTTGAGGCAGCGAATGAGAAATAAAACCGAGAGATAGAAAAACAAAAGTTTATTCATTGTCATCTCTCCATAATACATTACGCAAGGCTGTGAAAATGCCTGTGTGTGTGTGTGTGTGTGTGTTTGTGTCCCAATTAGTGTTTTTTATTCTGTTCAACAAACAGAAAGCCATTACATCCTCATTGACACACATTCAGTTCATTGTCCCAATTGTATGTTTGCTCATCCACTGTGAATTTGGAGAGACCGATACAAATATCTCACATTTACTGAGGTGTAATATGTTAAAAGTTTAGGATTTAGGGATTGGATTGGTCATTAACAAAGGACTAAGACTCATGAGTAGGTTGTAGATATCTCCCATCCCCATCTGCAGATAAAAATCAACTTTATATGAAACAGAACATTTCTATGTGATGTAAAATGCATCCTCTAAGCTCTAACACATCAGTAACTTATTTCTAAGCTTAACTTCACACTGAGGATTTTATCATGAAACAACAGACACACTTCTGTTAAGATCCAGTAAGCTGGGAGTTCACGTCCATGAGCACCTTTTCCATAAAAACAACGACAACATCAATAATAATAATCATATCTAGAAAAAGAGTAAGAAAGAGAGAGGAAAATGATTCGATAATAATGTACCTCACATACATCAGGGTTTGGGTTGGGGTTATGTTAGGGTTTCCTTAACCCTGACTCTCACATTTATCGGGTCCATTTACATTTCACACTCCTCAAACCTCGTATTAATGACTGTCAGCAGCAATTCCCCCATCAAATCCTCACAGCTGAATACATGTGCACTCTGAGTGTGTGCGCGCGTGCGTGTGTGTGTTTGGGAATGAATGTGTATCAGTCGAGAGGAATCTTTTAGCAGACTGAGCCTGCAGCTTCAGACTCGCCGGGTGTATAAAAATCAGGAATAGGCAGCCCAGAATGAAGAGTCACCTGAAAACACACACAAAAATAAAATATGTATGACTACCTCGCATAAACACGGCAAAACCAACACCAATCACTGTGTTTATATTACAACTGCTGTGGAACTGTTTGAAACTGAAATTCAGATTGTTGGTGACATGCTGTATGCAAGTTCTCAATTCTGCTCCTGCACATTTTGTATGTCTTCCTAACAAACCTGATTCAGATCATCAGCTTGCTAACAGAGAGATCTATGAAGTGAGCCTTGTGTGTCTGGTAAGAGAGACATACAAAATGTGCAGGGCTGTGGGGCCTGAGGTCTGTTGACCGGAATTGAGAACCACTGTTTTAGGCATTCAACCAATCACAAAAATAGACTGGGCCATCTGGCCAATAAGAGCAGAGTAGCTCCTGAAAAGGCTGGGTTAAGGTATATACACCATGTCTAAAAAAAAATAATTATTTTAGAATTTCATCAAATTACCTCCAGCTTTGTAATTTGATGGCAAATAGATGAAATTATATGATATGTATACATTTTTCACCTCACCTGATTTTTATCACCGCATTACCTAATATTGACAGAACGTTTCAATTTTATTAGTTGCAAATTAAATTAGCACACACAAAAATAAAGCAACGTTTATATATCGTCATTAATTACTACACAAGATCTCCTTAAAATGAAAAATATATAAAAATTGATGCTTGATATGTGCCCCGCCGGCACGCACATGGCACGGCACGCCTCTGACAGTGGTGATATTTTCAAAAGTAAGGGCAGAGTATGGACGAACACTCCCTGCCACATGACATACTGATCCAATGAGACTATTTTTTTGCCAACAAGTAATCCAATCCACCTTTTGTCCAGTTTTTCTTTTGTTTCAGTTCTTGTAAACCTTCAAACTCTTATCTTCATTCGAAAACATCTTTTTTATTTTCTTATTCTTTCTTATTTTATTTTCTATAGTCTTACACAGATAAAATGTCATCATTACATCATCGCCAATGAAAGTAAATAAAGGGATTATTCTACACAGATTGCGCTGTTATTCCTGTACAAAATATAAGCACTCTTATTTTTGTATGATAAATTATTGCTTGGTTTTTTGAGACATGGTGTAGTGCATTCCAAATAGTGTATATTGCCCTCTGAAAGGCACTTTGGAGTGAAAACAATCATGGACGCCATATCGAAGTGTTGTTTATAACTGAAGTGTTCAAAACTAGCCATTGTAGGGCTCATCCCAATGCCCTAATCCTTACAGAGGGACCATCCAAAGGGATTAGGACAGGAATGGGCAAACTTGGTCATGAGTTTAGATTCAACCCTAATCAAACAAACCTGCCTAACGCTGCGGGCACACTAGAGTTTGAGCGTGTGAAAGCAAGCTGCACTTTTAAAATTTCTGTCCAGAGAGGTCATATTTCGATCTTCGATTGGTCTCACGCAATAATGTGATGGGATTTCACAGGTCAGAGTTCACCAAGCTTGAACTTTCCAATGGAACAAACTGCGAAACCTGTTGCACGAGCTTGCGTTTCTGGTTTGATGCATTCGCATGAATGCAAGTCTATGGGGAGAAAAGTGCAGTGTGACCACAGCTTTTAGCTTTGTAGTGATCTTGAAGACACTAATTAGCATGTTCAGGTATGTTTGATTAGTGGTAGAGCAAAACTCTGCAAAACACCGGCCCTCCAGGACAGAGTTTGCCCATCCCTGAATTAGGCCATATGGATGAGTCCTTTTAATTGGAAAGCAGTTGGGATCCTTGAACTAACCACTTCAAACCATGTGAGAACAGAGTTGATGCTGTAATGTATATCATGAGAAAATGTAAGCAATTTTTTTGAATTTGGATGGATGCAAACTTATTGTAGGAGCCCTCCAAATAATATATAGAATTCAAGGATTAGCAAATAGTAAGATTTGCATTTTCCTTATTGGAATATACATATATGTGGTTTCAGCCAGAGACTTTAAAATCAATAATGCTGGAACTTTTAGGTTTCTGAGGGGTTTTGTGGATTTGTGGAAAAGAAATGTGCTTGATTGTTTCTTATGTGCTGCACTTGTAGTGTATTCAAATGTCACACATATACACAAACATACATGTGTGTGTGTATATATATATATATATATATATATATATATATATATATAATTTTTTTATTTAATAAAATTGTAATATTATTGTAATACTATAATATTAATCTAATAAAAGACACTTAAGTGATCTTCGTTCGAGTAAACTTCTGGCTACATTTCCTAACACACTCTCTAAAACATAAACTGTCATAATGCAAAACTAAACTTTTTAAATTTAGATTTGCTCTAATAATTTTTTGTGCTCTAAAACTATATATTATTTAATTTTATGTGTTGACAGACATACTGAAGAAAAAAAAGAAAATATCAGATTATAATTACAGAAATGGAATTTAAATAAATTACATTTAAATAACTGAATACATTGCATAAGAGTTTAATTCACCACAAAAAATATTAAATGATATGAAGTATTAAAGGGATAGTTCACTCCAAATTGTCATCATTTACTTGTCCTCCACTTGTTTCAAACCAGTTTGAGGTTCTTTCTTCTGTTGAACACAAATGAAAATATATTGAAGAAGGGTAAAAAAACTCAGCTTCCATAGTATATTTTGGATGTCAGTGGCTGCATTCTTCAGTAGATCTTAGAAAGACTTTAGTTTGAGTTATTGGTGAGGTAATTTACATTTTGAAGTGAACTATCCCTTTAAGACAAAACATACTCTAGAATTTAACTAATTCTATTTAATAATAATTGCTTTAAAAATATTATTTTTGTAGCAGGCACTCGTGTGTGTATATAATGTATCTTAAAGTTCACATCTTCTCACAAAGATTCATGGAATTATGCACATTCATGTTACCTGAACATTGCGGTTGAGGCTGATGGCTGGGTAGTACATGCCCTCCAGTGTATTGAAGGCAACGGGTCCCTGTTGCTCATCATTTATCAAAAACAAGAGAATCCCACGGGTGAAATCCAGCAAAACACCCACCGTAGCTCCTTTACTTATCCCTCCATCAGTTCTGAAAAGAAAAAGACATATGAATATATCATATATCAAAATATAAGATAGGTCCAACACTGTGCAAGTATTGTCGACCCTATTGTTTGACACTCATTAGAAAGCATTCAGACTACACAAGTGTCATTTTATTCGCAGCATTTAAAGTGATATTTCACCCTAAAATGATCATTTATTCACCCTCAAAAGGTTCCTAGTTTCTACTGTTCAACACAAAAGAAGATATTTTGAAGAATGTTGGAAATGGGTATTGCCATTGACTTCCCATACTAATGAAACAGAAATGCTATGAAAGTCAAATGGCTACCAGTTTACAAAATACTTCAAAATAATCCTGTTTTGCGTTCAACAGAATAAAAAAAAAACTCAAACAGGTTTGAAACTAGTGAATAAATGGTGGGTGAATATTTTATTTTTGGGTGAATTATCATTTTAGTTGAAAATTTTTAATATTTTACAGATCTTAAAACTAACAGCAGATGGCAGTAACGCATCAGGGTTTTTTTTTGCCACCAAGCCCCCTTTTATGCACCCCGCCCCCAAATAGACAGCCAATCAGATGTAAGCAAACCTGAACATGTACATTTATTAACAGGCAGAGCATGTTTATATGAGATTTCTGCTCTTCACTGAGCCTAAGGTTGTGATGGAGACAAGTGTGATTTCTCAGGACACTCATTTCGGTGACATCTCTCAGATCGTAGAAACATTCATGTTCCCCCAACACTTATATGCACACTAAAGGTGGGAGAGTGTGAAAGACAAAAGAATGAAAACAAAGAAGCAGACTGTTGCTGTGACTGTGTGGGTGAAGGTGTTATTTCAATATTGCCTGCTGACAGTGTGTGATTTATTAAAGTGTAACAATACTGCTGCATTTGCGATCTCCAGAGAAATGACAAATCATGCTTTATTTTGGAATTTCCAGTGGGTGTATTTCATGTTTTTGACAGAAAAATCATACTGGATATTTTATAACACACAACATTGGCACTATGTAACAATACCGGCAATGATTTTAAAAAATGTTCATAAAATATGCATTTTTAAACATGCAATTTAGGAGTCTATGTCTTACTGAGATCTATTTCATCGTCATCCAGACTAAAAGAAGTATTGAAATATTGCAATTAGCTTTATTCACAGCTTTATTTAGGATTTAAATAGCATCTTTTGTTACCAATGGCGACTGTGAACATATAGTAGTGCTTTATTAGACTGTCTTCAGTCATTTTTCATACTAATTACATATTTAATTTACACTGAAAGTAATACAAAGTAAATTATGTTGTATTGTTTTGTAAGTGACAGCCAACAAATCTGCAGCAACTGCTTTCATGTTAATATGGACCAAAATCTCTGAGGGATATTTCCAGTACTTTGTTGAATCTATGCCATCGACGAGAATTAAGGCAGTTCTGAAGGCAAAAGTGGGTCCAACCCGGTACGAGTAAGGTGTACCTAATAAAGGGGTCGGTAAGTGTACTTTGCAATTATAGTATTTACTGTATTTGTGTAACAGATACTATTAAAAGTACTCATGCAGCATTGTTTGGCAAGTAATGGTTCTTTTACTTGTGTATGACTTTTCAGTACTCTTCCCACCACTGCAAGTATGTAGAGATAGAGATGTAAACAAACAGTTTATCATACCGGTTGGTGTGTGAGTTGTTATGCATGAACCAGGAGCGGTTGTTGTCCACATACATGGCCCATGCTTTATCATCCTTGCCCAGCATCACATCCTTCATCACATCGGCCCGGGCGACGCCAAACGCTGGGTCAGGGTGGTTATCATAGCGATCGATGGTCATCTCCCAGTAATGCACGCCACGAGAAAAGCCAGTGTTTCCCATGACCACGCGGTCGTCGTAGCTGTTACACGTCACCGTGAGGTTGTCATTGGACAAGATGATGTCAGGATGAGCCGATGCGGAGTCAAAGGTGAACCAGGCTACTGTAAACACATAGATATATAGAACGGTTGAGCTATAATTTGCTATAAGAACGAACGTCCAAATGAGATTAAAGGATAGTTCATTAAAAAGTGATTATTTACTGACTGACCACATCTTGATATTCTGTTAGCCATTGACCTAAATAGTCCCCCCCCCCCTATTTTGGATGTCAATGACTACCATCTTTTATGTTTAACAGAAAAAGAAACTAATTGCAACCAATTGAGCATGAGTAAATGATGAGTAAATTTTCATTTTGGGTTGAACCATCCCTTCTAAAGCCTTAAGCATATTTACATTTTTTTTAAATGTATTTACAATACTTTAGACTTTAATAAACAATATGTGAGCTAAGAAGTCTGAATTCAAAGTATTCATGTGTAAAACATTGCATAACAAAATTCCTTAATGACTTGGCTACTGCTACTACTGAGATACTGCAGTACACAGAGAATTATGACACATTACTCTCCTATGATGCCGCGGGAGAGGATTTGTGAATGACAGTGTGAGCAACAAGCAATGCAACTGACCACCATAGGTCATGTGACAGTGACAACAGGGCAGATGTACAGTAGTACCTCTCATTCATCCTATACAGATCATGCTTTTTTAATGGTCGTGATGTAAGATTCAATACAGTATGACATTCTGGACACAGTGACTGACAATTAAACTGCTGCCAGAGTTTGACTACTATTGGACATCAAGTGTGAACACAACCTCTCAACACGGGGACTAGAACGCTTTATCCTTGTCTTATGTCTGTGCATTTTTCCTCCAAAGGTTCTGAAATATATATATATATATATATATATATATATATATATATATATATATATATATATATATATATTTTTTTTTAATTCTCTTAAATAAGGCACTCAATCGCAGTTTGGTTTTATTCAGCAGTTTGATGAGGGATATGACAATCTAACAGACTAACATGAAAATCTAACAGACTAACATGAAAAACACTTAGATGTATCTTAAAGAGTCTCTGATGTAAACCAGTGGTTCGATACACTTAACCACTACGGCCTCCATTGAAGTGTAATAGTAACTGTTAGCCAGGAACAAAAGCTGATGAATGACAAAAATCTTTAACATGGATTTTAGAAAAATTCAGGAGGCCCCAGCAGGATTTGCCCAGCACAATCTGGCCTTCTGCAGAAAAAGTTTGAGAACCAATGTGTTAAAGAATAAAACACACTTCTCATGGAAATACTGTGATGTATGATTTAAAAAATCCTGAAAGGGTAAATTTACCCACAATCTAAAATTTGTTTTTTTAATTTTGCACCCTCATGTTGTACCAAAGCCCTGAGATCTTCATTCATCATTAGACCCCAAATTCATTCATTTTCAACCACTTTTTTGGGGCCAGGTCATGGGGGCAGCAGTTTTAGGAGAGAATCCCAGACTTCACCCTTCAAAGGAAACTCATTTCCTCCACTTGCATCTGAGATCTTGCCCTTTTGGTCATGACCCAAAGCTCATGACCATAGGTGAGAGGAGGAATGTAGATTGACCGGTAAACCGAAAACTTTCCCTTTTTGGTTCAGCTACTTCTTTACCACAACAGGTACATCGACCGCATTACCGCTGCTGCTGCACCAATCCGCCAAGCAATCTCACGTTCCATCCTTACCTCACATCCAAACCCCAAAATACTTAAACTCCACCACCTGGGGTAAGGACTTTCTTCCACAAATTACAATCTTAAAATTTTAGAGCTCTCTCATCCCCCATAGACAGCAACAGACCCAAAACAAAACCGTAAACATACAAAGTTCTATGAACAATTTGGTGTGGCAAAAAATGTTAATATCATCTCCCATGTCAAATCAGGGTGTATGTTTACTACAGGCATTTGTGTGTTGACTGCAGACTGTAATGGCAAGACATTATATTGCCCATAGTAAATGCTCACCCTGACGACCTGACGAGGAAAGGAAAATATAGGTGAACTTGGAGCTTCATATGATTACAGTTGAACCACTGTATCACATGGAATGTTTTGACAATGTTTTTGGTTCCTTGTCTAAGCTTCCTTTTCTAGACAATGTCTTGTAACTATTGTTGTTTAAGAAGCATGAGAGTACTCTTGGATTTCATATAAAGTATCTTCATTTGTGTTCTGAAGAACAGTCTCAGGGGATTGGAACAAAATAATTGACATTTTTGGGCAAACTAACATTTGAAGCATTTACGGTTTTCTTTGCCATATGCGCGAGATGTTCAGCCACTGCACATGGTCTTAAATTAACATCCTTTATTAAACCGCAGTCTGGAATACTCAATTCTGATTGGTCAGTCGCAATATTCCAAGGTATGTTATTCCTAAGATAACAACCTCTAAATAACGCAGACTCATCTGAGAACTTCGAATCCCCTTGACCGTCAGTGATTACAATCAAATCCATATACTTACATCCACATTCACATATATATATATATGTGCTTGTCTGTTATGTCATGGTTTTCGACAGTTTCATGCCATCTTGTGACTGAATAATACATAGGTCAGTGTATGCATTATTCAGCTAGTTTAGTTTCTGTCAGCTTTGCATTTTTGACTGTTTGCCACCATCTTGTAAATGAATAATGTGCAGGTTAGTGTATAGTTCATTCCAAGATGTCCTCACTACAGCTTGCAGCTTGATGACATAGGCGATTGTCAACTAAGTAGCAAACCTTGTATCGACCACTAAGGTAATGCCCATGCTACTGTGATGGTTGAGTTTAGAGTAGGGGGAGATGTAAACGATCGTCAACTATGTAGCAGACCTTGTACCGCCCACTAAGGTAACGCCCATGCTACTGTGATGGTGTGGTTTAGGGTACATGGAGATGTGTAGGTGATCGTCAACTACGTAGTGGACCTTGTACCGCCCACTAAGGTAGCACCCATGTTACTGTGACAGTTGGGTTTAGGGTAGGGGGAGGTGTAGGCGATTGCCAGCTAAGTAGTGGACCTTGTACTGCCCACTAAAGTAGCACCCATGCTACTTTGACGGTTGGGTTTAGGAGAGGTATAGGCGATTATCAACTATGTAGCGGACCTGGTCAACTACGTCATCAAGCTGCGGGCTGCAGTGAAGACTGTCTCGTTCATTCAGCAAGTTTAGTTTCTTTCAGTTTTGGTTTTTCACAGTTGAGTAAATGTGAATAAATAAAACGTAGGTTAGTCTATGCTTCATTCAGCTAGTTTAGTTTCTTTCAGCTTTGCATTTCTGACTGTTTGGCGCCATTGTGGTAATGAATAATGTGCAGGTTAGTGTATAGTTTGTTCAGTTAGTTTCGTTTCTGTCAGCATTGAGTTTTTGACTGTTTGGCGCCGTCTTGTGAATGAATAATGTGCAGGTTAGTGTATAGTTCATTCAGTTAGTTTTGTTTCTGTCAGCATTGAGTTTTTGACTGTTTGGCGCCATCTTGTAAATGAATAATGTGCAGGTTAATGTTTAGTTTATTCAGTTAGTTTCGTTTCTGTCAGCATTGAGTTTTTGACTGTTTGGGCCATCTTGTGACTAAATAATGTGCAGATTATTGTATACTCCATCAGCTGTTTTTGTTTCTGTCTGCTTTGCATTTAATTTAATAATTAATAAACTATTTTGGCTCAGATAATGTTTTGTGTCTAATTTTTATGTTTTGTGAAAAGTAGCAGAGTAATATGCTGGATAAAGTACATCCAGGGTTGCTGTTTTCACAGAATAATGCTTATATCTCAGACTTTATTCTGCGATAACAATCTCTTGAATGTACTTTATTACTAATATGGCATATGCATAAAAAACGAAGTATAATTAAGAATAGCTTAAGAACACAGACACACTACAAATCAAACTTGCAAATACTTACGCTCTCTCTCTCACACACACACACTGACAAATAAACATACACAAGCAGATGGGAATAGTTATAATGAGGATAACATAAGGATGATATTCAGGCATTCATACCTGTTGCCAGAGTTTGACTACCATATGAAGGAAGACTCACTGAAATCAAGAGAAAGAAAGAGGGACAAAGAGAGAGAGAGAGAGAGAAAAGGTTGGAGAAAAAGAAAAGCGAAAAAGGCAGAAAAAAGCAGAGGACAGAAAATGCAGAGGGTGGAGGGAAAGAAAATAAAGAAAGTAACAGAATTGGGTACTGAAAGAGAGGAAGGAAAGCAGTGGATCAGGGAAGCTAGACTTAATCAGCGCTCACAAGTAAAAGAAACAGAGCGTTAGTACTGTTAATAGCATTATAATGACGTTTGTTTATACAGTATTAGTATCAGACATACAGCAGTGCTCATAAAGTCATCACCACAGCAGACTTTCAATGTTATGTCACATGCACTTCCCATCAATAGAATACCAAACAAGTTAGAGCCCGAATGTCCTAAAAATTGTGTTTTTCAGAAATGGTCAATGCTTAAATCTTCTTTAAAAAAATCTGACAATCCAAGGAGGTCAAACAAAACTTTATTTTAAATAAATAAATTAAAATAATAATAATAATAAATAATAATAATAATAATAATTGGATGCATGCAAGATTTCAGGGAAAAAAAGTTTCATCATCATTCAGTTTAATAGATGTATTATTTGTAAACTTATTCTGCACTTAAATACATATTTAGAAGAATGAAGGTGAAGTGATCATACTAAATTCAAAAGGGTAAAAAATATGTCTTGAATTAAATACATGTAAATATAATTAAAGATTTTAAAAAATCTATTAAATATATTAATTAGTATTTTAGAGCTGCACTTTAAAATAAATAAATAAATAAATAAATAAATAAATAAAGTTATAGTACCATTTTATTATATTGATGTTTGAAAACCTCTTTTTGTCTATATTCCAAAAATTAATCTTCCACGCAAGATTTCTTGTTAGAATCTACTCAACAAGTTGCAGCTGATAGTCTCACAATAAAACCGTCTCCAAACACACCAACATGTGTCCTATTAGTGGAAACTGCCCACTATATTGACATTACTAATAAAAACCAGCTGTATAATTTTGCACTGACATGCTCAAGCTTCCCTGTGCAACAAGAGCAATAGAACTCAATAGTAATGTGTGTGTATGTGTGTGTGTGTGTGTGTGTATGAAAACAGTGAAATTTCATCTCTTACTCTCTGACGTCTGCATGACAAGCGTTTTGCTGTACTGGCCGACTCCGCTGGAGTTAAATGCTTTAACACGAGATTTGTAAGTACTGTTGAAGTGCAGACCGTCCACAGTGCAGATCATCTCAGTCCCAACGTACACTTCCTGTAGAAAACAACCTTCCGTTAGTAAACACAAATGGTTTAAATTATATTTACTATATATAGTAGCTACAATTGTTGTGATCACCAGTGGTGGTTTCTCTACGCTGTAGATTACTTCCAGAATTCCAAACGAACTCCCAGAACTATTTGCACCTATCACAGCTGTAGCTCATCTCACTGATTACATGGACTATATTTACACCTCACTTTCACATTCACATTGCAGAGTCTTGTTTTTCCATGTAATGCATAACAAATTTCCCTGTTTCCGGGTTTCCCTGTTTATGTTGCCATGGTTTTAATCTTTGCATTGTTTATTGTTTCTGTTGATTCTTTGCGTAGAGTAATGAAGTTTGCCCTGTGCGCTCCATTAAAAAAAACAAAAACACTTTTTTGGTGCATTAATCTTGTCAATACTATTGTTCAAAAAGGTCATGATTCACACTCATCAAAAAATTGCTTAGTACAGTTTTTATTTTACATTCTTCAGGTTGATTACATTCCTGTTGATTCTTTGTTGCCTGTCATAAACTTTTGCCTGTTTTATGACCTCACTCTTTGGTTTTTCTGTATGCTTCTATTTGTCTCTAGCGTACTGAACTGTACTGTACCACTCAGTGGAAACAGGACACTATTGACCATTGCCTGCTTGACTATTCTTTGTTAATAAATACTGCTCGTGGATATGCATGACATTACAACTATTGTCTTGCTGCTTATACTTTTGAAAGCCAGTATAAGTATCAGCTCAAAAATATGCCTGAGATGAATTATTATACATGTACATTTTTTGGGTAGAAGCAAAACAGTTTTTTTTGTGTGTGTTTCTTTAAATGCAAATAAACTGCTCATAAACAGCAGAAGTGGTATGCAGTCATTTAAATGAATTTCATATTCAATTAATTACATTTAAATTAGTGCTGTTACTAACAATTAATCCTGATTAGTCGCATCCAAATAAAAGATTGTATTTACATAATGTATGTGTATTCACTGTGTATAAATATTGTGTAAATATAAATAAAAATATACTCAAATATATCTGTCTATCTATCTATCTATCTATCTATCTATCTATCTATCTATCTATCTATCTATCTATCTATCTATCTATCTATCTATCTATCTATCTATCTATCTATCTATCTATCTATCTATCTATCTATCTGTCTAAGTGCAAGTTGACCTCACTACTCTGACCTCAAAAGTTGCTCTAACAGCAGACGCTAGGGGCCATGGTCTTTAGCCTCCTTGTTAGAGCAATTGACTCCCATGCAAAGAATCACCGGTTCGATCCCAGCTCAGAGCGAGTTTGGAGCAGTAGGACCGGTGGGTTACACATGGGGGCTCGTCCGGGATGAAAGTGAGGTTTAGGGCAGTGAGTGTAATGGAGGTCGGCTAGCACAGTGCTATGCAGGTAAACCTCACTCCTCTGACCTCTAAAGGTGCTCTAGCGACAGACGCTAGAAGCCATGGTCTTTAGCCTCATTGTTAGAGCAACTGACTCCCATACAAAGAATCGCAGATTCAATCCCAGCTTAGCACGGGTTGGGTGCAGCAGGACAGGTGGTTTACACGTGGGGGCTCATCCGGGATGGAAGTGAGGATTAGGGCAGTGAGTGTAATGGAGGCCAGCTAGCGCAGTGGTATGCAGGTAAACCTCACTCCTCTGACATCAAAAGATGCTCTAGCGACAGACGCTAGAGGCCATGGTCTTTAGCCTCCTTGTTAAAGCAACTGACTCCCATCATGCAAAGAATCGCCGGTTTGATCCCAGCTCAGCATGAGTTGGGTGCAGAAGGACCGGTGGGTTATAAATATATGCACACACACACACACACATACACACATACACACACGTATATACAAGCTTTAATTCGGATGGAATTAATTATGATTAATCATTTGACAGTACTAACTTAAATACAGTGTAAGTATGCATATTAAACCCTTTCAATGCTAGCATGCTTTGTGTGTGTTCAATTTCTGCAGTATGCTTACTTACACATACATTTTCTTTATGTTTGGATTTAATTCCTATAGACGGTTGTGTTCATTTGCTAGTTAATGCTGATGAATATCTTGGGGAAAACACAATGTGATACTGCTGCTAAAAATCAACCCAAAAAATGGAGCAAATATGAGAACACATGAACCTGGCTTTCTAAAATAAGAGCTTGGCCTGTTTAGAGGGTAGTTGAGTGTGTGTGTCTGTGTGTGTGTAGGTGACAATATGTGCCTGACAGAGAGTATTTTAATGCTTTTGTGTAATCTCAGGTGATTTATTTTGTGATCACATCACTTAGATCACATTTAGTGGTAGTCAGAAAACACGTGACCTCCTCCGTCTGTTTTCATGCTTTTAATGTTATGATGGATTCAGAAGTATTAAGCAGCACAGCTTATTTTAACATTGATAATAGGAATTTATGATTCTTGAGCATCAGCTCAATCAGCATGTTAGAACGTGTTTTCAAGGATCACATGACACTAAAGACTGGAGTAATGGCATTACGCAATCACAGGAAAAAATTCATTTATATTTCACATAGAAAACAGTTATTTTAAATTGTAAGAATATTTCAATGAGTTTTAATTAGTTTTTGATCAAGTAAATGCACCCTTCTTTTAAAATGCAGTTACTGACCATTTTTTTTTAGGTATGATTTATATATATGCGTGTGTGTTTGCGAACGCAGTGGTCTTGGGGAAATATATAAATAGACTCCTGCAGTGAGAGGCATGAATCATCTTCAGACTTCAGGCATTGTGCAGCAAATGTGCGATGAGACATTCCTCTGGTCTTGACTTTTTAATAAAAAATACATACATGTCCTTTGTCACTGAAATAAATGACACTCAATCTTTGGTTTCCATAGACATAAGACAAACCATAATACAATACACTCTGACATTGAATGAGTGTGTGTGTGTGCGTGTGTGTACACATGAACAAATCACACCATTTTTTGTTCCTTCTGAGGAATTTATTGCTCAGACCACTGAGCCAGAAATGTCGCATCTAAAATTCAGATTGTGTTTACTGTGTCCACATCAAAAAATGAAAAATTATACTAGAGCAAAAAATATTAATGCATGGGCTCTCTTGGTTTCCATTTGTTTAGAATAGTCATTATTATAGCGATTTTACTTGGTGAATGCTGCTATGAACGTGAAACATGATACTTTTCTCACAATATTTTACATCATTTTTTTTATGCCATTACAAAATTTACTAATAGACATTACAAGCATTTTTAGCTCCACACTTTTTTTGCTTTTGGTATGGTTTTTGGTGTTTAGAAGCAACATGGCAATTCATGAATAACGTTTTTGATTTGTTTCGAGGTAAATTATGTTATCCACACACTCTCCTTCCTTTCCTTTCAAGTGAATGCATTGTTGTTGTGGCTAGTTTTTTCGGAAATTTATATTAAGTAAATACATATTGTTTTGATAAAATTCTAATTATTTCTTATTAAAGGTGATGGATGTAAGTTTTTGATTGTTCTAAAGCATAAAAATACCATAATATGCTTGCAGATATTTGAGAAAAATGCCAACTGAACATTCTTGTTTATCTGAAAAACAGATATTCTGCTTTGAAAATGCAAGTTATGTGCCGGAACGCTGTCTTTGTTTTGGTTCTTTAAACCTGCCCACTTCCAGTTAAGCCAATTATATTTCAGCTCTCCAGATAGCCTTGTTGGAAACCAGCATATTTCATTCATTTATTCAGGAAGGTGCTCAAAACATTCGCACATGACCAAAATGCAACCTCCGGTGGACAGTAACAGCCCCGAAATGAGATGCAGATTCAGAGTTTCACATTAGGTTATTAATCAGGAAATAATATAAATATTACGAGCGTGAACATTAGATGAGCAGGTTACATTGTAACTCTGCGTCCTAACAACACGCAACGTGACAAGATTTGTGTTTTCTCCAGACGAAACATGACAAAATTTTAAATACAGCCATTTAAAAGCACATAATATGCACTCACTCATGAAATGGTAAGGTTTATAATCTAATTAATACACATTAAACCTTTTTACCATTATTAAATGTACATGGTTGTCAAATGGTTTTTTATTTTCAAGATCTAAGGTGAACTATCTGCTGCTGCTGCTTTCAGTAGTATGGTAATAAATGTCATGTAAAATGGCATTCAAACTCAAATTATTAGCATTTAACACTGAATAAAGCACATGACGTGTAACTGAGGTGATTATTGTCAGTTTTTTGTTCAGCTGCAAGAAACAGAAGCCGTTTCTAATTTAATAATTTGAGGTGTTGGTTAGAACAAAAACTCCTTTTAATATGGAAATATTGCTTCTATCGGGTGCTGCTGCTTTTAAAAAGAACACAAATTAAATCAGCCTTTAGGCTCGATTGTCAGGTTCGCTCCTGCTCCTGGTCCTCAATCTGGCAACCTGAGCTTGCTTTGTTTTGATCCCGGAATGCAACACCTTGGTGTAACTACTGGATGTCAAACTTAGATACTGCGCCTTTAATTATTCTATTAATAAGAACATGATTTTGTATTTTTATTCATTGGTCATGTACTGTATATTTCTTAATAGAAAGATACAGTGATGAAAAATATGTATTTTTATTTCATTGTTCTAATATTTTTAAGTATTTGTAAAAACATGTTTTTAGAAATAAAAAATGAACACTTTAAAAATGCTTCAAGCCAATATATGCACTGTAAAAATATTGTATATGTATATATATATTTTTAATTTTGCCATCTCTTACTTTTTCTATAAGGAACAAAATCTAAAAAGGTGACTTATTTTAATATAATTTTAACAATTTACTGTTTTATACAATTTTGTTTATACGATGCTTAGTACTTACGAGTACACTGCTCACAATCGTCTCATTTAAATGAATATTTTCTATAGGAAGCTTAATCTAATAATAGTTAGTCTAATAAAATAATTTAAGAGAAAGATCCAAAAATTAGTAGCCAAAATTTATGTTAGTAAGAAAAAATTTTAAAGAGCAAAAATCAAAAGAAACCAAAAATTATCGTAAACTTTTGTTGAATTTTTGTTTTTGCCAATATTTGGCATTTAAATGTATTATCTATCTATTTCTAAAGTTGTTTAGGGACTAAAATATTACTTTAATAAATTTTTATATATGTTTATTATATATCTGTTTTGTTCAAATGCACCAAAATATTACTATAATATTACTATAATACTGAGAAATAGATAAAAATATTCATTTTCAAAATGGGGTGTTCTTATTGTACATAAAATATGAAACACTTAAGTAGTTATCCTTTAATAACAGATACATGGAAGAAACATTGTACATCCTATGTTTTATAGAAAGCTGAATAATCCAGAGGACGTGATTAATGCAGAAAGCTTCACTGTATGTACAGTATATGTGACTCACTCTGAACTGGCCTCCAGTGCCATCATCCAGCTCTAGAATATACCCGTCCACAGCGATGGTGGAGAGGGGCGGCTGTTTCCAGGACAGAGTGGCGCTGCTGGTTTGAGTGCAGCACTCCTCTAACTGAAGAATAGGAGCAGCTGGAACTACACACACACACACACACACACACACGCACGCACGCACGCACACACACACACACACACACACACACACACACACAGAGCCAAAGACAAAGACAGAGTTATTCTGGGTCCAGTGTTCTGTCCTACTGTGTCATTAAGAAAAGCTATGCAGAAATAAAGGAAACACACCCAATCAGGCACAAACACAGACGAGATCTTAACCTTAAATTTAAAACTGCTTGTATTCTAGCCATAATAAAAGAAATAAGACTTTTTCCAGAAGAAAGAATATTTTAGGAAATTCTGTAAAAAGTTTCATGCTCTGTTAATCCTGTTAATCACAAGAAGACAAATAATTGTATCTTTAACTGTATTTAAAGTCATGCTGGTAAATAAATTGATGGTGCAGATTCATAGCAGCCTCTGCTCTGTCATGTTGCCAGATCCAGTTATTATAAGCTCTATGTCATTGAACTTGCCAGGTATAAAAGATTAATTCACCCCAAAAATAAAATTCTGTATTTAATTACTCACCCTCATGTTGTTCTAAGCCATTAAAACCTTCCTACATCTTCAAGACACAAATATTTTATTGCCATTTTAGTTGAAATCAGAGAGCTCTCTAATCATCCACAAACAACAATGGTCAAGACATGTTCAAAGTAGAGTTGTCAAAAGTATCGACTTCGGTAGAAATTGGTACTGAGTTTTAAAAATGTCCTGCAAACATTTGAGTCCTGCTCTAAAACACCACTGATTGGCCAGGCTCAACAGATATGACTGTGATTGGCCTTGAAGATCATTGGTTTTCCTCTTCACCTCTGTTCATCAAATGCATACACAGATGCATGAAGCGCTTTTGAGTCAGCTCATAGACATATCAACTGATCAATGCTGTAGTTATGATCTCGCTTAACAGCACTCCAAAGTTAGCAAATTTCAGTACCGATTGGTACCGAAAATGATACTGTTGACAAACCTAGTTCAAAAAACTTTGTGTAACTTCAGTGTTTCAATTGTTATCATAGAAAGCTCCAAGAACACTTATACTACAGCAAAAACAGGGTGATACTTAATACAGGGTCATACTCAACAGGGTCAAAACAAATACACACTCTGACCTGATGTGGGAGACAAAATTGAACAATGTCTTATTTATACTTTCTTACAGTTCCTTTTCTGGATTTTGAAAGTCTCTGGAACATTACTGTCAATGGAAGATGAGAGAGCTCTCGGATTTCATCTTAAAATGTTTAATTTATGCTGTGAAAATTAACAAAGGTCTCATTGGTTTAGAACGACATGAGAAATCAACTAATCAACTGACAACTGATCAGGAAAAACGTAATGTGACAGCATTAATAAAGTAATTTGAGAGTTAATAATGTGTGAAGACGATGTTTGGGTTAGAGATTCAGTATCAATTTGCGAAATATAAAATTTGAACTTATTTTTTTTTCGGGGGGTTTGCTTTTGGTTGTTTTATGTGTAAATATCTGTCAACACTGACACTTCAACTGATCAAAAAATCAAAAACAATAGCATAACTCTCCTAAAACAGATCTGCCGAACAACAAAAATTAAAATACTTGCCAGGTTCTGGAGGTCCTAAAGAGTCTAAAAATATTTAATTGAAATGTATTTGCAGCACTTAAAGTAATGATCAGTTTGAATAAATGAATGGACTTTTCAAGCCATTTTTTTTGTCATAATTTAATACTAAATTTCATTCATAATAGTCCCAAAAAGGTCTTAAATACTCTTACATTTGACCTATACATAGTAGCTTAGCTAACCATTTACATGCACAAGTTCACACCGAGCATGTATTGCAGAAGTTATCCATCTTTCATAAATTGAAACTTATGAATTCTTATTACTGAAATGATTGCCGCAAAAAGCATTAACCAACTGCTGCATGGAACAGAAATGCATATATAATGAGTTGCATTTGTAGCCTTAATATTGCACAATACCCAAGAACCCACAGACCTCATTCATTTACAAACTATGCTGAAACAGACAGACAGATTGGCTCACCCTTCATCTGCACAAAGTCTAGCTGGTGTATGGTCTGCAGCAGAGGCCCGCTGTCCAGCGTCAGGTCAAAGTCACTGCTCATGCGGGGGGTCAGAGAGCCTTTCCCCCACTGATTCTCCGTCATATGGACCCGTCTGATCAGAGCATCCGAGATCTGCATTCAGAATACATTACACGCTATTAAGTCACATTAATGAAGTACTGCCCTTATGTAAATGCATGACCTTCTGTTCATTTAATAAGAGTCCTCGGAGCTGGAATCCGTCTGTGATCAGGAAAGTTTTGAAAGGCGAAGGTGTCATTGAGAAGGAGTTTGGAAAAACACACTCTTCTCACAAACTTTTTACATATTTATGAGGAATTGATGAGCCTTTTAATGAATGCTAATGGATAAGCAGTGTTATGTTTATATTTCAGGTATCATTCTTTTGGAATTAATAAATGGCTCTGGGATTATCACAGATGCTTCACAGCAAGAATAAGCCCGCTGGTTTGAGTCCCAGCTGGGTCAGTTGGCATTTCTATGTGGAGTTTGTATGTTCTCTCCGTGTTTGCGTGGGTTTCCTTCACTGTTTAAAGACATGCGCTATAGGTAAATTGGGTGAACTAAAAAAATTGGCCATAGTGCATGAGTGTGTGTGTGTGAATGTGAGTGTGAGTGGGCTTTTCTCAACACTGGGTTGCAGCTTAAAGGGCATCTTCTGTGTAAAACATATGCCGGAATAGTCTGCTGTTCATTCCACTGTGGTGACCCCTGATAAATAAGGGACTAAGCCAAAGGAAAATTGATGAATGAATGTACAAAGTTCCACAATGAAATCATTAGCATATGTGATAATATCACACTGGCTTGCAAGCAATTTCTGCACAATATTCACAACAGCAATGTCTATTATGACTTTCAAATTCTGGCCAATATAGATAAGCCACTTAATTTTATGCTATGGTTATAACTGATAAATGTCTGATATATAAATATAGATAAATTGGGAAAATTATACAGTTAAAAATAATGGCTGACCTGTATTCTAATTTTATAAAAACACTACAGTGTACAACAATTTTTACATGTTAAATAAAACACTAGATATTAAAACTAAAACATTTTCAAAATGTGTGAATTCAAAGTGAATTCAGATATTCCAAGATTATTTCTTAGTTTTTTTAATTTAATTTCTTTTTAAAGGGAAACAATCAAAACTAAACCTCAAATTATAAAACTAAATGTATACATCAGTTCTGTCTGGTTCTTGAATCTGATTGGCTGATAGCCGTGCGATATTCTGCTAGTAACAGCACTGGTGCAGGCTCTTTACCCACTACTTCGCCCACATACAGCAACAAGCAGAGGACACTCTACAGTTTGACAAATATTGCTGCTTTTGTGCAACATACTGTACTTTTGAGGCTTTTTGTGAATGTAGTTGTTTAGATTGCATATAAGCTATGCAGTTTATTTATAAGGATAGTACCTATTTTAAAATATTTATAATTTCTTAGAGACAGCGTGTCAGCGGCCATTAGCCTGTCACTGAGTAGGCCCAAGAAGGTTGACGATGTTCATCCATAAGATTGAGACAGAGACCGCATAACAAGCCCTTACATGAGGAAAAACCCAAAGAAATTTTAAACCACTGCTGATCAAATCATTATAAAACTGGTAGGTGACTTTTTAAGTTGATCACTCTATTTCGTATGTTGTAGTGCTGTATTTACACCACAGTAACTGTAGTGTGTTGAGTGTTAGATGGCACTCAACTTAAGGTCAAAAAACTGGAGATGGCCATCTGTTTCTAATGAGTCTCCTGTTTTCATTACTGCAGGCTAGTTTAGTAAACAGAAAGAAGGAAGAAATGCCCGCATGTGTTTAGTGTTTTAGTTATCACAAAGACAACAGTAATCTGGTAGTGATTGTATTGCTTCAGCTTTTTCTGGATTAATTATTGTGATCTCCTAATTGCAACAGAGAAATACTGGGAAATCTCTAGACTGATAGCATTTCATGCCGTTCAACTTTATAATCTTAAATTATGAGCAAAATCAGCTGTTTTGTCATCACTTTAGACATTACGCTAGAAAATCATTCAAATACTAGCTCTAAAGTGACATTGGTGAAATTAGCCACTGCGTCAGCTGTTCTGACGTCAGCTGCAGGTGTAAATGAATGGCGTGAAAGAAAGTAGCTCCTCTTACAAAAGGATTTTGAGACTCTCTGTGTTTGATTTTCTTTTTTTTTATACACGATTGTGTGGTCGAGCTGTTGTATAAACGCAATTTCACACTCGTAGCAGTGCGATGTGGCTGTATATCATCACTGGTGGGATCTCCCAGCAGTGCAGATTTACAGTCACATCGCACTGCTACTCGTGTGATATTGCTCACATACAACATGAAAGCGTAAATTAATTTAAGATTAACTGAAGGTCCAACATTATAAAATATTCTGTTTTAACAATATGTTTGCAAGAATTAACTTAAATTATTGCAAAGACAAATTTAAAATTTAGTCAATAACGTTTGCTAAAATAAATCTTTTCTGCAGTACTCTCTGATGAAAGATCTACTAGACAATAGGACTTTCAGAAAAGCAGTCTAAATCCAAAAATCCAATTAGATTCATGTCAAATTGATCGTGATCTTTGTACACCTTTAAAATGGGCCTTATACTTTCCTATCCATTAGAAGTTATGTCAGATCTTTCTCTATTGTATATGAGCTCTAACTTTCAGCCAGCATCAGCAGATAAGCTTGGTTAGTGTGATGTTAAATGTCTCGGACCTGCAGGAAGCCGCTGGGATCGTTCTCTTTGATAACCTCCAGACAGTACTCCATTAGTCCTGTGGTCTGCCTCAACTTCACCGTGCAGTGCGAGATCTGATCACGAACCACCTGAGAAAAAAAACAAAAAACAAGATGAAACGGCAGAAAGAAAAGAGAAAGAGAATGAATCTGTGATAGTGGTGCTGAGGCTGAGTTGCTAAGCAACAGCAGGACCATTTCTAAGCATCCTCTCTGAGCAGCAACACACATCACTGACCTTTAACACACACACACACACACACACACACACACACACACACACACACACACACACACACACACACACACACACACACACACACACACACACACACACACACACACACACACACACACACACACAAAACCCCCCAATACTACTAAAACCCATCAGCAATGGAATTTTTTAATGGAATGCTAGTGTCTGTAAGTGTCCCTCCTACCTCTTCTTAAACATATCAGCCATATCTTCTTTACATGATACGCATGTACACACATGAGTCCTCTAAGAGAATCTAACTATAGTGAAATGATTCCAACATAGAGCACTACGAGATCCATTCAAATGCAGAATGAGACCGAAGCAGACAGAACTATTCTAATATTGACAGACTGGGAAGGGTGGTGGGTGGACGTGACTTACCGTTTAAACCAGCAAAGACAGACCTTATGCTGGGCTCACAATAAACACAGAGCATTGCATCACTCACTCTATTGGGGGATGATTTTTGTGAAATTTCTGGTCAAGTGTAATTATTTGCATTTGTTTGAAAGACGCAATTTAGGTGAATTCTGCGCACTTACGTCAAACATGTTATGCATTATGTCATTCATGCTGCCTTTTGAAAATTTGCACAAATTTTTGCACATTTGCATTGACTTCGTATGTAATCTACACATATACTGTACCTAATTTTGCATGTGGTGTGAATCCAGCATTAAATTTAAAGTCTTTATTAATTAAAAATTGACAATGTTTATTTTACGTGCGCACATTATTAGTTTTAAAGGAACACTCCACCATTTTTTGGAAACAGGCTCATTTTACAAGTTATGCCTAGAGTTAAACAGCTGCGTTTTCCATTCAGTCAATCTCCAGGTCTGGCGGGAGAACTTTTAGCACCTTAGCATAAATCATTGAAGTGGTTTAGACCGTAGCATCTTATTTAAAAAAAAGAGAGATTTTCCTATTCCAAACTTGACTCTTCTGTAGTTACATTGTGTAGTAAGACAAATAGAAAATTTGAAGAAGCTATTTTTAGATCAACATGGCTAGAAACTGTAATCTGATTCTGGCGTAATATTCAAGGAACTTTGCTGCCGTCATTTTTGGGGGAGCTATTGCTTAAAGACAAGATGCTTCAGATGGCCATTCTCCTCTGAGCTCTGGCATCAACAAGGCATTTGTGCCCACAGAACTACCACTCACCGGATATTTTCTCTCTTTCAGAGCATTATCTTTAAACCCTAGAGATGGTTGTGCGTGATAATCCCAGTAGATCAGCAGTTTCCGAAATACTCAGACCAGCCCGTCTGGCACCAACAACCATGCCACTTTCAATGTCACGTATGTCACCTTTCTTCCCCATTCTGATGCTCAGTGTGAAATGCAAAAGATCATCTTGATCATGTCTACCTGCCAAAACACATTGAGTTGCTGTCATGTGATTAGCTGATTAGAAATTTGCGTTAAAAAGCTGTTGCACAGGTATACCTAATAAAGTGGCCAGTAAGTGTACCGCATATCACCCATCATGTTTTCATAAAATTGAAAGTCAACAACATTTTAGCTGACTGTGCCGCCTGTCATCTTATCCAATCTGAAACAATGCTTTCTGACAGCTGAGAAAAATGGAATTTTCACATTTTCCTGAAAACTACTGATAGTTCAGGATGATGATGATGTCCAAGTGAACTCTGTTTCAAAGCTGCAGTCCGCAAAATGACACACAATCACAAAAAAATGTCATTTTGCAAGGACATTTACATAAAAAAGTGAAGAAATGCTGTGTCGTCTCACAGAACCACTGGACAAAGCTAGAAGCCCGGCATCTTTGTAGCCATGGAAACAGGCCTGTGGCACCATGGAGACCGGAGGAGAGAATAGGCCTACATATGATGCTGGCAAAAGCAACAATTCTCATATTCTACTCTTAGCAGAGGACATCAAGACCATTTTAGTACGTCAAATAGAACAGTAATATTAATGGACTAGACTATAGATAATAATAATAATAATAATAAATAATAATATTAATATTAATATCAAACTGAGCGCAGTAATCATTCAAGTAAGCAAGTATAAATTACTGTAAAATTAACAACATTCATTTATTCATTTTCTTTTCGGCTTAGTCCCTTTATTAACCCAGGGTCGCCACAGCAAAATGAACTGCCAACTTATCCAACATATATTTTACGCAGCGAATGCCCTTCCAGCTGCAACCCATCTCTGGGAAACATCCATACACACTCATTCACACTCGTACACTATGGACAATTTAGCCTACCCAATTCACCTGTACTGCATGACTTTGGGGGAAACTGGAACACCCGGAGGAAACCCATGCGAATGCAGGGAGAACATACAAACTCCACACAGAAGCGTCAGCTGACCCAGTCGAGGCTCAAACCAGCGACTTTCTTGCTGTGAGGCAACAGCACTACCTACTGTGACACTGCGTCGCCTAAACATTTGATAGAAAAATAGTTTATATAATTTTTTTATTTTCGTAAATATTTTTTAATTCTTTTTTTCTTCACAATTTTGAGTATAAATGTCACTGTATTTTTGTATAATTGCATAATAAATGTTAAATAATATCACTAAAAGCTAAAACCCAAATGCTTTTAAAATGTTTGTGAATTTAAGCATTACAAACATTGTACAGTACATAATAAGATGTTAATTAATTAAATTACTTAATATGTTTATGAAAAATAACTGTTATACAAATTAATCATTCATTTTCTTGTCGGCTTAGTCCCTTTATTAATCCGGGGTCGCCACAGCGGAACGAACCGCCGTTATTCAAATTAATCAAATATTTTTTATTTAGATTTTGCATAAATAAATAAAAAAATGATGAAAAAAGAAATGTACATTTATATTCATTGTGGGCGACACGATGGCTCAGTGGTTAGCACTGTCACCTCAGAGCAAGAAGGTAAAGAAGGCATCTGTGGTCAGTTGGCATTTCTGTGTGGAGTTTGCACGTTCTCCCTGTATTCGCGTGGGTTTCCTCTGGGTACTCCGGTTTACCCCACAGTTCAAAGACATGGAGTAAATGTGAATTAAATCAACTGTAGTGTAAGTGTGTGAATTAGAGTGTATGGGTGTTTCCCAGTGATGGGCTGCAGTTGGAAGGGCATCTGCGGTGTAAAACATATGCTGGAGCTGGATAAGTTGGTTCCGCTGTGGCGACCCCAGATTAATAAAGGGACTAAGCCGAAGGAAATAAATTAATGAATATTATACACCATAGTTGAGTCGACTTAAAAAATTAAATAGTTGATTTTTTTTAATGTTTTTAATTTTATATGTTATTTTTTAACAATTTTAAAATCAAATTTAAAATCACTGTATTTTTGTATAAATATATATTTTTTAATTATCATTAAAAGCTAAAATTTAAATGCTTTAAAATTGCAAGTGAATTTAGGCATTATATAAATTATATAGTATAACAATTATGTTAATTAATACAATTATTATTGAATATGTTTATTATTAAAACCTACATTAAAATGTATAAAATATTTTTTATTTAGTAATTAGACTAAATTAGTCAAAAAACATACATTTATATTTATTGTGAGATTATCATAATGGTTTTTTTTTCTTAATTTAACAATTGTGTTTTTTACTTCTCATCAATTGTAATCCAATGTTTAAAGTAAGATAAATCTACTGACCCTGAACCATTTTTTTAAAACCGGATTTTCTCTCATTTTATTGACCAACGAGTACAGAAAGCACTTTGACAAATTACAGAAAGGATGATCAAAAAATAATCATATTTCATTAGACTATGTATGCATTTTAGTCTTGAAACGTCTAGAGCCAACAAACCAGAAACACGTCATTACACTGTTGCGCAGATGAACTTAATAATGTACCAAGATTGGTTAAATGAAAGGCGTTTTGGTCCTTGGCTGCATTCTTCAGCTGCATTTTAACCAGACAGAATGGCAGCAGACTAACTATAGGTGCAGCCAGTCTCACTGGAGCTGCCTGAGATTCAGAGTCTTATTCAAGGACACAATGACTTGAGGTTAAACCTGTTCATAGCCCAGATTTTTAACCACTACACTGCGTTCTTTCCCTCTGTGGAAGAAAACCTTTTCATATGACACAGAAGCTTGGTTTTGAAACAGGCTGTTCTGACACGGCAACAATGGCTGATGATTAACCCTGCGCCTGCAGCTCTATTCTATATCCAACGCTGGCAGAAGAGACATTTAATGAATTTATAATGGGAAAACAGAAAGAAAAAAACTTAGTTTGACCGCCGGACATCTGTTGCTGTAATGCAAAATGTTAGCTAAACACATTTATTTATTGTAAACTGTTTGGTTTGTATTGATCTACCGAGGTCAACGTATAACATTATCCAGACTTTTACACCCAAAACATAATCATTTAGAAGTAAAAGGCAATTTTCTGTCATGTTTTCATTCCCTTCATCACGAAACATTGTTTGAATAAGCATGGCAGATTGTAGACTCGGAAGTAAACACCCGCTGCTATGAATGGCTAACATTTTTTGCATATTTAAATATTTGAAAGGACAGCCTTGGATTAACTTTGCTTTATAGACCACAATGGAAATAAGTTTTGTTTTTAAAGCTTTGTGATATCCTCGATGAATTAAGTGTATTACCTTATGTTTTGTCAAATAAAAACAAAGAAAGAAAGAAAGCTGTTTAAGACCATGTAAACTTGTCCATCTGTATTTGACAGCTTACAACCTCCATAAGTATTAAGTATGTATAAAGCAATCTGTATAATAACAGAAAAAGCAATAGGGAACACATAATGAAAACAATTATTGACACTTTTGTCGTGCAATATTATTTTAAGGTCCAATATTGTCAGCACAACATCCCATTTTACTTTCAAAATCATCCAAAATCCCCTACTTCCCTACTATTTAGTATGTGATAAGCAGTATGTGAGATAAGTTAGTATGTCTGAATCCATAGTATTCGATAAAACAGGTGAGAAGTACAGAAATGACCTACTACTTTCTAAAGTGCACATCCAATGGACACTTTACTAACTATCGCATGAGGCCATGCGAAAGAATTTATAAATCGGAGTCAACAGTAAAGTGATGAAACTGACAGGTCACATGATACCAATAAAGGGCAGATGTACTGTAGTATGTACAAATTTCATTCATACTTCTCAAATCCAGACACTGTAAAAATTATCTGTAAATTAGCAGCTTTCTATATTTTGTGATTTTTATTTTTCCAAATTTATGTATGCATTATGGCACCTTAACCTCCAACAACTTTTAACTTTGAAAAGTTTGAAAAAGTGACTTTTATTAACATTTTTATTAGTTTAAAGTGATATATTTACTGGGTTGGTGTTGTAGATTACGATACAAAAACTAACCCAAGCTCATTTTGAAAAAGTGGCGCAATATACGTTTCTGCAGAGTGCCAAATAGTTTTTTGCAGTTTTTGCTTTCTCGAATCCACCAGAGGCTGCTGTTTACGCTTTTTGAGAACTCAAATTTTTCTCGAGAGTGCCATTTGTGCCTGCTATTCTCATGTAAATCCACTAGAGGCCGCTGTCAACTGACTGACTGACCACTTTCCTCCTTTTCTAAACCCAACTAATAGTGTTTTTTAAAAGCACCGATTGACTCCCTACCCACTGCCCTAAACCCAACCGACCACAACCGAATCCCAAGCCTGATTTTTACCACATTTCCAGATTTTACCACATTTTCACCCTGTTATTCACTTGTTTATTTTATTTTTTGGATTTTGTTTTTGTCTTGCCTGTTTTCTGGAATAGTTCGTTGCTGGACTCAAACCCCGTCATCATGGTCAACTCCGCTCTGTGTCTCAAATCTACCTAAATACATGGCAAGCTAACTGGATAAACTGGTAACAGCAGGAAATCCACCCTCATGGAAGTATTCAATCAGTTGGAAAGTGCGAAAAGGAACGGCATCAAACCGTCCTGTAGTGTTCACTTTAAAGATGAAATGCAGCCATACGTAGCTCTGGTTACATAATTCGTGATCTCCAGATATGTAAATAGGGCTACGTTTTCAGATTGAGCCTATGTCTACAAAAACCTTGTAATAAACTAGTAGTACGTTTTTTTCTTACTCTACAGACGTATTTCTCTTTATATTATATATATTTAAAATAATAAAATTTAAATAAAAGTCCCTTTGTCAAACTGTGTTTAACATAAAAACTCAACAAAGCAGAGATCCAGGTCCCATAATGCAAGTCACAACCTTTTTAAAACTGTATTTACAGTGTACTGTATTTACAATGTAATTTTCAAACAGCCATGTAGTAAGATCATATTAAAATATAGTACTTACACAAATACTGCAGTATGAGATTTTGGACTTCACAGTAAACAATTTTGTGCTTAACAGACGTCTAATAGACATCTAAACTTAAGACAGCTTGGCTAAAACAAGGCTAAACTTGGGCTATGAGTGAAATCAAATAGACATCTAAGAAAAGCCCAAAACTAGACTAGTCGTCAAGTAGAGAGATTAGACAGACTTTATGTGTGTAGTCATTCATTTCTTTTTATTTAATGACTAGGCTAGTTTTGGCCTATTCTTATGACTATACTGACAGCCCAGATTTAGCCTTGTTTTAGCCAAGACAACTATGTTTAGACGTTTTTAAGACATCTATTAGACATCTTTTAAAAACAAGAAATGCTTGCTGGATTGTTTCATCAAGTGATCAAATGACCAAGGTCTGATTGGCAGTCTGCAACTTTATATAAAGTTTTACTTCTCTTACTACTGATGAGTATTACTGAAAAATGACAAAGCATGAATCCCTTTGCATCGAATTTATTTATCACCTCTACTATTAACACATGTTGAAAAACCCTTAAGGTGCCGGTGACTAAACCTGCCAAGAAATCAAATTGTGGAATTTGGATGATTATCACCAGATCATATTCTCCAAAATAGCACACAGAGCTATCTTAATACCTGGCTCTGTTTACAGCTGGCATTAAGATGCATTTTGGCCAATCGGATCACAGACACAAATGACATCCCTTAATATTTCAGAATTAGGTCAGCCGGTGGAAAGTAGGCATATTTTGTATCTTTTTGAATGCAATCAACCACATGAGGGTTCACTACCTTATATAAAAGGAATTTGCTTTAATGTATTGTCAAATACTTCGGCCTGGAAGTGATACAAACAATTCAGATGCTACAAAGTATATTTGAGAAAATTAAAACGTGCTCCTTCTTTGACTTTAAATGCCAGTACACCTTTTATAGATCTCAATAGCCAAATGACGGACCCTTAAAATAGCTAAATATGGAACAATATCACTAGAGACCATAGTTGTCTATGCACCCAGCGTTTCATTTCACTACAGTTCTTAAAATTGTCATACACAGCTTTTATCTGAAAGATAATCTTTGAGAAAGTTGTGTGTTTGCGCTTACCGAGAGTTTGTGTTCATGTTCTTTGGTTACTCTGCTGAGAAGCTGTGCTTTCCTGCGGTTCAGAGCTTCAATCAGAGCATCACACTGGGCCACCAAACACGCCTCAAATTCAACTCCGTTCTCCTGAAACACACCATCAGGAAAGAATCAGATCATTATAAAGGTTTGATATTGCACTGCATTGGTGCGAGTGTGTAAGTGTTAGTGCATGCGTGTTGTACCTGTATGTGTTGGACCATATTTCTGAGCTGCACCAGGAACTCTTTAGCCTCTGTGGCCCGATCAGACAGAACATTCAGTGCTTGAGAGAGTTGTCCCTGAAAACATGAAGACAGAGAGAGATGAGACATACAGACTATAGTGTAAAGAGTGTAATATTTCTGTGGAAAACATGATGTAAGATTAATAGAAAGTACATTAAAGCGGACTTGAAAACGATTTAATAAAGAGTGATAATAACCAAATGCTCTGGTTTTTAAATCTTTCTAAATAACTGTTTTTCTAAATCTAGTCTACACTATATGTTCATTTATTTGTTTTCTTGTCGGCTTAGTCCCTTTATTAATCCAGGGTCGCCACAGCGCAATGAACCGCCAACTTATCCAGCAAGTTTTTACGCAGCGGATGCCCTTCCAGCCGCAACCCATCTCTGGGAATCATCCACACATACATTCACACTCATACACTATGGACAATTTAGCCTACCCAATTCACCTGTGCCACATGTCTGTGGACTGTGGGGGAAACCGGAGCACCCGGAGGAAACCCATGCGAAGGCAGGAAGAACATGCAAACTCCACACAGAAACGTCAACTGAGCCGAGGTTCAAACCAGCGACCCAGCGACCTTCTTGCTGTGAGGCGACAGCACTACCTACTGCGCCACTGCCTCGCCCCCACTATATGTTATATATGGTAAAAATATGCAAGATCACGTTAACATGATTCGATTACATGGAAATAATGCCCCAAGTAATGTTGGTGTGCTTAAAATGATATAAATATACTATGCTAATGACATAAAACATGTTAGCAATGGGTTAAATCATGTTAGCAGCATGCTACATATGTTTACATCTGTTGAAATTTGCTAATTTAAAATTAATGCTAGCAATATGTTAAAAACTTTAAAAAACTATCTATCTATCTATCTATCTATCTATCTATCTATCTATCTATCTATCTATCTATCTATCTATCTATCTATCTATCTATCTATCTATCTATCTATCTATCTATCTATCTATCTATCTATCTATCTATCAGCTGGAAAAACATGCCAATTTTTAGCAATAAGATGTTACTAATCTCATGCAGGATCATGTTAACAACATTCCAAAACATGCAACCATTGTCCCAAATCATGTTGACATGCTAGAAAATGCTAGTGTTCAATGCTATCAACTTGATAAAAACATGCTAGCCATGGGCTAAATCATGTTACAGTTTTTCTCAGTGGCTTTGATGCATTTCTCACAAGACTATTTACATTTGCACAACAGATAATGCATTTGTCAAAACAATTAATACAAACTGCAAAACCTAGTAGATAACCTGCAAAAGTGTGTCACTTGCTCAAAATGGAGAGCTCATTCCTCAAAAGCAAGTACTGATGCCAATGAAAGTGTCAGTGTCATCAAGATGAAAAATCCTGACACCATTGTTTATAAACAATATGGCTTTGTCATGTTTTCATTATTACATTTTTTCCAATAAGGTTTTGGTGACACTTCCTGAAAATGCTCAAGACAGCACTATATTCTATTTGCACAGCCATTTGCAAACTACAGTAAAGTTAGACATCACTGCATTTAGTGAGGTATCTAAGTTTAAGACACTGAATATGTACAGTATGTTTCACATTTTTACTGCATTTGCTCTTCGCAATTCTAATTTATTCACAGCAATGTGCAAAAGAATAAATACACCCTTATTTACAACAAACATAAATGTCCTTTGGGCAGAGCTGTACACAACTGTAAACAATATTGCAGTATAAATTGGAACTATATCTACAACATCTGTAAATCATTCATGAAATTGTTTAATTTAGAAAACATTTTCAGAAAAAAAAGATTAAATTTTTTAAATAAAATTTGTTTAACAGATTTTGACAACTAGTTCAACATTTATATATGTAATGACTTAAGTAGTGAAATGAGGACTATTAGTTTTATGGAATGACTTTTCAGCATTTACAAGTTTAGTTAATTTTGACAGACAAGACATAAGCAAATGATCATGTTATAAACAGCAGAGAGTTGTATGAAAGCAATTAATGAATGTCCAAAAGCATTTGTAATTTGTTGAAAGGAATGAGAAACTGCTACTATGCTTTGCACAAATGGCTAATTGTTTTGAGAAATGCATTAACTGTTGTGCAAATGTAAATAGTGTTGTGAGAAATGCACCAAAGCCACTGAGAACATGCATCTATATATTAATCAGAATCAAAGTTTTTAAAAGTGGCTCTTAGTTACCATTATACTAAAATATGATAGCAGAATCATGTTAAACCTACTTCAAACGTTTGTTTATTTTGATTATTAAAAACAATAATTTATCATATTTTGTTCATGTAATTCATTTTAATCCTCTTAACAATTTCACATTAAACACCTTTAGCAGTTTAACAATGCTATAATGGGAAATCAGTGCTCAACGCGAAAAGTGTATAGAAAGTAAAGAGAGGAAGTGACATAATTTGCGAGAGGTTAGTCATTAAATCTGTCATTTGGAGAGTGGGTGAGAATGGGAAGAGGAGTTAATGTGCGTATGTGTGTGCGTCAGGCTTAGTAAAACGATGGAGCATTGAGCATGACAACCATCCGCCAAGAGACCTCCACTTTCATTTGTGGTCTGTTCTCAAACGAGGAACAAAAATGGCAGAACAAGGGCTGAAACTCACTGCTCCAAATTTTCTTCTATGGCCTACATACTACATTAAAGCCTATACACTACAGAGGCCTACATGTGACAGCCTTACACACTAAAGCCCAGCACATTACAGCATTACTCACACCCACAGCGCTACACATCAGCACACTAACACCTACAATGAGAGTCATATAATGAGAGCCCAGCAGGGGCAGTGTTACAGAAACATACTATATTTATGTCTTTGTCATAAAGGATAGCTAATATCATCTGATAAGACAGGACTCTCTAGAAGTCAGGATGCAATAAGGACACCATTGCCACACACAGTACCAGTTAACCCTTTATCAGGCAGAAAACATGGTAATTAAGTTCTTTTTGACATTATGTTACAATATACTCTTATGAGACTTTAAAACACTGTAATAACCTCAAGTGTTACAGAAACATACTATATTTATGTCTTTGTCATAAAGGGTGGCTAAAATCATCTGATAAGACAGGACTCTCTAGAAGTCAGGATGCAATAAGGACACCATTGCCACACACAGTACCAGTTAACCCTTTATCAGGCAGAAAACATGGTAATTAACTTCTTTTTGACATTATGTTACAATATACTCTTATAAGACTTTAAAACACTGTAATAACCTCAAGTGTTACAGAAACATACTATATTTATGTCTTTTGTTGTATATGATGGCTAAAATCACCAGATAAAGAACTCTCTAGAGTTAAGATGCAGTAAGGACACCATTACCACAAACAGCACCCATTAGTTAATCCTTTATCAGGCAAAGAATGGTAATTATTTTTATTGATTACATTACAATATAATTTTTTAACCCTTAAAAGACTTTAAAATAATGTAATAACCTCATGTGTTGCAGAAACATACTACATTTAAATCTTTTGTCATCAATGATATAGCTAAAATCACCAGATAAGAAAGAACTCTAGCGTTTGGCTGCAATAAGGACACCATTGCCACATACGCTATTCATTAGTTAACCCTTTACCAGGCAAAAAACGATGGTTATTAACATCATATTGAGATTGATTACATTTCAATATACTCTTTTAATCCATAAAATACTTTAAAATACTGTAATAACCTCAAGTGTTACAGAAACATATATTTATGTCTTTTGTTGTAAATGATAGCTAAAATCACCAGATATAGAGGACACCATTGCCTCATACAGTACCCATAAGTTAACCCTTTATCAGGCAAAAAATGGTAATTAACATCATTTTGACATTGATTACATTACAATATAATCTATTAAGCCATAAAAGACTTCGAAATACTGTAATAACCTGAAATGTTACAGAAACATAATATATCAATGTATTTGCAGTAAGGACACCATTGCCACATACAATCCCCATTAGTTAACCCTTTATCAGGCAGTAAAACATGGTACTTCATTTTGACATTGATTATGTTACAATATAATCTTTTAAGTCATAAAAGTCTACAAAATATTGTAATAACCTCAAGTCGAATGTTATCGCTGGATTGAATGGGGGTTATCATTGGTTATCAGCTGATAGATATGGGCCAAACGGGGCCTTCTGGTGTTATCATCTATCCAAATGGTTAATCAGCTATACTCATACAGAAGGCTCCAGATCCAGATCTATTTCTACATTACTGTGACGGTTGGGTTTAGGGAAGGAGTAGACATTTATAAAATACAATTATTGGGAAATGTAATAAATAATATTAATAATTCTCATTGACTTCCGGCCGCAGCTATATGTGATCTATAAATGATCAACCATGCTGGATGAATGATACTAGTAGGCTCAGAAGGCCCCAACTGGCCCATATCTATCAGCTGATAACAACTAATAACGCCCACTCAATCGAGTGAAAACATTCAAATCGGCTGCTCAAGTAAAAGTCTTGCGGTTTTCCAATGACTATTTCAGTGAACGCCTTTTAAAGGGTTAAATAATCAAACAAACCAAACACTATAAAAAAACATTTTCAGTCTGCTGACTGTATTTTATAACTGTTGCAATATTCATTCATTCATTTTATTTTCGGCTTAGTCCCTTTATTAATATGGGGTCGCAACAGCGGAATGAACCACCGACTTATCAGTTGCCCTTCCAGCCTCAACCCATTACCGGGAAACATCCATACACACTCATTCACACACACTCTTTTACTCTACGGTCAATTTTAGCATACTCAATTCCCCTGTACCACATATCATTGGACTTGTGGGGGAAACTGGAGCACCTGGAGGAAACCCACACAAACACAGGGAGAACATGCAAACTCAGAAATGCCAACTGACCCAAACGAAGCTCGAACCAGCGACCTTCTTGCTGTAAAGCGAACGTGCTTCCCACTTAGCCACATCGTCACCCACTGATGCAATAATAAAAAAAAAAATCCAATCATCACTAACTCTGGCATTCCAGCA